TCTCTTGTCCCCCACTCTGCTCCCCTCAGCAGTGTATTTCAGTAGATCAGCCTGTTAGGCTACCTACTCTGTCTCTGGTGAATCCTCTCACCCCTGGCACCTCTGGCCTACACTTCAGTTCTATGCATAAATAAATCTCAAAAAAAAAAAATGAATTCAAGTGCTTTTTTTTGGTTTTAGTAAGTCCTGAAAAAACTTTTTCCTGGAAGCAAGAAGCTATTACAGAGTCACAGCAACATCATTCAATTTTTTGCTTTACTTTTGAGATACAGCCCCAAAATTATATAGTCAGATTTTACACACACACACACACACATATTACATATGACTATATATGTGCTTGCTTTCTGTTAATATGAAGTACATGTATTTATTTTTATTCTTTTAAAAGATTTATTTATTTATACAAGCACTGGGTACAGTCAGAAGCATGGGAGAGTGAGCGAATTCACCAGAGCCAGAGCAGGGAGCAGAACAGGCAGACTGCTGAGGGGAGCAGCAGGCACAGCAGGAGAGGTCTGCGCCCCATGTGGGACCCTCGCAGGCTGCCGGGGATCTAACCGGTGCAGCAGAGGCTGCAGGAAGCTTCGCAGCTCAGCGCTCAACCGCTGCGCCACTGGGGAAGCCCCATGTATTTATTTTTAAATGATAACTCAATCATAAATTCATGAAATGGACCACATTTGGTCATGATGCACGATTACCCCTTTTACTTATTACTGAAATTGATGGCAGATCTTAAGGCTCTTCCTGGCTATGATAGATAATGGGCTGTAGTAAGGATCTTCCTGTCCACTATAGATAATGGGCTGTAGTTTTGTAGGGGATTTTTGGTAGTTCTTGCAGGCTGAGTGTTGGGATCACATATATTTCAATATTTTTTTGTACTTTTTTGCCAGCAGGATCTTAAATCCTAGATTTCCGCCATACTTTTTTTCCTCGTAACTATCCATTCACCAGAGGCTACATTTTACACTCTTCTCAAGAAGCAATGCCTTTTGAGATTGCCACATCAAATTCTGCACATTACGTTAATTTTAATACAGTACTCTGATCCATTCAAACTTTTTCAACTTTTGCATATATGTTGGACTTGCTGTTTCTTGGAGTCTTTTTTGTCAGAAAAAATCAGCCCTGCTAACACCTTGATCTTAGCCAAGAAATATTTAAGAGTTTCTGACTTCCAGAATATGAGTGAGTTTATGTTTTTCAAAGCACTAGATTTGTGACTATAGCAGTAATTACATATGTAATACCACTTTTGCAAATAAGTAGCTTGAAGATGAGACAAATTCTAATGTTGTGATCAATACTGTATCACTTACTTTATAATAAAGGTAATTTATAGTAAAGGTAATTAGATTCAGGTAATTACCTTCTTAGTAAAGGTAATTACTTATCTTAAAGAAATCTATTTTGCCACAATGAAAAATCATTACCAGGGGAGTGTGGAAATTTCCACTTACCAGGGAAGTGTGGAAATTTTTCCTTTGCAAAAGATAATCTAAACATGGAGTTCCTTGAATAAGTTTTGCCCCTTTATTTTAAAATGTGTTGTTATAGCATAACATGTATTATATTTTTTGTTTAATAATTTATAATCTATTAACCTTTGAGTGCATTTTAATAAAGCAATCCATATTTGTGGGCCTCCCCCATGGCGCAGCGGTTGAGTGCTGGGTTGTGAAGCTGCCCGCAGCCTCTGCAGCGCTGGTTCGATCCCTGGCCACCGGGCAAGGGTCCTACATGGCCCGCAGACCTCTCCTGCCGCCCGCTGCTCCCCTCAACAGTGTACTTCGTCCTTCTGCCTGCTCTGCTCTCCGCTCTGACTCTGGTGAATTCTCTCACCCTCCCGCGCTTCTGACTGTACCCAGTGCTTGTATAAATAAATAAATAAATCTTAAAAAAAAAAAAGAAAAAAGAAATCCATACTTGTTACCCAATATTTAAACATACACTGCAACATCTGGATCCCTACAACCAATGATTTGCCAATTGTTCTATTTTCATTATAAATCTCTCCAATGTGTACAGAAAAAAAGAAAAATCCTAAAGATGAGTCATAAAAACTATTACAGAAACTGGAGGGGATTATGCTAAGTGAAATAAGTCAGAAGGAGAAAAACAATTAACAGATGGTGTCACTTATATGTGGAATATAAAGGAACAAAACAGAATCAGCTAAAACCAAAGGAGTAAAAAACAATAGCAATCTGACTGTAGAACTGAGGTTACCCAGAGGCAGAGGGGAGAGTTAAGAGTAAAGTGGAGTGGGGCACAATGGTGAGGACTTTGAGTGCCTTGGCAGTGGGTGTGGTGTAGTAACATACACCTGATAGGTGAGATCCTATAGCTCTAAATCATACAGTGTTGTAAACCAATGTTACCTCAATAAAATAAAATAAAAAATAAATAGGGGCCTCCTAGGTGGCGCAGCAGTTGAGTGCAGTGCTGCAACTCTGAGCCTATGCAGTGCCAGTTCCATTCCCCGCCAGCCAGGGAGAAACCCACAAGGCACAGACCTCTCCTGCCTCGCCTGTTGCTTCCCTCAGCAGTGTCTGGTCCGTCTACCTGTTCTGTTCCCCGCTCTATCTCTGGTGAATTCTCTCACCCTCCCATGCTTCTGACCTGTACCCCAGTTCCTGTTTAAATAAATACAAATCTTAAAAATAAATAAAAAATAAATTTTAAAAAAGTGAAATTAAAATTGTGTATTACAATGGTATAGTTCCCACCTCTGATCCCAGGAATCAGATATATTAAGTTGATGAGAAAATACATTATTGAGCAAATGAATATAATAAAGATTCCAGCCCAGGTGCAATGAACATTCCAATGCAGGCATAATCAACAAGTTTGCTTACTTTACAGCTCCTTCCCTTTCAAGATTCACAGCCAGGGCCTCAGCACTCTTATCTACAAGGTTGGGCAGCTGGCCAAGCTGGTCTCTCTCTCCAAGGTCACCCCGAATGCCTGCATCTTGCCCCCCTTGCCTTGCCCCCCTTGTCTGGGGACTTTGCTGCAAATGGATGTGCCTGCTGAAAAAACATGTAACATATTTGGAGACAGTTGTGTGTAAAAGGAACTCTTGGTCTTTAAACGGGTACTCAGACCTTATGGGGCTACCCAGGTCTGGGACCTCATGCATGAGTAATAAAGTTTCTCCTGACCTCACCATTCCTGAAGTACTGCTTGTTCTTCCTCAGCCTGGGTAAAAGGCTAGAATTTATTTCTACAACAAAGTGTCTTATTCAAAGTCATAGAGTTAGTTGATAGTAGAAATACAACCTGAAGTCAGATCTTTGTTCCAGCTGTATGACCTTGCCAGTATATCACTCTATTAGAAATATAGTATTTCAAACCTTAACCAATATTATTGACCTTAGATCAACATTGACATTTTAAGTTCCTTCATATATTTAAAAAATAACAGCTTAGGCGCGGCTTCACTGACCCCCGCCTTGGGTCTGTGAGGTCCACCCGGGGCGCAATAAACTTTCCCTCCCTTTGAGAAATTTGAAAAAAAAAAAAAAAAAAAAAAAATAACAGCTTAATACAACAGAACTGTTGATTGTAAATAAGACAACTGTGAAAAATAAGTGGGTTTCCTTCAGAAGAACAAGCACTGAAAATTAACACTATTATAAATTAGTAAATTTCATTGTCATTCTTTGCAAACTTAGTTAGCAATTTCCAAACTCAATCATCTTTAGGATACTGAATTGGCCAAATCTTAAACCATGACAAGTTCATCCTAAGAAAGTCTGGATAAATTTCTCTGAACTATTATGGCTCTAATTGATAAGATGAATAATTAACATATCTACTACTCAATCAATATGGGAAAGTAAAAGTATTTGCATAAAACACAACTGTTCATATTAAAAGAATCCCATTATAAGTTTAGATTGTTTTCACAAATAAAACTTCCTTAATTTTAAGTCTCAAGTGAAAAATTCAGGAGATCTGCAGTTTACTTTTATATATAAAATTTTATGAAGACTGCTTTTAAGCTGTTGATGTTCTTTATCAACCTCTGTAACACTTTGCCCAAGTTCTCATCTAAGCATGTTCTCATGTCTTTTTCCATATATAAATGCTTCTGGAATGTTCCTTGGTAGTATTCTACAACTATTGTTCTAGACTGAATAAATAGATCTTTCCCTTCTCTTTAATCATTGTGACATTTTATGTATATGAATGACTTAGCACACAATTTTTGTGGGAAAATCCATGATTTATAAAAGGATCTGGGTTATAAGTCAAAGCTGGATAATGAAAGGCAGCACATATTTTCAAAAGCAATTTTATATTACTATACCATGACTAATGGTAATTTACAATTTTTTCTGTAGCATTTGTTTAACTCGTCCCATTTCTCCTAAGTTATAACTGAACCAGCTTTGAATGAGCACAATTTTGGAAAGCATGCCAAACAAGAATTAAATAGATCTTTAAAATCATTCTAATAAATTCAGGAATGAAAAGGGTAAAAAATTACTGAGTGCACCAAAAGTTTAAAATATTGTATGTCATATTCTCATTAAATGAATGATATGAGAAAATACAAGTTCCAGTGTTAATGTGTAAAGCACATCTATTTGTTTGATATTGGGTTGGTTTATGGACTTATTTCACAAAAGCAAGACAGTCTTAATGCTTTAAGTGACCTGGTTTTTTGAGTGTCATGTGAGGGAGCAATCTCACCAAATGAATTAATACAGGAGTTTCTAATTCCAGCAAAGTATCTTCAATAAATAGTGCATAGATGATGCTAGAGTAAATAAGGTCAAAATTCATTCCTGTCGCTTTGTTATTCAGGTCTGGAAACAAAAGTACTAGCAAGAACCTGTAACAAATTTGGATTCTTACTATTAAGTTCTACTAACCTTAACAAAAACAGATGGTTAACAGGTCAACATTTAGACTATTAAAAGCTGATAAAGCATTCTAATGCTGAAAGGAAATGAAAGTTTCAAAGGAAAAAGGTCTAATATTTACTTGATGAACTACAAGTTTCTGGCTTATGATCATTTATTTACTAGGGAAAATTTAACAATATTTTTGAGGTGGTTTTAATACAAAATGCTTAATATCAATTTTTACATCTGACAAAAACTGGTTAACCAACATAACTTATATCTTGTGCACAAGGGACTACAGAAATTCTGCCCATATGAGAAAGAAGCAAATCAATGTGCTGCTTAACAAATACTTGGTTCAATTTCTTACCTATTCAAATAACTTAGCCAAGGCTAAGTTCTAATCAAACTATGAATTGAGGACTACAAATCAACTAAAGAAAGTAACACCATATTTTATTTGATTCAAACCCATTCTGATATACAAAGCTAATTTATTATGTACAAAATAAATGTACATTCTTAAAAAGTGTTAGAATACAAATTTCCAAGGAACTAAAAAAAGTGCAAAATTTTCAATTATTATTTTCAATCATGCTATACAGAAACACATCAAACATTAGTTCATATATACACACACTGAAAAAGTGTTAAAGTAGCACTCAATGTAACAAAACATGTATCATATTTCATTTTAAAATGATAAGGAAAATGTATTGCACCAAATTAACAGTAACTTCATTATTATGAGAATAATAAAAATTATTTACATATCTTTATTAAGTCAAAAAGTTTTTCCATTTTAAAACCTTTTTTGGCATACAAATAATCTCTGAGTCACAGTTTGCAGTCAATAATTAGATATAAATAAGGCTTAATATTATTTTTGTTATGGTCAATTCCAGTAGGATAAGAAGGAACACTTTATAATAACTGCACAACTTTTTAAATTCCTCATTGAATTAGCAGCATGATTTACATTGTTCTTTTTAACAAGTCATTCCAAATTTTCAGCTAATCTCCTCTGAAATTGACTGTGTGCGTGTGCGTGTGTATACATTCAAGTCACTGTCACTCTGGGATAACATTATTTAATCTGGGTCCCAGAAAAACTGACAAAAGAGACAGATCATTTGGTTTGCTATTTTATGGTATTAATGGATCTACTTCTATAGCAATGCATCTGACAGAAAATGACCACCTGGCTAGAACTCTGATTACTCTTTCACTAAAGCTGTCACTCCAATTCTATAAAAGCAAACAGTTAGGAGAAGAAAAATCATACTTGCTAGGTGTTTCGAAGAACAGACCAGTGATAAGGTTTTCTAAAAATTTTTCTTTTTTATGTAAACTATCAAATAAACAGTAGCCACAAAAAATTTTGGTGTTATTTATGAATCATAGAGACCGGTAAATAGTAGAATGGGGGAAAAGGTTTAAAATATAGTATCTTTAACAGTAAGGTCTACTTTCAAATAACATTTTGGGAAAGTATAGAAACTACATAATTAAATAAATTTAAAATACATGGTTTAGTGTAAGAAAATGTTTCTAAGAGAAAAAAATATCAAAAATAGATTAGTCTCTGGCTACCAGAGAAACTCTAGTTTTAATATATCCTAAGTATTGAAATTTATCAAAATAAAAATTGAGGTCTAATAGGAATAAGTTTTCTTTATAAAAATCTTATATTTTACTCAAGAAAAGTTTTAAGTTTTATTTTTAAGTCCAGATAAATTAACTTGTTTTCTTATTCTCAAATTAAAATACTACATTGTAATAGTATTACAAATAGCTTATTGTATAGCTCAAAAGTAGTTATGAATCTTAAATAATGAGGCAGAAATCATATAAGTGAACACACACACACACACACACCCATATTCCCCTAATACTTTACTAACAGTCAACTTTAAAATATGAATGGGTGATTCTTTCAATAACAAAATTGCATTATTATTGTAGTAAAGTCTGCAAAGTAAGTTTCAAAGGAAACATAATGAAATTATATCATGGAAAAAAATATTGACATGGTGACTTTTTAACTTGTTTTTTCTTTCTGAAATTTCAGTTCATAAGATTATAGGCATTTAAACAAAAGTTAATACAGTTGTATCTGTCCTTTTACTTTTCATTAATGTCATTAGCTTCACAGATCAACATTCTGCATTGTGTTTAGAAATTACCCACTTGCGACAAGTGAGATAATCTGAAGAAGTGTCTTACATGAATTTCTATAGTCTACAAAAAAATATCTGATTATATAGCGCTTTTATACAAGGTTTTTATACTGAAGAAAATCGTGTAACTTCTATAATCTAGTTTGACCTTATATTTTGAATATAGAAGTTGAATCATTTCCAATATGGGCCTAAATATCTTAAATGTTAATGCTTTATCTTCTATAAATTTTCATATGCAAGATTATTTTCATACAGAAGCTACACCTACAAAAGTTATCAGAAGTACTTGGGAAATTTATCCCTAATTTTTAATTAGGAAAACTCTATTGTTTAGTTGCTTTAAGGCCACAAGAGACCTAATTTGATGCTTTAAATCTAGCATTTTATTATTCATGTTTTTTATTAGTACTTAAAAATGTTACCTAATTAGAATGTACAAAGTAATCAGTGATAGTCACCAGAAACTACTAAAATCAAATAGATATACTCCTTTTGAGGAAAATAGTAATTATAGTTTTCAAGCATGAAACATCTCCAGAGAAAGAATTACTTGACTGAAAAGGAATTTGGATTTTTTCTAGGATGTTCATAACAAAGATAATAAAATCAGTCTCAGCAAATATTCGACAAATGCCTTTAAAGATAATGATTAAACATATCTATTTAAATATGTGAATATTAAATATGACTTATATAAGTGGATGGATATAATTTCTATAAAGGGAAATATTTTAAGATTTAACATAATAGTCCTGAGACATAATATTTTTTACATTAAGTAGCAAGTAATGAGATTCAGAAAGTCCAGAATAGTGCCTGGACAAAACTTCATGAACACATCAGATCTATAATCTCAATTAAGAACCAATGGCCTAGAAATTGCTAGGTTCAAATTAAAGTAGGTTATGGTAAACATTTTAAGAATATTGAAATGATGATGGATATAACATTATATTGTTGTTGGCTATAGAACAACACCAGGACTCTACCATAGGAAAAAGTACCACCAGGACTCTAACATAGGAAAATTCCCCACAACAATGTTCTAGATGGGATCACATTTAAATCAAATTGAATGCCCAGTATGTATAAAAATTAGGCAAAAATAATATTGAGAATGGGTATTTGTTGAGGGGGTAAAAATGTTTAAGATTGGTCACTTACAGTTTCAATTGACGGAGGAAAAGGAACTAGTACAGGCTGTAAGTATGACTGATAAAGGAAAACAACAGATTAGAGATAAAATGAAAAAGAATCTTTCATTTCGTAAATCAGTAACTATATCCTAACGAAAGGCTTGAGAACTTATTTATAGAAGACAAGTTTAATGGTCTATTTGAAGAGACCAAACTTCACACAGACATATCCATATCATACATATATGATATTATTTAATATTTATGTGATATTTATATTTAATAAAGTTTATGCACTTACATCTTTTCATTGAAAAGGTGATAAAGATAATGCTACTCATTATTTACATATATATAAACAGGAGCTAAACTCTTAAATTCAATTAAAAGATTTCCATTAGTGATTCCTTCAGTAACAATATAAAATACATATAAAGGTTAAAGGTCATGAGGCTATAATCATTAAATAAAATCTGGTGTTAACAATTTTTTTCTGCCTACTCCCGCTTAACCAAAATTTAAAATGTCTTAGGTTAAGATTCAATCTTCAAATCCAAATTTTAATTAATTATGAAGACACACCCATTCCCTTTTTCAAAAGCAGAAAACTAATTTCTAAAACTAGTTCATTAAGAATAATTTTTATATGACTTACATAAAGAAAACAGGAAGGTTCACCGCTGTTTTGATGTTCCTTGCTAATGCCAAATGAATATTTGGCATTTTCTCTCTTACAAAAAGATTATTTGACCTCAATAAAGCACTGTGACCCAAAGGAAATTGGTAGAAATTTACTCGTAGATGACATGAGTTTCACAGGTTTGAAAGACTTTAAACCAAGGGCCCACCTTTATTTTTATATACTTTCCTAATTTTCATGCCTAGACCTGTTTTTTTAGTAATGACATTATTTACTGACTGGTGAAGAGTTGAAGAAAATCTTAGAAAGCTTCCCTATTCTCTGAGCATAGCTATAATGTGTTTTTTTAATTGAAACATATTTGACAAATAACATTATGCAAATTTATATATTATATATTAATACTTGATTTCACTGTACGAAAGTAAAATCATTGTCTTAGTATAAATATCTCCCATTATGGGAATGTTGAAGTTTTTATTTCTATCATCACAAGTGTCAAGAAGCAAAAGCAGATGAAAAGTTCAGCAAAGACAAAAGATTTTATAATATTCAAGTTGAGATACTATATTCATCAACTGAAATAGATGTTTTACTCACAGGATTATAAAGAAAAGCTGGGAAATGAGAAAGAACTACAAAGATAAAATTCTCAAAGACTCAACTGAGATGTAAAGATAGCTATGAGTTATGGAATAAAAGAGAATAATGTGAAAAGAAGATGTTATGATAAAAAGTTTTTCATCCCTCCCCTGGTCATAGATCTTTTAAAGAAGACAATATAACCATTCAAGTCCTGAAAAAAATGCAGTTAACATACAGAATTTCCACACAATGTCAGGGGATTCTTGAACTTCTTTATACCCATGAAATCTCCAACTTTGGACACCTAGTTATTAAAAGCTCCATGACCTAACTCAAAAGATGATCTTATGAGAAGCACTATAGCAAAAGATCTCTTTGAATCCCAAATAAATCAGCATTTTAATTTTAATATCTTGAATAATAAAGCATAATGTAACACAATGCTATATACAATAATTACAAACTAAAAGCTATATATATCATGAAATAAAAATATTTTATATTAATGACTAGCTAATATATTAATGACTAGCTTAAGTTATGCATACTTTTTCAATTCATTCATCAATCACATGGAAGTCCCTGGTATAACTTTAATATACTTGGCTATTATTGCTAACATAAAATTATTGGGGGGAAACATAATATTTGCTTAGTTAAAAACAAGGTGAGAAACTTCAAACTTTGCAGACAATGCTACTAAAAGGACACTATTCTCAAAATCATAATTTTAACTAATAATCATCATAATCATCATTTTAACTTATACTGTTTAGTGGAAAACATCTGAAAATGTACATCTAGTGTCTCTTATTGTTATCAACCTTTACTAAGGATAATATATACATATCAGTAAGTTCTCATTAGTAATGTGTTAAGTAGTAGCGGAATGAACCAATGTACCAGTTTAACATCATTTTAACATCATGAAAAGCTGGGATTTATACTGAGTTTGAAAATCCAAGTATACAATAGATACCTTTAAACTATTACCTCCGATCAGGATTTCCACAAGTGAATTGACGTATTTTTAATATGACGTTCAATAAATAGAAAAATGATTAAAGAATGTATTAAAAAGCCATGTCTCTCAACTGTCCGATTATCTGTACTCTTTCATAGAAATACTTTAAATTTTGCTATTTATAATAATTAGCAATTAAATCTAATTTCTTTCTTTTTAGAAGTTTTCTTTTAAATATGGACCCAATCTGTAGGAATAGACCACTAAAGCTAATCAATACTTTCATCAAATTCACTGTAGTAAAAACTGAAAATTAGTTAATAAGGTGAAATTTAATTCAATGTTAACCAGAATTGTTTTAGGTGGATAATAATATAAGCTACCTCCTTATACATAAACCATACAAATTTTGGTAATCGCTAAATGACTTTCAGGGATAAAAGCCCTAAAACATCTCAGAAAGTTGAGAGATGTGGTTAAAGTGATAAAGCAATAAATAAAATTTCAGTCATCCATGACAGAGAGGGGAACAATCACATGGAATCTTGGGTATTATATTCAGTTTCTCCAGCTGATATCTGGCTTAGTCGCTTGTTAGTTCCCCAGAATTTTCGAGAAAGCTGACCTGTTCGCACCTGTTTAAAGAAATCCAGAGAAATAAAATGTTATTAGGAGAAAAAATAAAGAAAATTGACAAATGAAACACTTATTTTGTAGAATGCAGAAGAAATAAGTTTGTTAACAGAATCATTTCAATAATTTTTAAAATATTTATTTATTCATTCATTCATTCATTCATTCAAGCACTAGGTACCGTCAGAATCGCAGGAGGGTGAGAGAATTCACTAGAGCCAGAGCGGAGAGCAGAACAGGCAGACTGACAAAGTACACTGCTGAGGGGAACAGTGGGCAGAGCGGGAGAGGTCTGCGCACAACGTGGGACCCATCGCCGGCGGCCGGGGATTGAACCGGTGCTGCAGAGGCTGCGGGCAGCTTCGCAGCCCAGCACTCAACTACTGCGCCACCAGGGAGGCCTTCAATAATTTTTTTTTAACATTTATTTATTTATACAGGCACTGTGATACAGGTCAGAGACACAGGAGGGTGAGAGAATTCACCAGACAGAGCAGGGAGCAGAATAGGCAGAAGGACCACGCACACTGCTGAGGGGAGCAGCGAGCGAGCGAGCGAGACAGGAGAGGTCTGCCGCGCCATATGGGAATCTCCCTGGCTGGCCTCTGGGAATTGAACCAGCTCTCAGGCTACAGACAGCTTCACAGCGCTGTGCTCAACCTGCCGCACGACCTGGGATGCCCATTTTAATAATTATTGATTAACGGTAATAAAGAAAGGTTTCTACATTGGTCATCTTTCAGTTAAGAAGGGACTAATGTAACACCCAAGTGTAAATTTTTAAATTAAATGTCAGTTTTATCAAAATTACCAGATCACTGGGTTGCGAAGCTGCCCGCAGCCTCTGTGGCGCCGGTTCGATCCCCGGCTGCTCCCCGGCCACTGGAGGAGGGTCCCACATGGCGCGCAGACCTCTCCTGCCGCCCGCTGCTCCCCTCAGCAGTGTACTTCGCTCCTTCTGCCTGCTCTGCTCCCCGCTCTGGCTCTGGTGAATTCTCTCACCCTCCCGCGCTTCTGACTGTACCCAGTGCATGTATAAACAAAACAAACAAATAAATAAATAAATAAAGCATGCCTCTATAAAAAAAAAAAAAAAATTACCAGATCCCTTACTTTCTATATTAATAAAAATATATGCTACTTCATCAAAATAATCTGTTCAAAAATTTACTTAACCTAGGTAACAAGACACATAGATTTGGAGATTTTTCTCCTGAGTTTGTGGTATTTTTAAGGTAAGTTACAAAGGTAAGTAAAATAATGTTTTGATTAAACAATTTGAAAGCAGTATGAAAGCATTTTCATATGAGAAATAAGTCTATAACAATAACAGAATTTATAAAACAGTAACAGTATAAGCTCTTTGAAAAACCAAATTCTGTATACCACTAAATGTACCACCAAGCACAATTTTTATTATTTATTTATTTTTTAAAAGATTTATTTATTTATACCAGATTTGGGGTACTGTCAGAGGCGCAAGAGGGTGAGAGAATTCACCAGAGACAGAGCAGGGAGCAGAACAGGCAGACAGACCAAAGACACTCTTGAGGGGAGCAGTTGGCAAGGCAGGAGAGGTCTGCCACACCATATGGGTTCCTCCCTGGCCAGTAATTGAACTGGCGCTGCAGAGGCTTCGGACAGCTTCACAGCGCTGTGCCACTGGGGAGGTCCCAAGCACAATTTTTAGATGTATAACAATTACTAATTAAATATTAATTGGATCAAAGAATATATACCCCTTTGTAAGTGCTTATACTTCCCCGTGAGAAACATTTCTAAATATATCCATGAGTCGTTGGAATTTCTTCTCCAAGTGCAATTTACTTTTTAATGTGATTTGTCTACCACTACCACTCTTTTTAATGTCACTTTTCAAGAGTACATTTACTGGAGTGACAAAATACAAGTCTCGTGCATAGACACCTTTGGCATGATTATTTTGCATTTCAAGATACACTTTTCATTGATCTTTACCTCATAATTTATAAATATAAACTTCAAGCTTACAATATATAAATCTGATACATGATTCAAAATTATATTTAATCAAGATTTTGTTTTTTAAGAGATATTAGATCTTGAAATAGAAAAGTCTTTTCATAACTAAATTTCGTAACATTAATTTCTGCAGAGTAACATACATTTTAATTATGTAAGATCGTAAGCACTAATTAGATTACTAAAGTAGATCCAGGCCTCCCCGGTGGCGAGGTGGGTTGAGCACAGTGCTGTGAAGCTGTCTGTAGCCTCTACAGTGCAGGTTCGATTCCCCACCAGCCAGGGAGAAACCCACATGGAGGGACAGACCTCTTCTGTCTCAACAGTGTACTTCAGTCTGTCTGCCTGTTCTGTTCCCCACTCTGTCTCTGGTGAATCCTCTCACCCTCCTGTGCCATGCCTCTAGCCTGTACCCCAGTTCTTGTATAAAAAATAAATAAATCTTTAAAAAAAAAATAAAGTAGATCCATAATTTAGTATATTGAAGATGTGAGACTGATTAAAAATACTTTTATTCAAAATCTATACACAATATAGATTTTCCATTTTGCATACTACATAAATTTTTCAATGAGCGGAAGATTGGCAAGTTTAAAAGACACTTAAGTAAACCACAGAAACTGATACATTACTCAAAGAGTACAGTATAGGCAGAGTTTTTATATAATCATCACATTAGCAGAAAACAGGAAGGCAATGCTTACTTGGGTCATTTATTAATCAATAAATAAAATCTATTACTGCTGAATAGAAAATGTTAAAAATGTCTTAATTATATGTGAAAAATAATGAGATGTAGGCTTGTTGACATTGCTTGGGGGACTATTATATCTGAAGCTAAATGGTGGTGCAGACATTTGAATTTAATAAGGCATCTTTTTGTTAAAATATTTTGAAGAGTATAATGACCAAAAAAATCTTAAAATATTTATGAAACAAAAAGGTTCCTATGACAGATTTATTATAAGTACTGACACTGTACTAGTCAATAATGTCTTCCCTGAAACAACCCCCTACCGATATCCTATTTTAGATTTCTCAGAAAAGACAGATGGTATCAATCAAAATTTGTAAGGATCAATTTGACTCTCTGCAATAAAATAAATTTTCTGGAAGGACCATTAAATTACTGGGAATATAGTCACTAAATTTTCCTAAGAACAGTGTGAGGATTTAAGATCTCTGAATATCCAGGAATGGATAAACTAGTGGCTAATACACTTACAGAATCACAGGGAATTCACTGTGAATTAGTACATTACATGGGAATATGTGTGGTCCCCAAGTAAAAATTGTTTAAGACTATATTTCATTTTTTTAAAAGATTTATTTATTTATGCACACAAAAACTGGGGTACAGGCCAGAGGTGTGGGTTTAGGAGGATTCACCAAAGACAAAGTGGGGAACAGAATAGGCAGACTGACTGAAACACACTGCTGAGAGGAGCAGTGGGCGAGTCAGGAGAGGTCTGCTGCGCCATGTAGGTAGCTCCCTGGCTGGGGCTAGAACTCGTGCTGCAGTGGTTGCGGATAGCTTCTTAGGTTGTGTCTTAACCCCTTGCACCGCCAGGGAGGCCCTATATTTCATTTTTTATAAAAGCTTTCATGTAACAAAAATCCCATTACTATCTTGAATCTAGAGTTGGAAGGAGAGAATAACTGATCTTTCTTATTCATATGGGGTGACAGAAACTGCCAAATATGTGCTTTCTATTATATCATAATATAATCTTAAGTGTTAAATACTACATACATCTCTTCTTGCCAGTTACTACCCTTTGAAAAACCAAATTTGTTTTTTAATTTATCACTAATAGGCTTCTGATTCAGTTGGAACAAAGGAGAACCAGTAGAATCCTCAACAATTTATGAAAAAAAATTCTTGATGCTAGCTTTTACCTCTGCTGGTTTCCCGACACCCACTACAATCAATTTGCCATCTTCTAATCCTACAAGAATATGGCTGTATTCCTTGGTTACACATATACAGTGGATAGGCACTCTCATGGATAATGGGTTGATGCTGAGATTCAAGCTACAAGAGAAATAAAAAAACACAAGCATGATTACATGAAAACATAATGGAGTCACAGAATTTTTTATTTAGAAGATAATTTAATGATGATCTAATTCTGCATTCTTATTTTTTAGATGTGAGAACTTAGGTAGAAAGTCTGAATAACTTGTACAAAGATCCATCTTCGGGGCCTCCTCTGTTGGCGCATCTGTTGAGCGCTGGGCTGTGAGGCTGCCTGCAGCCTCTGCAGCGCCAGTTCGTTCCCCGGCCGCCGGCGAGGGTCCCACAAAAACAAAACAAAACAAAAAAACAAAACAACAACAACAACAACAAAGATCCATCTTCATAGCATTACATAAAATGCTTAATAGATCTTTTGTCTATTCACTGTTTTTCTTCTAAACCTATATATCAACTAAATGATTTTTCACCTTGTTTATTAACAAGTGAAAGTTGGATAAACAGGGCAAACTCAAAGTATTTCTGTGTGTAGGGAAGAGAAGGTCAATAAAATTGGTCTGTTTTCTTTCTTAGAAGATGTAGTAGAAAAAAAATAGTTTTGTAATATGTCACTTATAAAATGTTATTGATAAAATGACCTATGTATACACACACACACACATACATATAGATATATATGTGTATATACACACACATACATATATAGGGTTGGCGGAAAAGTCATGACGCATTTTTGCTTGAAAAACAGAAAAAATACATCATGACTTTTCTGATAACCCAATACATACATGAATATGAGGGGTGTGTGTGGGTGTGTGTGTGTGCAGTGTGCATACTACTAATCCAGGAAAACTTTGGCTTCCCCAATATTTCATAGTTGCTAAAAATGACATGTACACAAATACATGATAAACTAAAACATGAAAAATCTTAGACTGCTGATTTTTTCCATCCTAGGCTAGAAGTACTGCCATCTTTCTTAGTAATTTTTATTATTACCTGTGAAGATCTCTTATGGACAGGAATCCTTGTAAGCTGCCCAAAACAATGTGTTCTCCAATTACACATATATCTGATACTTGTTCCATCAGGGTTTGAGACCCTAGATACTTGCCATTTACAGAATACAGATGCAATGCATTCTTATCCTGCAAAGATTAAATGAAGACAATTTGATGATCTTGAATTAAAACTGAATTTTAACATTATCAATTAAAATTTGTATTATAACAGAATGATTATTTGGTTTAAAATTTGGAATAAACAATGGTTGTATTTAAAGAGAAAAAGTGTAGACAATATTATTAAAAGTGATATCAAATGAGAATGTCAATAAATAAACATTAAATAAGAACACTCATATCTCTAAAAGAATTAAAACATTCAATACAAAAAAAAATCCACATTCTTAAAAAGTGTCTTAATTTTTAAAAAGTTTTATCATTGAAGAAAAATAAGCATAGTATTAGTGGCTTGTTTATTAATACCCTGCTTGTTGAAAAGAACTTAATTTGATTATAATTTTTACTTCAGCTTATGAAGCTCCACATAACCAGAAATTATTTTTGAAATCATGTACTATATAGTCCAACAGAAATCCCTAAGACAAAATACAAACACAAGGTGATGACTAAGGTAGGATTCCATCCAACGGCAAGGAATGAATAAAAAGAACAATAAAGAAAAGATCCTTCAAATGTCTCATATAAATAACATGGAAAAGGAAAGACAAGCTTATAGATAGGCAAACCCTACTGCATAAAAATGTCATATACCTTGAGGGTTGTTTTTTCTTCAATGCTGGAGTAAATGACTATATGTCCATCCCAAGATATGGCCAAATTGGGAATGGTCAGGAGTAGAGAACTTTCACAAGGTGGTCGTAAAGTCCTCATGTACTGACCCTTCTGAATGGTATGTATAATAACCGTGCCATCCTACACACAGAAAATATTAGAAAATGAAAAAGAGGAAAAGAAAGTAGGTCAAATAAAGACATGTGGGAAAAGAACTGAAAAAATTATTTACTAAGGACACATGTAGTTTAGGAAAAATTTCAATCTTAAAATCTCAAATAGCATTTTATATCATAAAATGCCCTCTTCCCTTAACTCAGAAATCCAGTAAAATTCCCAAATAGAATCATCTTAAATTTTTTCTTTCTGTATTACTCTATTTTTACAAAGTGCTACATATAAAAAAATATTCTATGCTTTTTTCAATTCCTCTAGGAAAAAAGTTAAATATAAATATTACTTTTGAATTTGTAGAAAAAATTAGTATTTCTTAAAAGTGAAATCTTACCCTTGATCCTGACACTGCCATGTCTAGCTCAGTGCTGATGCAGACGCTCAAGACCTCATCAGTGTGTCCATATAGGATCTGAAAGGGTTTAGATGCTAAGCCCACAGGAACACCTCCCTAATATTTAAAGCAGAAAAGCAAAGATAAAGATTTTTTTTCTGTAAGCTATATTTTATTTAAAAAGGTTTATACTGCATTTAAACTGTAATCACTAATATTGCACTAGTTCTTACCAATGAATCTGTTACAGTAGTACTCATTGTATATTTCCTTATCTTCTTAAATTAGTCTTTTGAAACTCAAAAACAAACTGAATATTTTCAAGGATGGTTTTACAGATGAATGGATCAAATGTGTTATATATACATAATGGAATACTGTTCAGCAGTCAAAAAAGATAAATTCATGCCACTCACAGCAAATGGATGGAGCTAGAAGGGATTACATTCAGTGAAATAAGTAAGAAGAAAAAGAAAAATATTGGATGGTTTCACTACAGGAGAAATATAGGGAAACTGAACAAAAGGCACAAAAAAAACCCCAAAAAAGATGAAACCTGCAGGCAAACTACAGATCTGAGGCATACAGCAGAGGAGGGGGAAGGAGAGCAGTCAAAACAGGAGAGGGAAGAGCACAAGTAACTACGGTGATAGTTCACAGGTGATGTGGTTGTGGGAGATTTATGGGTACTACACCTGAGGAGAGAAATCAAATATTGTACAAAAATGAACAACAATGTAAGAAAATAAAATGTTTAGTCAATAAAAAATAAAACCAAAACTAATAAAGAAAATCCAAAGTTGATGGTTTTAGATTAATTTTAATAGGTACATCATTTTCATTTATAGAGTTATTCTTTCTTCTCTTCAAAGAAACTTTTTATATTATACCTCTGAATACTTTTCCATTTACTGGATTACATTTCAGAAACATAAATTATCATTATGCTGATTTGTCTTCTATTTCTATAGCTATCAATTCATTTTTTTAAAAAAGATTTATTTATTTTTATACAAGAGCTGGGGTACAGGCTAGAGGTGCCAGAGGGTGAGAGGATTCACCAGAGACAGAGCAGGGAGCAGAACTGGCAGACCACTGAAAAACACTGCTGAAGAGAGCAGCGGGCGTGACAGGAGAGGTCTGCCACACCATGTGGGAATCTCCCTGTCTAGCCAGGAATCTAACCTGTGCTGCAGAGGCTGCAGACAGCTTCCCAGCGCTGCTCTCAACCCACTGCACCACCAGGGAGGCCCTATCAATTCTTTTCTAATTGCTTTACTCCTTTTATTTTTCATTTGTACTTATTTTGATTGTAAAATATTTTTAAAATGCTAATAATTTGATTTTCAACCACACCAAATCTGTTCTTTGTGGTTCTGTTTTGGGCTTACTTATATTTGCAATGATAGAAGATTTAATCAGCTTGATTCTTCTGTAATCTGCCATTTTCATCTTATGGTATTTTATTAATATATTTTCATCTTTGAGATCCAATTTTATTGAATTCTTTTTTTTTTTAGATTTATTTATTTATACAAGAACCGGAGTACAGGCCAGATGTGCGAGAGGGTGAGAGGATTCACCAGAGACAGAGTGGGGAACAGAACAGGCAGACTGACAGAAACACACTGCTGAGGGGAGCAGGGGGCGAGATAGGAGAGGTCTGCTGGTCATGTGGGTATCTCCACGGTCAGGAGGGATAGAACCAGCACTGCAGAAGCTGCAGACAGCTTCACAGGGCTGTGCTCAACTGCCTGCGCCACCAGGGAAACCCTGAACTTAATTCTTACTATGTTCTTTGAACAGCACAATTTTACTGCATGAAATCTCCCTGTATTTGTTTTCTTCCAGAAGAGATGAGTTTGCATCTGTTTTTAAACTGCATTATTTATGTATTACTTTCCATTGCTTATATAGCTGTCATTGTCCAGACCTGCTACCTGTCTTATATGAGGTAGATAAATATGACTTGGTACTCTATAACTGAGAAACATCTGTCTTCCTTGAAGAGTATCAGTCCAATCAGAGTATACATTCTTATTCATTTTTATTTTTTTTAAGATTTATTTATTTATGCATATAAGAGCTAGGGCGCAGGCCAGAGATGCGGGGTGGGGGCTCAGAGGATTCACCACAGAGTGGGGAGCAGAACATGGAGATCCACTGAAATACACTGCTGAGGGGAGCAGTGGGAGAGACAGAAGAGGTCTGCTGCACCATGTGGGTCACCTCCCTGGCCAGGGAACAAACTCATGCTGCAGTGGCTGCGAATAGCTTCATAGTGCTGCGTCTTAACCCCTTGCGCCACAGGGGAGGTTCCTGGCATAAGGGATATTCTGCCCAGAAGTAAAATATTATTTTTCAGTCTATATTGTTATAGAATATATATTCCCTGTGTATTCTATTAAATATAATAGATTCATATATATGTAAAATAGCCAATGTTATATACTGTATATGAAATATAGAAAAATTAGTTACTAATGGATCAAAGATTGAAATGTAAAAACATTTTCAAAAGAAAATCTTAAAGAAAAAACTTAAAAAGTTTAGATATTTTTATAAGTCTAGAATGAATGAAGTTCTGTTAAAAGCAAGGCAGAGGGCATCCCTGATGGCACAGGGGGTTGAGTGCCGCACTGTGAAGCTGTCTGCAGCCTCTGCAGCGTGAGTTCGATCCCGGCCAGCTGGCGAGAATACCACATGGCAAGGCAGACCTCTCCTGTCTCGCCCGCTGCTCCCCTCAGCAGTGTATTTCATCAGTCTGCCTGTTCTGTTCCCCGATCTGTCTCTGGTGAAGCCTCTCACCCTCCCGCACATCTGGCCTGTACCCCAGTTCTTGTATAAATAAATAAATCTTAAAAAAAAAACAGATTTATATAAAAAAAAGCAAAGCAGAAAATACAGAAGCTATAATAATGACAAGAGATGCTTCATTGAGCCAACATTACTAAGAGAATATAGTAAGGGTGATAAAATTACAATTCTTTAATTTCTAGTAATCCCACCTGAAAGGAAAACAGAAATATTATCATGAAAACAAGACAAAGAAAATAACAATTGTTTCATTAGAAGAGGTTAACAAGAAGTTTTAGAAAAATAATAGGGGATAAGGTCATGAATCAGATAGTAAATCCAGGGGAAAATGTGGTGACCAGAACCAGACATATGGGAGTAAAGAATGCAAGGGAGCTCAAATAATCATTCAGTGTCAGAAAAATTCACTATTAGAGCATCTCAACAGTAATCCCAGGATGAACTTCTGATCTAAACCAAAAGTATTTAAATATATAACTACCTGTTGTGTTATTTGCCATATCATACATGTAGTATCTCTTGATCCAGAAATCAAATGTATGCCACAGTAATCTGTAGCTAAACAAGTCACAATATCTGTAAGAAAAAAAGAATTAAATACATGACATGGCTTTAGTTTTATGTTCAACTTATTAATAAATCATTTTTTCAAGCAGAGAAATGTAGGACTGACACTAGAAAAGCATTGGGAAACAATGACACAGGGAAAAAGCAGTACTGAAATCATGTAGGAAAGCTTTGAGGTCACCTTTTTTTGAGGGTGAAGATAAGATGTGGGGCAGGGAAATGCCTGTCAGAATTTTGGCAAAAGGTTAGGTACCTTGAAATGGACATTCAATTAGTTTTGATAGGCCTCTCTACTTTCTCACTCACTCACTCCCATTCACCTTCTATTTCCTTTGACAATGGCAATCCCATTGAACATGTGTCCTTAACCAAAATAGTACATTTTACACTGTAAATTCATAATATAAAATACATTTTCCCTAAAATGTAAAACCATGAGCTGACATACAGATGTCACTGATACAGAATTAGTAACAGATTCCACTTCCCTTTCATAATAAGTATTATTAGGAAAAGATTTACTGTTTTATTCTTATATTGAAGACTAAGACACTAATAATGTACAAGGTTAAAAGTACATTCAATAATTTGAATCTTTGGTGCTCTATTGTTAACCAAGTAATAAGGGAGATATGTCTTCTTCAACTATGACAGGTTTATTATCATTTTATCCTAAAATTCTTATCTCAGTCTAACAACTTTCAGACAGTTTGAAGCTGTACTGAATTTATTTATTTATTTTTTAAAGATTTAATTTTATTTATTTATACAAGCACTGGGTACAGTCAGAAGCGCGGGAGGGTGAGAGAATTCACCAGAGCCAGAGCGGGGAGCAGAGCAGGCAGAAGGACAGAAGTACACTGCTGAGGAGAGCAGCGGGCGGCAGGGGAGGTCTGCGCGCCATGTGGGACACTCCTCTGGTGGCAGGGGAGCAGCCGGGGATCGAACCGGCGCTGCAGAGGCTGCGGGCAGCTTCGCAACCCAGCGCTCAACCGCTGCGCCACCGTGGAGGCCCTGTACTGAATTTATATGCTGCTTTAGTATACCCAAAATAAACTAGAAAGAATATTATATTTGAAATAGCCAAGATATGGAAACAAACTAAATGCCCCCCAAAAGATCATTGTATCAAGATGTGTGTGTGTGTATACACACACACACACAGTGGAATACTATTCAACGACCAAAAAATATAAACTCAAGCCATCTGCAGCAACACGGATGGAAATGGAAGGGATTCTTTTTTTTTTTTTTTAAAGATTTATTTATTTGTTTATTTATTTATTTATACAAGCACTGGGTACAGTCAGAAGCACAGGAGGGTGAGAGAATTCACCAGGGTCAGAGTGGAGAGCAGAGCAGGCAGACTCACGAAATACACTGCTGAGGGGAGCAGCGGGCAGCAGGAGAGGTCTGCGCGCCATGTGGGACCCTCCTCCAGTGGCCGGGGAGCAGCCGGGGATCAAACCGGCACTGCAGAGGCTGCGGGCAGCTTTGCAACCCAGCGCTCAACCGCTGCACCACCAGGGAGGCCCATGGAAGGGATTCTTCTAAGCAAAGTGAGGTAGAAGAAAGAGAAATACTGGAAGTTCTCACTTACATGTGGCATTTAGAGAAACCAAACAAAGGGACAGAAAAAAAAACCTGCAAGCTGACCATACACCTGAGGCACAGCAGGGAAGGAGTGGGAGAGGGGTCAAAACAGGAGAGGGAAGAGCACAAGATACTGTGATGAGGGATAATGGGTGCTATGGTGGCAAGAGAACCATGGGAACTACATCTGAGGGGAGAAATCAAATGCTATCCAAAAATTACCAAAGATGTGAAAAAATAAATAATTAAAAGAATTTTAAAGAAATACTCTTAAAGTATAAAATATTCAAACACTGCTCTACCAAAGACTTCACTTGGGTTTCAAAGGTAAAATTAATGCTTTTTGTAAGGAGTATGTACTATTTTTGTAATTAGAAAAAACACAGAATTTTTTGGGGGGAAAAACATTTATGCTTACCCATATGTCTGATATTGTGTGAAATAACTTTGCCTTTTGTAAGTGACATCACTTGAATGCTATTATCCCAGTGTCCAGCACTGAAAAGCAACTTTGCATCATGTGATACTATAAATAGCTTAGAAGTAATCTCCAGTCCTGGAGCAAAAGGACCATTCATACTACGCTGAGTTCTGTAAAAACAAATAATAAATGTTTTCTTAAAAGATAACTTAAGACCAATACCAACTATTTTTTAAAAGATTTATTTATTTATGCATATAAGAACTGGGGTACAGGCCAGAGGTGTGGGGGGTGAGAGGATTCACCAGAGAGAAGGGGGAGCAGAACAGGCAAACTGACTGAAATACACTGCTGAGGGGAGCAACGGTAATCAGGAGAGGTCTGCTGCGCCACGTGGGTCTCCTTCCTGGCTGGGGATCAAACTCCTGCTTCAATGGCTGGCTGTGGATAGCTTCATAGGCTGCATCTTAACCCCTTGCACTGGCAGGGAGGGGCCAATATCAACTTTTTTTTTTTTTTGAAGATTTATTTATTTATTTATTTATACAAGCTCTGAGTACAGTCAGAAGCGCGGAGAGGGTGAGAAAATCCGCCAGAGCCAGAGCGGGGAGCAGAGCAGGCACAAGGACCGAGGTACACTGCTGAGAGGAGCAGCGGGCAGCAGGAGAGGTCTGCGTGCCATGTGGGACCCTCCTCTGGTGGCCGGGGAGCAACCAGGGATCGAACCGGCGCCACAGAGGCTGCAGGCAGCTTCGCAACCCAGCGCTCAACCGCTGCGCCACCAGGGAGGCCCAATATCAACTATTTTTTAATCTCTTAAGAAAACCCAAGTCTATTCAACTATTTATCTTGAAATGTTTATTAATAAATCAAAAAGGCTTTCAGAAAATTGATTAATCTCATTTTATGTATTTTTTTACTAAATAAGGAACACAACCTATAATCTCAAGAGGTAAATATACAGAAGTTGAGATTGGTGAAGGATGAAAGAAAATTGGTGAAGAATGAAAAAAAGTATTACCCCTAATAAATATTACTATTTTCCTTCTTTAAATGAGTAATTTATCAAAGTAAAGAAACATCACCTTAAGTTAAAATGGAAGCTTTGGAGACTTACATTAAAAAAAAAAAAAAAAACTAAGGTAAATAACAATTTCTTATTGCATAAAACACACAAGACCTATTCATAAATAATATTGTACTATACTATTATAATTAACCCTAAAAACTATCCCTAATAATTTTTGCTTCAATAATACTATAGAAATTATTTTGTCTTTAATGAGTATCAAGCCAGGGAGTAGGAAAGAGGGAAGTAAAAGAGAAAGGAGTAAGGAAGGCATGGCAGAGGAAAATCTGCAACTACAATATTACTTTCAATATGACACCAATCAACTGATCTATCTGTTCTTCTGACGTTAGCTTTAAATGTTTCTTTACTTACTTTGGATTTGTCACAGATTGATCTTTGAAGAATGTAAAGTAATTAGAAATGTTTCTGTCATAAGGCAGCCATCCATGTGTCCCAATAACATAATTCATGCTTACTGTTACCTAGAGGGAAAAAATCCATGGAGATAAAAATTAAATGAATGATTAAAGAAAACAGCAGAGGATAACCAAATATTCACAAGATGTTAACATTGATCATTGAAGGAATAATGTAGCATTATAGACTTAAAACATGAAACTCATTAAGAATGTCTTAAAATATTTCCAATGGAAAAAGCATTTAATCTTACTGCAAGAAAAGCTACCCAATATATCGTTCTTTAGTAAATTATTTTCTTCACAATTTCTCAGTTTATTAGCGTGTATTAGTTGGTAGACAAAAGTAATTAAGGGTCAGTTCTTACCATAAAAATACGGTATTTTATTTATCAATTAGACCACAAATCAGAAAATGAACTATGAAGTTTTAAGGTATCCCTTAGTGACAGTCATAGTGAGTATTTTCTTTTCAAGATGAAAAGCTTTTCCTCTTTGATTTTAAAATCAACAGATTACCCAGCTCCAAAAATCAGAGAACTTTAAAGATGAGAGTCATAAGAATTCCACCATTTAAAAATGTACTGTTATAGTTTTTGCATTATCTTTCTAGATCTTTTTCAAAGCAAACACACAACTATGCATAATTAGAAAAAGTCTAATTCTGAAATCTAATGTTCAGAGGGCATTAACCCATTTTTATGGAGTAACTCCAGTAATTTCTAAGTGACAAAATTAGAGTAAGATAGACTGAGGGGGCCTCTCTGGTGGTGCAAGGGGTTGAACAAAGCACTGTGAAGCTATTCACAGCCTCCACAGAGTGAGTTTGATCCCCCAGCTGGCCAGGGAGCTAGATCTCTCCTTTCTTACCCGCTACTCCCCTCAGTAGTCTATTTCGGTCAGTCGGCCTGTTCTGTTCTCCATTCTGTCTCTGGTGAATCTTCTTCACCCCCTCCCCCGACCTCTGGTCTGTATCCCAATTCTTTTATGCATGGATAAATAATTCTTTTTAAAAAAAAAAAAAAATAGACCTAGGTTTGGTCCATTGCCAATAATTGATCCCTTACTTCTAGCTCTGTGACCCTGATCAAGTCACTTCTGAGTTTAATTTCTAATCTGTAGAAGGGAAATAATAATAGCACCTATCTCACAGGGCTGTTGGTGAATTAAGATGACAAAATTAATTTAAAGTACTAACTGACATGCACTGCAAGTATAGCTTAAGCAATTCATATTATTTCTCATCCTATTATTACTATTAGTTTTATGATAAATTTAATATCTGGTAAGATGCTATTACCTGTTTTCTAAAATACAATTTTCATATATTTATAGTCCAGATAAATTATAAAATAACAGTAATTAATTAAAAGCTGTATAAATAGAAAATGTATTTTTATACTTGGTTAAATTCTATTAAAATTTTCTCTTATTTTTAAACTTGGTTTTAAAATTTCTTTATCTTCTCGTTTTTGTGTGTGTTTGAGTTGTAATGTATAGAGACATGACAATGTGGAAAAGGTACAAATCAACTTACCAGTAACTCAGGACTGCCTTGAGACATAAAAGAACGAGACTGATTTTTGGGGACAATGGCCTTTATTATCGGAATGCCATCACTAATTCCCTGTAAAATAAAAGACAGAAGTTTAATGTCTGGTTCTGCTATCTTTAGCAGGTACAAATTATTGAAACTTTTTATTTCTTTAAACAAGGCTGAATACTGTGATATAGCATTTTACTCTATTAAAACATGACCTAACTTAAAATAAAGGACAGGAATTATACACCATTTTGGATGGCATATTTGAAGCATCTGATACCCATCAGCTTCTCATATTGCGCTATTTTATTGTTAAAAAGTAAGTAGATTTCAAGGAGCATCGACCATTTAAAACAGCCAGCTTTTCCCTGGCTATACTGACATAAAGTAGAAAATATAGAACCTATATAAGAGTACACATTCCTCAAAAAAGTCAAATAGGAAAACTGATTGTTTTTCTTTTTTTCTTTTATCTTTTACATAATTGTTTATTTCCCATAAAATTCCCATCACCAATTCACCTATGCACCATCACCATAGTCCCTTGTGCTGTTCTCTGCCCTGTTTTGGTCCCTTTTCCTCCTCCTTTCTAACAGAATGTTTTTGATTTATGGTTGCCTGCTAATTTTGTTATTATTATTGTTTTTTTTTTCTCTGATCCCTTATTTGGTTCCCCTATATTCCTCCTGTAAGTGAAACCATTTGACATTTTTCTTTTTCCTTCTGGCTTATTTCACTGAGCATATTCCCTTCTAGCTCCATCCATGTTGCTGGAAATTGCATGAGTTTATCTTTTTTGCTTGTTGAATAATATTCCATTGTGTATATAGACATCTTCTTGTACCAGTCATCTATTTTTTGGGCATTTGGGTTGTTTCCAAGTCTTACCTATTATAGTGTTGCAATAAACAGGGGTGCAGGTATCTTTTTGAATTAATGTTTTTGTTTCCTTTGGGTAGATTCTTAGGAGTGGAATTGCTGGGTCATATGGTAGCTCCATTTTTAGTAGTTTGAGGAACCTCCACACAGCTTTTCTTTGTGGTTGCACCAAAAACTGATAATGTTTTATAGAAATTTCCTTTTGGGTTTGAACAAGCATAAATGAAAATGGTGCCTAAAGAAATCCATTTGTTAAGTCATTCCTTTTACTGCTACCTCCATTTTTCTTCATTTTATTACCTAGGAAGACAGGTCTTCTCTTTTCATGTGAATGAGTGGGAAATAGCTAGTAAGATGATGATTAGCCCTTTAGTAGCAGCTGGGAACATCATGACAAAAAGTTCCTTACACACACTGGCATAAAACTTCTCCTCAATGGTAAGGTGGCTCACCATGCCTACACTTTCGTGCAAACAGGCATGTACTAGGCAAAGGGTGCCTGTGTAACCAGAACCCAATAAAAACTCTGATGCTGAGTCACAAATGAGCTTTATTAGTAGGGAAAAAAACATGTTTGCATATTTCATTACTTAAAAAATTAAGTATATCCTGTGTGACTTCACAGGGAGGGGACTTGTGGCCTGTTGCGCCTGGTTTTCACCCCATGTGCTTTTGTCACTTTGCATTCCTTCACTGTTAACTGAATACAAATATGTGTTAAATTCCTATGAACCCTATATGTTAAATTCCTATAGATCCTTCTAGCAAATCACCAACTTTGGTAGTAGTTTTGGAGACCCAGAACAAATCCTGGGAATTTTGTCATCATTTCTAAGCATTGTTTCTAGACAGTCTGAGTTTCAGACTAATATACTATTGGGAAACAACCAATTTTGTAGAGTTTATATTATTAAGCGTCAATAAATAAGAATGTAGGAAAACAGTGACAAAAATTAATGTTGAGGTTTTTTCACAAACATGTGAAATACATTTTACATTAAAATACTGTGGAGCTTAAATTAATATTGTTCATCTGAGTAAAATTCGGTATAAAGTTATAACTGTCATAAACTTTATAAAAATTATTTGCATCAAATCATCAAAGATTATATAAAAATGTCCCATGATAGGGCCTCCCCCGTGGTGCAGCGGTTGAGCGCTGGGTTGCGGAGCTGCCTGCAGCTTCTGCAGCGCTGGTTCGATCCCTGCCGGACGAGTGTCCCACAGCATGCGCAGACATCTCCTGCTGCCCACTGTTCCCCTCAGCAGTGTATCGTCAGTCTGCCTGTTCTGTTTCCCGCTCTGGTGAATTCTCTCACCCTCCCGCGCTTCTGACTGTACCCAGTGCTTGTATAAATAAATAAATAAATCTTTTAAAATAAAAAAAAAAGTCCCATGATATTGAACCTATAAAACTATACAACAATGATGCTTTACTACAGAGCTATAAAACTAGGCATGTGGAACAATCCATTCTACTATTTGTTTTATAGACTGTGTGTAAGCTAAGAATGCATTTTACATTTTTAAACAATTATATTTCAAATGGTTATTTATGTGCCTACATAATAACCTGAATGTGGACTTTGGACTCCAAAGTTCAAAATATTTACTATCTGACCCATTAAGTAGTTCAACCTCAGCTATGCTCTATGACAGTCACTGCTTGTTTCATGTACATCTCCAACTATTCTTAATATTCACATCCCGAACTATTCAAATCAATACAATATGTATATTTAAATCTCTGAATTTGAAGGTGCATTTTCAATTATAGCAGTTAATTATCCTGTTTTACTTGCTATTTTTTTCTGATGTTATCAATTAATAATAGGACTTATTAGGCCATATTTTATATGAGCAAGTATTATAATTATTTTAGTTTCTATCTATATATTATCTCAACTGTCACCAAAAAAATTTATATAAAATTATTTATTCTTCATCAGGAAAATGTGAAATAGAAGAAAGTAAGTCAAGAGAAATAGTTCAGAGTACCACTCAAGCAGCAAGTAAAAGCTTTCATTAATACTGTTTTAAACATCTAAGAACAGATTACTGTAATATTATTTACTATTTTGGATTAAGTACTATAAATTCACCCCACACACAAAGAACAAAGGGAAAGTTGAGGTGTATATAGAATTCACAGAGAAAACTTTTTGATATTATCAAATTGGATATTACCTCTATAAAAAATGACTTGAGTTCAGAGAGGTGTTGAAATAGGTTTACAGTTGAAGTGTCTGTTTTGGTCTGCTTCTGCGATGCTTCCTCTGCTGATAATCTAGGAGGGTGTGGATCCTTTAAAATAATTAGAGGGAAAAATAATTCCATAATTGTATTACGATCTCTCTCACTGTATTCCTTTGTATAAGCAACATTAACTACAAAGGCTACATACCATGCACTGTTGAAAAAGCCAGGCCAGGGGGCCTCCCTGGTGGCGCAAAGGGTTAAGTCTTAGCACCATGAACCTATCTGCAGCCACTGTAGCACTAGTTCGTCTGGCCAGGGAGCTAACCCACATGGCACAGCAGACCTCTCCGGTCTCACCTGCTATTCCCCTCAGCAGTGTATTTCAGTAGATCTGCATGTTTTGCTCCCCATTCTCTCTCTAGTGAATCCTCTCATACCCCCTGCACCTCTGGCCTGCACCCCAGCTCTTACTTGAATAAATAAATGACTCTTAAAAAAAAAAATGCTAGGCCAGGGTTCAAACTATTCCCTCAGCAGAGTTCTTACCCTCTTCATTACTATCTGTTTTGAAATTTTTCTTATTGACCTCTCCTGTCTTGACTGCTGCTCCCCTCAGCAGTGTACTTCAGGAGATCTGCCTGTTCTGTTCCCTACTCTGTCTTTGGTGAATCCTCTCAACCCCTGCCCCGCACTGCTGGTCTAACCCCAGCTCTTGAATACATAAGTAAATAAAATAAATCTTTTAAAAATTGTTCAAAAATATGTATATTATTGGTTTCAGGTCTTATGTCTAATTCTTTAATCCATTTTGAGTTGATTTTTGTGTATGGTGTGAGGTAGTGGTCAAGCTTCATTCTTTTGCATGTAGCGACCCAGTTTTCCCAGCTAAAAATATGTATATTATTGGATAGTCAATACCTAGAACAGTATCTTAAATATGGTATATACTTAATAAATGTTTGGCAACAATAAATGCATTATTCAAAATTTATAATATGGGTGAAACTTTAGAGATACTGCTGCATTTCTTTTCAAAAAAATTTAATTTTAAGGCCTCCCTGGTGGCACAAGGGGTTAAGCACCGCACTATGGAGCAATTCACAGTCTCTGCAGCACAAGTTCGATCCCCAGCCAGCCAGGAAGCTGCTCACATTGCGTGGCAGACCTCTCCTGCCTCGCCTGCTGCTCCCCTCAGCATTGTAGTTCAGTCAATATGCCTGTTCTGTTTCCCACTCTGTCTCTGGTAGATCCTCTCACCCAGCGCATCTCTGGCCTGTGCCCCAGCTCTTATATGCATAAACAAATAAATCTTTAAAAAAATATATTTAACTTTAATGTCAAAGATGCAGAACAGTATCACTTTTATAAATAAGAAAATGACAAATCTAACATCCCAAAAGCACAGTTAAAATACATAAAGGAATTCTTTTTTTAATATTTTTTTAAAGATTTATTTATTCATACATATGTAAGAGCTGGGGTACAGGCCAGAGATGCAGGGGGTGAGAGGATTCACCAGAGAAAGAGTGGGGAACAGAATAGGCGGATCAACCAAAGTACACTGCTGAGGGGAACAGCGGTCGAGTTAGGGGAGGTCTGCTGCACCATGTGGGTTGCTCTCTGGCTGGCCGGGGATCAAACTCTTGCTGCAGAGACTGCGGACTGCCCCATAGTGCAGTGCTTAACCCCTTGTACCCCCAGGGAGGCCCTAAAATGCATGGGAATTCTATCTGAAAGACATTTACCTGTTTACATTGTTAAATATTAGATTACAGGAAATATGCAACAATTTAACTTCTTATAAGTTATAAAGTTATACAATAAACACAACAATTTCACTTCAGATAAATACATCAATATTTAGCTCTCAATTATCCTTAAGTGATTATATACACTATTTAAATCAAAGGCTAATTCTGTATCATTTTTATGGAGCTCAAACTAATTAAGACATCTCTTATAAAAGAAAGAGAAAAGTAAAGCTGGTGCAAAAATATTATCAGGTATTTCAAAACTCAATGAAGTGGTCTGTTTCATTCCAATACTTTTGCCTTTGACTCTATTAGCAGATAAGGGATAATGTACTGACTTCAAAAATGTCTACTCTGTATAAATCAGTGTTGGGAGCTTCAAAAACGGTTGCTAAGGAATAGTAACAATTATAAAGCTTAGTTTGAAACTGAATTAACAGAAATACATCTAGAAGACAGAGCTTAAATGCAGTGTTGCTGTAAAAGTTGTGGAGATTTCAACAAATACTATACACAAACTGTTATGTAATAAAGACACAAATATGATTAAGAAAAGGCTGTTGCCTTTAAATATTTATAATGTAATTAAGCAAATGGATAAATATACAACTAACTAAGGCAGAAAGTATCATAATTAGGATATAAATAGAACATGGGAAAGTGATCTAGTTCAAAAAAGGAGCTTATACCTATTAATGCATAAGAAACAGCATGGCAAAAAGGCTTTGAAGTTAGACGGTTATATATCTAAGTCCTGCCTCAGTCACATTCTGGTTGTTTAAACATGGAAAAAATATTTGATTTTGCTAAGGTGTTACAATTTAGTTATTAATTTCTATGAGGCTTGGCTTCATCATCTGAAAAATGAATATAACTGAATATTTACTATGAGGGTTATGTAAACCATCTGACATAAAAAAGTATCAAATTGATGAATATTATTGTGCATCACATTTTTAAGTCCATACATTAACAGAGGTCAAGATATCCTTGAAAACAAAGATTGGAACAGCTCCTATAAATCCAAAGCTGTGTGTAATCAGAAAGAGATTTAACCTTATATATTAATATAAGGGGAAAGAAATATAATAATCTTTATAATATGATTCTTTATTTTATATGTTTGTAATTTTACATTTAAGGTTGGGTTTGGGTTTTGGATGGTAAGTGCCCTTTTATAGATAATGTCAGCTACCAGAAGTCATGTATATGGAACATGTACCAATATAAGGATAGTTTTAATGGTGTAACTTAACTGGTATTCAGTTTGAGTTCCTTCTCCATTTAAATAAAAGACCTATCAGGTGACCTTCAATTTCACCTTTTCCTTCTTCAGAAATAACAAAATAAGGTGATTGGCTAGGGAACAAACATAAATTCTTCTGTGACTTAGGGTAATTAGCTGTAGGGGCCTCCTTGGTGGAGCAAAGGTTATGTCTTAGTACTAAGAAACTATCTGCAGCCACTGCAGCACAAGTTCAATCCCTGGCCAGGGAGCTAACACATAGTGCAGCAGACCTCTTCTGTCTCCCCCGTAGCAGTATATTTCAGTCATTTGGCCAATTCTGTTTTCCACTCTGTCTCTGGTGAATCTTCTCACCCCCCGCACCTCTGGCCTGTACCCCAGTTCTTGTACGCATAAATAAATAAATCTTTAGGGCCTCCCTGTGGTGCAGGCAGTTGAGTGCAGCGCTGCGAAGCTGTCCACAGCCTTTGCAGTGCCGGTTTGATCCCCACCGGCCGTGGAGATACCCACATGGCAAACAGACCTCTCCTGTCTCGCCCACGGCTTCCCTCAGTAGTGTATTTCAGACAGTCTGCCTGTTCTGTTTCCCACTCTGACTTCGGTGAATCCTCTCACCCTCCCGCACATCTGGCCTGTACCCCGGTTCTTGTATAAATAAATAAATCTTTAAAAAAAAAACTTCAAAAAAAGAGTAAAATTAGCTGTATATGTGAATTTTTACTGCATATTTGTTATTTCAAAATCAGAACAATATGTGAATCTATTTACTTTTTGAGTAACAGTATAATTTTTTCCAAATTTTAAGTAATTATGAAATAAGGTTTTAAATATTTAAAATCCTAGGAAACACTGGTAGTACTACTCCTTAGCAATTCAATTCTAGCCTTCTTATGTTATCAATAACTTTTATCATTTACCTTTAACAGCTGACAAGGTGTTTGCCCAAAATTATTAATCATCCCTTCTAAGGCTTTTCTTTCCTTCTCATCTGTTAAGGCATCCAGATCCACAGCTCCTAAAGGCAAAAGTAGTCAGCTCACTATGGAGTGAAAACAAATCTGCAAGCCACATAACTGATTAAAATATTAGAGACTGATTAGTATGTTTTCAACAAAATATTATTCTATCTTTCAAGTCATAGAAACAATGTAAAGAAAGAGTTAATTTTTTTAAACTAACAAAATTTCAAACATTAAGTACATATAAAAATAAATTCTAACCACTATTTAGAAATAAAATATTTAAAATAAATGTCAATCGGTAGTCTATAAATAAAATTTGTCTAGGAAAATAAAAGCTATATTCATAGTACACCTCATTTTTTTTTTCATGATAGTCAAGTTGAAACCAGTGAATTAACCACACAATACTATTGTAAGTTACTGTTTATTTAACAAGTATTGGAGAAGGTGATATTCTGGTTAACTGATTATATCCAATCACATTTAATAAGGATTACTACATGGCCATTAATTGGTCGAACTAGGTAACTCTGATTTCAATCTACATTCCTAGTTACCATGTTATACTACTTCTTTACAAAACTATCATCTGAATGAATTAGAAAAAAAATACTATTAAACCTTTCAAAGTCTTCAAAATGTTCTTGATTCTGAGTTAAATAGAATAATGTCATCTTATTTCACATTTGAAAAATTTATTTCTAATTCTTTTTCTTGGTTATTTTCAATTTATTTTCAATTCAAAAGATCTTCTTCCAGAGTCTATTAACAATTTAATACTGATTATTCAATGTAGCCCACTAACTAGAACATATATGGAGTGAGATCAAAAACTTTCATGTCACCAACATTTGACACTTATAATAGATTTGCATATATATTTACTACTATTTAAAAATGCATCAGTCTCTTAATCATTCAGATAGAAAAAGACGATTATAATTATTTTTAAATGGATTTTTATATTAAGTAGTTATGTCCAAAATAACATTAAATAATAGTTATATAGATTTTACTAACATTTATTACTATATAAAATAAAGTTTAATAATATTAAATAATTGTTTCTATCAATATAATTGTAAGGTCAGGAATGGCCACAGAGTAGGTTTTCTATGATCTCATGCAGACGGGGTAAAGGAGGAGAGTCCTGGAGACCTCTGTGGCTTTTGCAGGTCTTTTATTTAGATTTACCAGGCATATGGCAAGCAGGGGTTCTGGGGGGCCGGGAGGCTGGCATTCCTCCCAGCCCCTAACAAATCCTCACTCTATCTGGGCTCTCTGGCATTCTCTCTGCTTTTCTTCTTCTTCTCTCGGCTTCTGTTCATTCTTGGCTTTTGCTGGAGTCCCCATGATGCCACCCTTATAAACTTAGTCTCTCAGCCCAGGTATAGCCACTTCAGGTGCCCGCCAGCAGGCATGCATTCAGGACCTCAGGTTCTCTCATCTATCCTAATGGCGGGAGGGCAGAAAAGCCTGATACTTTTACCTTACCCTACAATAATACAAGGGAAAAAGTACAAAGACTTAACGATACCTTCATAACTACAGTAATAGAAAACATTAAGTGCCTCCACTGCAGCTGGCCCTCTCTGTTTATAGCCAAAAATCAGATCTATCCATTCATGAAGATGAGCAGAAACATATTCAGACTCCTAGAAAAAGAACAAATTTAGTATTTAATATACAGATGCCTTCTAATGACAATGTAAACATGGGTCCTTTGAAAAAGTAAAAGCAAATTAAGCATTTCCACACACAAATCTTACACTATAATTATCTCAAAATAATGTTAAACATTTATTCAATGAGTACTACATGTTGACTACATTCTACATAGTATAATGTGGGATATATTATTTATTAATATTTACTACATATGTACTTTCTAACTAATGGGTGAAGAAAATAACACAAATATTCTAATAGCTCAAATATCAACAACAAAAAATTATTGATAGCATAGCTGTGGAAAATTACCTTTTTTGTGAAATTTCAATTGAAATATTGTGTAGAAATTCATTTTCTGAAAGTATCTTAATCTAAAATGGATATGAAATGGAGGATCTCATGTAGGCACTCTCAGGAAAACAGAACTAAAGAACTATAGCCATCTCATAAATTCCTGATTTACAGATCAAAATTTATCTTCTGATAAATAAATATCTGCCAAAAATCTTTCCCCATCCTCAAACTAATGAACTTAATACTTATAATCTGGCTGGAGTCTCACCTTCAACCCCAGTGCACTTCTCGCCTATAAATACAGCCTACCCCAAACCCTCAAGGACTTGCCTATAGCTTCCTATAGCATATATTTGTAGAACCACAATTCCTGTGCCATTTACTAATAAATTCAATTTATAGTAATTTGAACTTGCTTCAGTTTACCTTTTTTTAATGTGGAAAAATTCAAGGGAACATTGAAACCACATGGGGTAGATTAAAGATGACTGCAAATTACTCCTTCCAACCCATTAAATGGTGGACAGTATGGCAGGGAGAGACTTGAAGGACTTCCTGGAGTTTATTACTGATGGCTTCAAAGACAGTATGGAAATCACTATTGTAGTTAAAAGAAAAGGGGACTCAAGTTTTAAAAATATAATTTTTAAATATTTAAAAATATTTTTAGAACTCAAGTTTTCAAAAATAGAAAGGGTACCTAGTGAACTAGTGGATGCCACGAAGAAGATTTCCATGCAGAATGATTTAAGTGTTAGCAGGCTTCTTACAGCCTTCTATGACCAAGTATGGGAGGAATAAGGTAAGTTAAAAATGAAGTATTTGGGTTTTAGGTATAATTTTCAAAAACAAAAAAAGGCAGGTCTTGCTGCATTTAAAATAAAAAAGTTCATTTCCAGGATCACTAGAAAGCAAAGACTCTCAAAGTGAGAAATGGCCATTTCAAGACTCTTAAGGGCATTTTTCTCATAGTAGCCTCCCATTGGGCCAAAGATAAGGGACTGTCTATAAAGTAATGAGGAATGGTCTTGTCCAATAGAGGTGATGCAAAAGATCCACAAAGTTTGAAAAGAAATGATATTAGACTAGAAGAGATAGAAATTTCAAAAAAGTAGAGAGCTTTTGCTTCCAACTAAGAATGGTTAGGAGATAGGCTGACCAAAAAACTCAAGCAAACAACACTTTTTTTTTTTTAAATGGAGAAGAAAGAATGACTCAGAGCAGGAAGCCCAGAGCCCAAGGGTAAAATAAGAGAGCCATAAAGAATTACTGCCAGGGAATATCAGTAGACCCCATAACAGAATTGCAAGCACGTCCCTACTGGAAATTGGAAATGTTATAAACCAGTTACTGCTAGGCAACTCTTGTTTCTTTCTCCTTTTTGAGTGGCAGTGTCTACTAGAGTTCTCCTGTCCTTGTTATACCACTGTTATGTGGGAGTAGATAACATGTCTCTTCACAGTCCTCAGATCCAAGAAAAGACACACATGCATAATTTTAATCACATGTGGATTTGACTCACATTACTGACAAGATTCTGGGCTTCAGATCTCATGCCTTATTGAGGGGATCAGCAAACTACCAGCTTACTAGCTGGTAGTAAACTACCAAACTACCAAATCTTACTAGCTGCCAGACAAAAGACTAGTAGGACACAAGCACACCCATTTTCTTTTGTACTACACTGGTAAAATTTTGACACAGACCTTACACCAACAATAATATTTACTATCATGGTACTTTACAGAAAAAAATTGTTTGCAGATCCCTGCCTTAATGAGATGACACTTTGGAAGCTCCTGAGAGGAAATGAGTAAAATTTGAATGTAGGAGGAATGTAAATTCGTGACCATTCCTTCTCACTTCCATCACTGAAAGCTGAAGTTTACTTTCCTTGTCTTGATGCTGTTACTGTTACATAGTGGCGGAAGTCATGATGTGACAGGTTGACAGTCTTAGGAAAGCATGGAAGCTTCTACTTCTGCACTCTTGGGGAACCCTGAGCTACTATGTACAAAGTCTGGCTAACTCATTTGAGAGCACATGAAGAGGAGATATCCTAAGTCTACACTTAGAGGAAGAAAAGTCCAGCACTCCAGTGTCTCCCTGAAGCCTGCAGAAGCCTTCAACACAAGCAGACATATGACCGCGAGGTCATGAGAATCTCAAGCAAAACCAGGGGAATTGCCCAATTGGGACCAAACAATTCACAGAATTGTGATAGATAATAAAATGGCTACAGTAAGTCATGAAATTTTGGGGTATCTTCTTACACAATACTTAACTGAAACACAAAGTTCTACCAATTTATGAATAAGTAGCATGGATAAAATCCTGGCTACCTACTCATGCCATCAACAACATGGACAAAGGCACCTCAGAAATTCCTGGATAGTTAATATACAATTGGTTATTTTTTGAAGTTGTTATTGTTTTTCCCAATTCTTTATCAATTCAAATAAAATGTTGAATTTTGTAAATTTGACAAACTGTGTATTAATGACAAGGAATGTTTCCAAATATTGACTTAATTAGTTCAGATATTTACAACATTTCAGTTTAGAACATTTCAGTTTAGAAATGGGCAATTATGAGGGGAAACACATCATCTGAAGAAAACACAATAGCATAATAAAACTAATTTTCTCAAGTCCTTCAATTCCAAATTGAAAATCCAAGTAAAACTGAATATATTTTAAATTGACACTTAGCTGTCTTATCAGAAATTTACTAAAATCCTTCAAAGAAAATAAGAGCATAGTTGTTCTTAAATGTTAAATAATGTAGGAATTGTAAAACATCAAACTACACTAGCTTGGTGTCTGGAATAGTTTCATGTACAACAGGAGACATCTTATAGAACTGCATTTTTTTTGGTTACATATCCATAAGTCTCATTAGATCAGAAGATTCATCACTTCAAAATAAATACTATAATTGGGTATTTAAACAGCACATACAGTAGATTACAAATTAATTGAAAAATAATATACTTCATAGTCTCAAAACCTCATATTTATTTTATATATCTGTCTAATAACTAAACACAAAATCTTACCAGAGCTTTCCTATGTTTATAGATGAAATCTTCAGCTGACTTAGCCCATTTGGGGAGTATGACATCATTTACTTGTTCTTTGGAAACTTGCAGACGACCAAGGTTAAAGTCTAATAAATATAAAAGATAAATGTGCCAATCATTTAAGATTTAAATAAAGCAAGTAAAATAAGACAATACGTTTCTTAGCAAAACTGAAGATTTTTTGAAATTTAGACTGAAAGGTGAAAAATAAGTTCCCTTCTTGGTATCATTTTTTTTTTAAAGATTTATTTATTCATTTACACAAGAACCGGGATACAGGCCAGATGCACATGGGAGGGTAAGAGGATTCACCAGAGACAAATCAGAGAACAAAATAGGCAGACTGACGAAATACACTGCTGAGGGGAGCAGCGGGCGCAACAGGAGAGGACTGTCGTGCCATGTGGGACCCTCGCAGGCCGGCCGGGATCGAACTGGTGCTGCAGAGGCTGTGGACAGCTTCACAGCGTGGCACTTAACCACCTGCGCTACCAGGGGAGGCCCGGTATAATTTTTATTGAACGTAAAAACAATTCTCTATTGGAATGTATTTTAACAGTTGATTTAAAAGATTTTAAGTTCTTCATTATAATAAACCAGATTAATAGTGAATTTTTCTTGAGAAAATTATAGCTATGACCTAACCTTAATCTTAACAAAAATGTAACATTAAGCATTCTTCTTCTATTAAAAATAATTAGCATAGTCCCTCTGCTTAATGTACAAAATACAGTTCCTTAGAATAACTTCTACCTCACTCATTGGAAGAGCTGTATTTGTCTCATTGGAAGAGCTGTATTTGGAAGAACTATATATTTATATATCACAATTATAAGTATACACTAGCATCATAAAGATTTGTTGATAGGGCCTCCCTGGTGACGCAGGGGGTTGGGACACGACCTATGAAGCTGTCCGCAGCCACTGCAACATGAGTTCGATCCCTGGCCAGGGAGCAACCCACAAGGTGCAGCAGACCTCTCCTGATTCGCCCGCTACTCCCCTCAGCAGTGTATTTCAGTCTGCCTGTTCTGTTCCCCACTCTGTCTCTGGTGATTTCTCTCATCCTCCCACACCTCTGGCCTATACCCCAGTTCTTGTACGCAAAAACAAATAAATCTTAAAAAAAAAAAATTTGTTCATATAGTTACAACACCATATTCTGAAAAAACTGTCCCAAAGATGAGGTTTTCTTATTTATATGAGGAGGAAAGGGTATTAGAAAGAAAGACCTTCAGAAGAGAAGTTGCCTTAAAATACCTTTGTGTCCCAAAGTTGGAGAGAAGTTTAAATGTTACAGGATGCACAAGGTCCATGGCTTAATTAACCCAAACACTGTATAGTAGCTATTGTTTGCTCCAACCCAACAGCTGTTCTTTTTTCTTATTTAGCTACAAAACCTGCATTTTATTCAACTATCCATTACTGCTCTATATTTCATACTTGAGGCAGATCCAATATGGGACAATGAGAGGAGTTTATGAGAAAGCATTTCTCACTCTTAATAAACAACACAAAGAACCAACCGTGCCATTTCTTTCTAACTGGCTATTGCAAATACAAAAAACTGTTAGCTAAAAATACCTTAAATTCCATCCAAATTTAATTGGTTCATCCATCCTATCCCAGATACCCCATTTTAAGAAACGCTAGTCCTATGGCTGACTCAGAGTCTAAGATGAGACTCAGTAAATAGATTTACTTGATTTTCTTACTGTCACCAATTGTAACTACCTTACTCTGAGATCAGACGCCCTGCCTTCCATCGCTTTTCCCAGAGCACTATCAAAGGACAAGCAGCACTGGATATTCTCTCTCCAGCAGGACAAATAATTCTGCTGAGCTAGGAAAGGGTCAAACGTTAACATTATATGAGAGGAGGAAAAAGAAATGGGAAAGGCCCCCTTTGACATTATAGACATCCTAAAAGAATACTACTGGTAAGAATCTTAACAATTTTCTTATTTGTGCTTAAAAATAAAACTACTTCATAAATAAAGTATTTTGCTACTTTTAAACACTGTATCTAGCTCCTTATAAAATTTAGTGATTCAAAAACATGATTTTTCAAACATTATGGTAACATTAACCCCGGCATAATTTTCAATTTGCCTTTTCTATTATACTCTAAATCAGAAGTCAGCAAACTTTTTCCATAAAGAATAAATATTTTTGACTTGGTGAGCCATATGTTCTCTGCTGCAATGATTCAAATCAATCTGCCATTATGCTGTGAAAGTAACCACAGTATATACATAAACAAACTGACTGGCTATAGTCCAACAAAATATTATTATGGACCTGTAGTTTGCTGACCCCTGTTCTAAATTCTCACCTTATCTAACTCAAACACTTTTAATCTAAGAAGCTATATGGTTGAAATAGCATATGACTATTTCTGCTTCTCTGGTAAACAGTGTACTCTGATAAGTTCTCTTACCAACTGAAATTTGACTCATTTACTTAGTTCACTAAAGTGCTTCCCTCAAGGGAAGATTAGTAAAGGGGCATCAGTTAAACCCTGTGACTAAATAATCCACAAACAGAATGAAACTTAAGTAATCTTTAAAAGATCACAAAAATGTCCTCAGAGACATTTTTCAGGCTCTTCTATTGGGACCTGCTGAGTCAAATTTTAATCTCAAATTTCTTACTATTCTGATTTTCCAAAAATTCTGGGAAATAGAAGAATTCAGGGATAAGTTCCTTCACATCATATGGATTGTCCATTAAAGTCTGCCAGGTAGCAGGGATGGAATGGAACTGTCGATCTGCACAGTCAAACCTGCAACATGGAGATTAAAAGAAAGTGAATACTGAATAAAGCAGCAACAAGCATGAAAAACCTTTAAATTTCTTTCAAGTTTCAAATGATCAGAAAATTTTTATTAATTTTCTCTTTAACAGCTAAAAAATAAAATTTGCTGTCCTAATGATAGTCTCTTATATTTTTTCACCAGGAAGTAAATATAATTTTAGTCCCCTGTATAATGTTAGTTAGAATAACTGAAAACCAAACCACACTGGAGAAAATATTTCAATTAACTATAACCTCACTGGACATTTTTTAAAATGGCATAATTTTCTGGCAAGTAAAATTTATTACAGAAAATGAATAAATGTTATTTCAATATTTATTTATCTAGTGATTAACTACAGATTTATATTTATTTGTAGCATTTTTCCCTTGGCAACAAAATTTAATGAAATGTCCAAATCTTGAAAATACATTCACTACATTTTGTCAGTTATTTGATATTTCAAAAACACAGAGTTTAAACATCAGCCTAAGTATTACAGTGTTAATATACTTAGTTAATAACACATCTATAGGCATTCTGCCGATTTAACCCTTGATACATGAAGAGTTGGCAAACTTCTGCTAAGTAACAGAAGGTGATTTGGGAAATAGTTCTGTGGCTAAAGCTTTTCTATTTTACTTGCATGTACTATTATCTTATTTTAGCTTTATTTTTAAGTTCTATCATGAGTAGTCAGATCCTATGATAGCAGAGATTATTTCAAATGGCCATGTTGCAATTTAATTATGCTTTTTGTACTCCCTTGTGAACATATGCTTTGATATGTATTGTTTCCATGGGTTTTTACCCACTAATAACCTTGAATCTGAAAGCTAAGGCCATGTTACAAGGAAAAAGTGACACTAATGGCTACCTTGACTTTTTTTATGCATCTCTGAAGAATTTTAATTTAATTATAGTGATAACTGGTCATCAATAAAGTCTAATGATGGTACAACCAAATTCATAAAGGTACCACTTTAATGATGGAATCTTTTTGTGTAGAGGGAGAGAACAATTATATTAAGATAAAATTAACATATATACAATTTACCCATTTTAACCGAACAATTTAATGGTTTATTTATTTTAAAAAACATTTTAAGATGTTATTTATTTTTGCACAGAATTGGGTGCAGGCCAGAGGTGTGGGGTAAGAGGATTCTTCAGAGACAGAGAGGGGAGCAGAACAGGCAGATCTACAGAAATACACTGCTAAGGGGAGCAGCAGGCAAAACAGGAGAGGTCTGCTGTGTTATATGTGGGTAAGCTCCTTGGCCAGGGATCAAACTCAGACCATCCTAGTGGGCCTTCCCAGTGGTAGCACTAAGACTTAACCCCCAAATCACCAGGGAGGCCGAACAATTTAATGGTTTTTGTTCACCAAGCTGTGTAACCATTACCACAATCATATTTAGTCATTTTTTCATCCCTACAAAAAAAGCCCTGTCAGGAGTCACTCCCCATGTACCCTCCCCAATCTCTAACAACTACAAATCTACTTTTTTTCTCTATGGATTTGATGGACATTAGGGTTGTTTTACTTGACTTGCTCATCAACATAAACAATTATCAGTCTTTATAATATCTTTGTGGATGTGAAGAGTTATCTCAATCTGGTTTTGATTTGAATTTTCCTAAAGACCAATGATGCCGAGTATCTTTTCATGTTTTACTAGACATGTATGTATCTTCTTTGAAGAACTGTCCATTCAGATTTTTTTGTCCAACTTTTAATTGGGTTATTGTCTTTTTATTATTGAGTAAAAAGGGTTCTTTATATATTCTAGATAAAATATCCTTATCAGATATACAATTTGCAAATATTTTCTCCTAATGAATAGGTTGTCTTGCACTTTCTTCATTGTGTTCTTTGAAGCATAAACAGATTATATTTATGAAGCTTTGTGAAAAACAAAATTTATTCATAAAATCATTAAAAACTGGAGGAAAAACAGTTTATGGGGAATAATATCCCCTGTTATTGTGATACATGTAACATTTGAGGCTGTTTAGTGATCTTGGGGACAAAGTGCTTTTTTGAAAGTCAAGGCTTATAGTTCTAAAGACAGAATTGAAGAATTTAGGCTAGTTTTGAGAGATAAATGTTTCCTGGAGAGAAAGTAGAACAGGGAATAGTTTACATCAGTCTTGTAATCCAGAAAGGTAAAATGGCAATGTTAAAGAATAAGGCAGCACCACAACTGAGACCTAGATGACCATGAGACTCCCCACTTTCCTCAGGAATGTCTTGACCAAGAAACCAATTCTGGTCTCACCATCAGAGGGCCTGGTTGTACTTCTCCCCCAACTCAGCACCTTAAACTAAGTATGCCATCATGAACAACCAGATCAGGCCTTACAAGCACCCAATGACCCTCCAAGTTGTTGGTAATATGCCTGATGTGCCCAGCCACCCCCAGGGCCCAAGCTAGGAGTGGGTAAAGAAATGGTGAACATCACTATTGACAGGGAGAAGGCTCACTCCTCTGGAACACCAAATAAAATGTGAAAAACAAAAATAATATGGCAATACAGAGACATAATGCAAATAAGAAGGGAGTTATCTGGAGGTCATTTTGAGGCACTGAAGATTTATGGAAAAGTTAAACTTTAGGATTATTAGGAAATTGGGACACATATGTATAGTTATAACACTGACAAGTAATATGATAATACAAAGGGATCACAGACTGTTAGAGTTACTAAGAATATAAGGGCCTCAAGGCATTGATTAAGGCCTAGATTCATCATCTCTGGATGATGTCTTGAATCTAGATGTTGATTTACCTTCTAATTCTAAATCTCTCCTAGGTTTCTAAAGGCAGTAAGAATCACAGAGTCATACTGGGTAACAGTAAACAGCAATTTTCCTTAATTTATTTGTATAAATCAGTTTGAATGACCCACTCTCAAACTAACTTGGTTATTTTTAATCTAAAGGCTATTATATGATCAAAGTCAAGTAGAATAAAAAGATAAAGTCATGTTAATAGGATATAACATGAAGGCAAAGAGTTTCAACACTAATATATAATCTTAGGAAAGAATAGCTTATTACCCAAAACATACCTTCCACTCTGAAGCTGGACGTGGAGAGTGGTGAATGGTTCTGTACGAATAAGGTAGTGCATGACTCCAGCAGAATTTGAATAGTGAGTACCATAATGAAATTTATCAATAGTTCCCATAGGATCCTCAAAATTTTCATATCTAAAAAAAGAAACTTAAGTTTTGTAACCATAATAGTAAAACTAAATTAGGAAGACACAAGCTTGTATTGCTGAAAACAGTTTTGAAGAATTCCTTCCTACTATTTTGTTATCAAGGTATTTGTATCATCAGACCATATCAATAAATGAAAAAAGATATTAATATTTTTTTCTAAACAATGAAATATCACTGATACTGGATTCTGAAACAGTTTTGTATTATGCAATAATATATACTCACTGTAGATAAAACAGAAAATGCACATACTAAAAAGAACAAATTTATAATGGTACTTTCCACAGAAAATTAATAGTAACATTTTGGTGAATATCTGTCAAACCTAATGTTTAAAATTAGTACACAAGTGCATTTTAATATAAAAGTGCTATATATAATACATCATTCAAAACATTTTTTCAGGACCTTCCTGGTGGTGGAAGGGGTCAAGTCTCAGCACTATGAAGCTTTTGGCAGTCAATGAAGCACGAGTTCAATCCCTGGCCAGGGAGCTAACCCACACAGAGCAGCAGACCTCTCCTGCCTTGCCTGCTGCTCCCTTCAGCAATGTATTTCAGTAGATCGGCCTGTTCTGCTTCCCACTGTCTCTCGTGAATCTTCTCAACCCCCGCCCCGTACCTCTGGCCTACAACCCAGCTCTTGTATGCATAAATAAATAAAAAATAAATCTTAAAAAAAAAAAATTGTGACATTTAAAACAAATTTTTTTTCATTTAACAATTTTCTATTAGCATCTTTCCAAATGACTACATAGACTATTGTTAATGGGTAGATAATGTATTGTACATATATAAAATGTAACTATTTTTTCACTTTTAAATACATACATAGGTCATTTCCATTTTTCTATAATTGTCAGCAATGTAATAAACAGATATCCTTTTGTAGTCAAGGTAATAGGAAAAATATGGAGGATCAGTTAAGAATTATGGAAATGATACTAAACGATATGAGGATAAAAAAAGACTGGCGGATAGAAGAATGCCTAATCAGACTACCAGCAATCATTAGCACTAATAGTCACATGTGTAGTTATTTTAATGGTGGTCTGACAAGTGACATCTCAATCATATTAAACAGTATTTTAAGGCAATCACACTGGACTTTTTTAAATGAAATACTAATTTGTTCATTAAACTGAGGCTAATATCCTTTTACACAGCAATAATCAATATTCAGGGAAATAAAAAAAAGTTTTCAGGGCAAGGTCATTTGGAAGTATGCCAAAAATATATACTAAAATTTAAAACATGCTAATTTGATTGTCAAGAAAACAAGTTATATAATTATTTCCTGTGGAACAGTGTAAAAAATTTCTTTTGTTATTGTTAGAAAAAATATTTAACTGAAAGTTGTGAGGTAATACATACCTAGCAAAATTCTATTAGTAAATCAAATCATATATTAAATACTGCAAAAGGTGCTGGAGAAAATTTGCAAAACAAGAACAGCTAAAAGTAATCTGCCATTAACTTCAAATAAAACTATAATTAATATGGCCAAAACAGTTTTTTGTTACTATTAGACTCTATAACTAACATCTACAAGTTCACATAGAGAAAACAGTAAATTAAAACATCATTCTTTTATCTGCTTTGAAGAAAAAAATTTGTAAGAAGTTTACGGCATAGGTAATAAACATTTTAAATAAAAAATTTCTTTCCTTATAAAATACTTTCTAAATTTCTCCACATTATACTGTTTCTATTCACATTATTCTTGAAAAACAAGTTAGCATTCTTAATTCTACATCTACCAGAATATTAATTTAGATAGACATTTTTCCATATTAAATTAGTAGGTTATTACGTCTAAAATACCTGGGAAGAAAAATTTCAAGAAACAATTCCCATTTCTAAATACTTATTGTGAGGCAAAAATAAATTCTAAACAATACCAACTTAAATTTGGCAGAAAAGGGAAACAGAATTACAGTTATTTAAAAGTCAACTGATATACTTTCAAGAAAACTTGGTGAAGGAATTATCAGAATGATTATTAAAAGCAGTTGTACATTAAAAAAATTTTAAAAACCCACTTGATTAGCCATAGTAGAAATCAACACAAATTCTAACAAGGAATGTGTATCATTCAAAAGGGATAAAAGGCACTTACTTTTCCCTCATCGCTTTGGCATTTTTATCATTAACAACTCCAATTGGTTTGGAAAGATCTCGAAATACTGCTGGGTCATTAAGGTCCAACTCTTCTGAAGTATAATCTTGTAAAATCCAGGGAAACTAAAAGAGCCACATTTTGCAATTTAGACATTCCTTCCTAGAGAACTTACATCTTCATATCTAATATGAAATGCTTATTTATGGACAAGAATGACAGTCTTTAACAACACCTTTTCCCTGTTGCAAAAGTTTATTATAATCTTTAGCTCCATAACCACCAGAGGTATTATTTTAATTCCTCTGTAATCATTCAATAAAGTAAATGAAAAAGGTTTTATTAAGTACACTTTATGTTTATACAGTTTTTGAAAATAGCAAATATATAAAGAGAAAAACAGCTTTATATCATTTTTAAAAATAAAAAATATTTATGATGTGAATACATATTTCTGTGTATTATAAAATTGAAAGACAATTCCATATTTATAAAGTTTATATAAAACTTACCACAGGATACTGCGCAAGGTCATTATAGGTTCGTCCTGCCATTGTATTTAATTGAATGAGGTAGTCAAAATTTGATATCTCTCTGTTTACCCATTTCTACAAAGCATCAAAACCAAAGTTAATCTATATCCCTTAGAATCAGTAACATAATTACTAACATACTTACATAATTACTAAGATAACTAACACAATCTTTTCTTCCCATTATCTCTATCATTTTTTTTAAGATTTATTTTTTTTAAAAGCTTTATATATTTATACAAGAGCTTTGGTACAGGCCAGAGGCATGGGAGGGTGAGAGGATTCACCAGAGACAGAGTGGGAAGCAGAACAGGCAGACGGACCTAAAGCACTGCTGAGGGGAGCAGTGGGAGAGGCAGGAGAGGTCTGCCATGCCATGTGGGTATCTCCCTAGTCAGCAGGGAATCGAACTCGCGCTGCAGAGGCTGCAGAGCTTCACAGTGCTGTACTCAATCCGCTGCACCACCGGGGAGGCCCTAAAGATTTATTTTTATTTATTTATGAATACAAGAACTGGGGTCCAGGCCAGAGGTGTGGGGGAGGGGATGAGAGGATTCACCAGAGACAGAATGGGGAGCAGAACAGGTGGATCTACTGGAATACACTGCTGAGGGGAGCAGCGGGTGAGAGAGGAAAGGTCTGCTGTGCCATGTGGGTTAGCTCCCTGGCCTGGGATCGAATTCACACCGCAGTGGCCGGTGATAGCTTGATAGTGCTAACTTTAACCTCTGTGCCACCAGGGAGTCCCTGTTTTCTGATAAAAGGAACAGGACTTTTATATTTTTTATTTATTAATTTTTTTTTGTGGGACCCTTACCGGTGGCCAGGGATTGAAGTGGAGCTGCTAAGGCAGCGGGCAACCTCACAACCCAGTGCTCAACCGCTGAGCCACCAGGGGAGGCCTGGAACAGGATTTTTAAAAAAGGTGAATAAGAATGTAAAATCCATGTTTTTATTAAGTTCCCTTCCTTTTAAAAATTGGTCTCTAGATATAAAGAACAGAAAATTCAATGTATGTCTTATACTACAGTCAGAAAGGTATTTATATAAATTCTTTTTTTTTTTTTAGATTTATTTTGTTTATTTATACAAGCACTGGGTACAGTCAGAAGTGCGGGTGGGTGAGAGAATTCACCAGAGCCAGAGCAGGGAGCAGAGCAGGCAGGGGGACCAAGGTGCACTGCTGAGGGGAGCAGCGGGCGGCAGGAGAGGTCTGCGCGCCATGTGGGACCCTCCTCCTGTGGCCGGGGAGCAGCCGGGGATCGAACCGGCGCTGCAGAGGCTGCGGGCAGTTTCGCAACCCAGTGCTCAACCGCTGCGCCACCGGGGAGGCCCTATATAAATTCTTTACTTGACTACCTTAAAAATTTTAATTCTAGGGCCTCCCTGGTGGCGCAGGCCATTGAGCGCCACACTGTGAGACTGTTAGCAGCCTCTGCAGTGCCGGTTCGATCCCGGCCAGCCGCGAGAATCCCACATGGCAAGCAGATCTCTCCTGTGTCGCCCATTGCTCCCCTCAGCAGTGCATTTCGTCAGTCTGCCTGTTCTGTTCCCTGCTCTGTCTCTGGTGAATCCTCTCACCCTCCCACACGTCTGGCCTGTACCCCAGTTCTTGTATAAAAATAAAAAGTAAATCTTTAAAAAAAAATGTAATTCTAAAAAGACAGTCCAACTTTGAAAATTGTTATAGTTTGAAATCTTCATAAGTGTACATATTTAACAAGTTATCTTAATGTACTGACATGATCTATAAATTTTAAACATTATGTTAACTATCCTCAGAGAACTGCCTTTGTAGTGCAACAGTATATGAGATTTTGTTACACTACAAACAAAATTTTCTGAAAAAAGACATAATCATAATTTTCTTTTAATCACCTTATTGTAACCAGTCTTAATTACTGTACACACTGCAGGTATTCTCAAAAAATCAGCTGACAAATTAATATTCACCTTTAAGTATAAACATACATTAAACAAAAGATATATACTTATGGTGAGAAATGAATCTTGATGTATAGATTTCATAGAAAGCCCACTCAGAAATAATTGTTAACTAACTCTTCAGTGCCCAGTTAAGGAATTAGTATGTAATAAATAAAGTTTATTTCACAGAAAACAAGTAATACATTTCATCAAGTAAAGCTCATACCACAGGCTATAGGACAGAAATGCTGAAGGGTTTTGAACAAAAGCAATGCTTCAGATTAAGATTAATGCATAATTAGGAGAAAAGAGATAGCCAGCAAGCAGAGATGCTAACTAAGAGATTACTATCAGTCCGAGAAAGGAAAACACAATGGCCCTCCCTTGGGGTTGGCAGTACAAACTCAAGAGATGGGATATAGATGATGATAAAACACACAAGAATGTTAATTAGCTTTGCCTGATAGAAGAATTGGTGATTTTTTTTTTTTTTTTTTTTGGTCTCTCTTCATGGTGATTTTTGTGTTTTCCTGTTTTTGTCTCACATTATTCTTTTAAAAGAGAAAATTACTGAGAAAGAAGAAATAGTAAGATAAACACATGGACGAAATGATACGGGAGTTTGGGGGATATGGTCTGATGAATATGAAGGAAACAAGAAGAGTCAAAGGTAATTCAAATGATTGATTTGAATGGAAGAATAGAAGCTGTAATAATCACAAGAAAGAAGTTTTACTTTTAAGTGAAAGTACAAGATATAAAATGAATACAGAAACAATGATGTTAAAAATCTCCTACCTGTGTCAGGCCTGACGCTTTGAATAACTCCTGTGGTGACCTAGTTCCATAACTATTTGGAGAATGAAGGGACAAGAGTCTACTATATACTTTGTTTCTGACCTGTAAGAAAAACACGTTATAATTTTAAAACTGATGAAAACAAACGAGGACTATAGCTTTTCTAACAGCTTTATTGAGATCAAATTCATACGCCATAAAATGGTGGGGTATTTTTGTATATTTAGAATTATGCAACTATAAATCAACGTTATCTAACATTAGAACATTTTCATCATCACAGAAAGATACTTAATACTGTCCAACTATCACTCTCCAATTCCTATTCTATCCTAACCCTTGAAAACTTAAAATCTACTTTTTACCCTCTATGGATTTGCATATTTTTGACATTTCATATAAAAATGGGATAACAGTTTTTAACTTCTCTATTACACTAGGCTTAAAGAAGTCAAGCCATGTGTTTTTTTTTAGAAAGTTATTCCACATTATATACTGATCATCAGACACTGCATAAGAAAACTAGCTTAATGGGCCTCCCCTGGTGGCACAGGCGGTTGAGGGCAGCGCTGTGAAGCTGTTCGCAACCTCTGCAGCGCTGGTTCGATCCTGGCCAGCCCGTGAGGGTACCACATGGCATGGCAGACCTCTCCTGTCACGCCCACTGCTCCCCTCAGCAGTGTATTTCAGTCAGTCTGCCTGTTCTGTTCCCTGCTCTGTCTCTGGTGAATCCTCTCACCCTCCCACGAATCTGGCCTGTACCCCGGTTCTTGTGTAAATAAATAAATAAAAATCTTTAAAAAAAAAAATAAGAAAAAGAAAACTAGCTTAAAGCTAATTGACTACTTATATTGGGAAATCAACTGATTCACTGAGTCTCAATTATGGATTAAATATAATCTCTATCCTTACAGTTTTATGAATTATTCAGGGTTACACAAATGTAAAGTAACAAAATTCATCTTTGAACTTCAGTTTCCTCAGCTATAAAAAAATGAAAAATACAATTTGGAATTTGCCATATCTACTCTGAGGTTGCTATGAAGGTTAGATGTTATTTATAAGGTTGTTTAAAGACTCGAAGATATATAGATGTACTATATTCAAGAGCAAATGATCTTGAATACACATGCTTTATATTTTTCTATGGCAGAAAATTTAGTGTTAATAGTAAAGAAGTATCCTTTTGTAAAAAAGAGGAAAATATTCTTTAAACATTTAAATCAAATCATCTATCTATAAGTAAAACTGGATTTCATGAATGAACAGAAATTTAGTTATTGTCTATGCTAATTCAGGTCATTTAAGTAGCAGACACCAAGACAGAATTGAATATGCAAGCATTTCATTAGGAGAGACAAGTGAGAAAAAATTGAGTGAGGTAAGGTGGGGGGAGTTGTCAGTGGGTAATGCATATTTTACCCCAAGTGAATGACAGAGGGTAGGAAGGTTAAAGGCAAGTGTTCTGAATGAAGTTCCAAAGGTTTAATACATACCTCTTTTTTGAAATTAAGAAAGTAGTTGGATTGGTCAACATGAAAAATTTCAAGGGCTGATCTCCTTAAGTTGTAACGCCGCAAGTGAATCTCTCGAACCTGAGAATGAGGCCACTTGAAATCAAAGCCTGCTCCTAAAAACAAAAGAAATCTTATGACTAAGGTCCCACATAAAGTTACTCACACTATGCAAAAAATATCTACTAGTTCCTGAAAAAAGCAGCACTTAGAAAATTAATAGAGCATTTTATGATTTATGTTTGTAACAATCCCACCTAGCAAAACCTTTAAAACCACCTAGCAAAACCTTTCTTCTCATTAATAACTGATAATACTTAACTATTAGACAACAGAAATGATTCCCCCAGAACTCCTCACCATCTTCTTTTTCAATGCTGCCATCATGAAAGTAAATGTGCTGAGTAGTGATTTCCAGTCTGCCAGGAATTATATCAATTATTGTAATGAGTTCACAGTCTTCTGACAACACTAATTTTTCTTTTTGATCTTGTTCTTCTTTCTCATCACTGTAAAAACAAACCAGTCAAACAACTAAAAAGTATATAGCAATATATCTCACATAAATGTAAAAGGATAACTCAGTGAACTTACAAATCTTATGTCTGTCACTTAGTATCCAAAAAAGAGTATTTAAATTACCTACAACAAATATTCTACCATATATTAAATTACTGAAATACTGTCCAAACATTTTCACTTCGCAAAAACTCAGTTAAAAAAATGTTTTAGATGGTCTCACTCATAGCAGGAATCTAGAAAACTTAAATAAGAGACCAGGAAAAAGAATAACTATAAGAAAGTAAAAATCAAAATCAACAAACAACTATGAACCAGAGACACTCTATGGGGGTTGGGGGCGGGGAAAGGAGGGATTAGGGTCAAAATAAGGGGGTTGTAATTGTATGGGGAATACAAAAATAAAATTAAAATTAAAAAAAATGTTTTACATTTAAAAATTTTACATTAAATTTTTAAAATTCTTTAAAAACAAAACAAAACACCCATCACCATCTATTATACCCCTTCCACCTTGCTTCCACCACTCTCCCTTCACCTTTGGTAACCTTAGTTCAGTTTTCAATGACAATTAGTTTATTTTTTTGTCTGTTTTGTCTATTCATCCATTTGATTTCCTTATATTGCATGTTTTTATATTTTAAGTATATTTGACCAATTAATACAGAATATGGTCAATCACTGGCAGAGGGTAGTTCATACATGCAGTAACACTAATATCATTTTAGTTATATTTTGGGAGACATGAATTAACCTAGGGAATATGTAAATTTGTGAATAAAGGACTGCATGGTTAGTGGTGTTTCATAAATAATTATGAGAAGTACTAATTATGATTGATTCTTAAACTGTAAAGTGAGATTTTTCAAGAGCAACTAAAAGTAGAGCAGCATCATCATAGCATCCCTGACAATGGAAAAGGAGATACATAATACAAAAAGCTGCTATTGCCATATTTAAAGTGAAGTCATCTGTATTAAGACAGTTAACATTATAATATTGATAATACTAATGGAAACAGGACAATCTTTTGGTGGTCTGGGTGATTTTTGACTGCCAGGAATACAAACCACCATTATTCAAGTAAATCCTGGAAGCCAGCTACTCCCAGATCCCAGACATTTCTTAACTGTCTCATTTCTAGGATAGAAATGACTAAATTTAATTTTGTTTCAATACATACCCATGAAGAAGCTCAGTATCACCAAGCTAACTGGAATACTGTAAACCTTTACTCAAAGCAGTGATTTTTTTTTAAGTTAAATATAAGGGACATTTTCTTAAACAGTGAAATTCTAACATTTATAGTAATGAACTGGAGAATTAACCCTATGCACACTGCTGTCCCCTCTCAGGGGACATTGGTAGCCAATGTCCAGAATGGTTGGTAGTGCAAAAGGTTAAATAACCTACAAGAGTTAATAGTCTAAAGGATACTAATAATCTAAGAAAGAAAGAGCTTTGGCTATTCAGTTAAAAAATGAATGAGACTGGTATCAACTGCATTCACTACAGACTGAAGAAAGAAAATGAAATTCCAATTAAAAGGCTGTCTAAATAATCTACTAAAAATACATCCCTATAGACTATCCTTACCCAGTTTCCTGAAAACAATCAAGGAAGCCCTTAAAAATTATTAAAATTTACATGAGCAAATATCCTGCTTATGCCAAAGAAGTATAATACTTACCCAGATCATTTTGCAATATTAAAATAAATGCCAAAAAGATATATATCAAGTGTAGCTTATAATTCCAACAAAATGAGACTGAAAGCAAATCATATTTTTATTATATGTCTATGTAATTCTTGGCTGAATGTGAGTTTTATAAACACAGAAAGTCAGGGCAGATATATAAATCACAAATTTTGACTGTATACCCTAATCCACACACAGATCCACTGGCAAAGAGTGGTAGTCTTTCTGGATCATGAGTTTTATTTATTTATTTTTAATTCTTTTTTTTTTTTTTTTTAAGATTTTATTTATTTATTTATACAAGCACTGGGTACAGTCAGAAGCATGGGAAGGTGAGAGAATTCACTAGAGCCAAAGCGGGAAGCAGAACAGCCAGACTGATGGAAGTACTCTGCTGAGGGGAGCAGCGGGCGGCAGGAGAGGTCTGCGCACTATGTGGGACCCTCACCAGCAGCCGGGGATTGAACGGGCGCTGCTGAGGCTGCAGGCAGCTTCGCAGCCCAGCGCTCAACTGCTGCGCCAACAGGGAGGCCCTGGATCATGAGTTTTAAATTAATCATTGCTAACTACCAACCCATGCTGACCCAGATGCAACTTGTAGTAGGTCAAGTTTTATAAACAATAATAAAACAGAGGGCCTCCCTGGTGGCACAAAGGGTTAAGTCTCAGCATTATGAAGCTTTCTGCAGCCACTGCAACATGAGATCGATCCCTGGCTGGCCAGGGAAGTGGCCCATATGGTACAGCAGACCTCTCCTATCTCGCACGCTGCTCCCCTCAGCAGTATATTTCAGTCAATCTGCCTGTTCTGTTCCCCACTCTGGTGAATCCTCTCACCCCCCACACCTCTGGCCTGTACCACAGTTCTTGTATGCATAAATAAATAAATCCTTTTTTAAAAAAAGGATTACCATGCAGTCATAAAAAGGAATGAAAATGCTGCTACATACTGGAAGGATGAACTATGAAAACATTATACTGAATGAAAGTAAGTCAGATATAAAATGTCACATGCTATAGAAAATCTATGGAATATAGAAAATAGGCAAGATTATAGACAGAAAGATTAGTGGTTGTCAGGGAACAGGGGAAGGGGAAATTGGAAGTGACTACTAAAAGGTGTATGATTTCCTTTTGGGGTAATTAAAATGTTCTGAAATTAGTGGTGAAGTCTGCCATTCTGAGAATAAACTAAAACCTAAACGACTGGAAGGTTATGGATGTTAGATACCTGCTTAAAAACAAGTTATCTAAAAACATGTGCAAAAACAGTGGAATGAATTATATACTTTAAACTTGTAAATTATGCTATATGAATCTCACTTTTCAGGAAATATACTTCAATTTTTAACAAAAAGTAGTCATAAATGAAGGCATAAATGCTCCACAGACAGCAAAGACTGAGAAATAGTGGCTATCAGAGCTTTCTTATAAGAAATACCAAAGTTAAGTCCTTCAGGTTGAAAGGAAAAGACACCAGATAGTATACTTGAATGTATACAAAGTACGTATGGCAATGATACAAGCAAATATGAAAAAAAGTACAGTTATATTTTTTTTCTTTTATTTACTGATTTAAAGATAAGCTCATAAAAAGTAACTATAAAACTGTTATTGGGCTTAAAACATATGAAGGTCTAAGGTCTAATATCATGACAATAAAAAAAAGATGCAGAAATGAATATACTTTTATATTTTCTTGTACGTTTTTAAATTACAAATTCAAAAATCAAAGAAATATATAAAAGATTATTTAGGCCATATATTTCTTCTTAAGGGTTTTGGCAAATTGCGTCAAATTTATAGCATAAAGTTTTTAGTTTTTCTTTTTAATTATTTAAATATATGTAGTGTTAGTTGCTATTTCATTCCTGATATTGGTAATATATGTTATCTTTATTAATCTGGCTGGAGGTTTATGATTTTATTGCCTGCTTTGCTTTTTAGCTAGCTTTTCTTTGATATTTCTTTTTGTTTTTTGGTTACCTCTTTAATAGATTTTTTTAATATAATTTCTTCCTTCTGCATTTATATGTAATTTGTACTTTTTTCTCTAAATACAGCTTTAATTCATCCTATAATTTGATGTTATATTTTCATTATCACTCAGTTAAAAATATTTTCTAAAAGAAAAAATACCGGGTGGTCTCACTCATACCAAGAATTTAGAAAACCTAAATAAGAGACCAGGAAAAAGACTAATCAATACAAAGTAAAAATCAAAATCAACAAGCAACTATAAGCCAGAGACACACTAATTGGGGGGACACACTAATTGAGGGAGGGACGGGGAAAGGAAGGATTAGAGTCAAAATAAGGGGGGGTGCAATTGTATGGGGAATATAACCAAAATGAAAATGCATACATTGTGCAAAGATGAAAAAAGATGTTAAGAATTATATAAAATAAAATATTTAAATAAAAAATATTTTCTAATTTCAAGGTTCAGTTCCAAGTTATTCCAGTCAAAGAAGCCTTCCTCAATTATCTCAGTAAATGCTGGTAGATTCCTAACAGTTGAACAGCAATAACTGTGGTCTCTGGAAACAGTGTTAGAATTTCAAGAAAATATCCTCCACAATTTTATAATCTCACCTCCCAGTATACAAAATAATTTCAAAGTCTTTCAAATACATACTTATTTGCTTTGGTTATTTCCTCTTCAGGAAGGTCTAATTTATCTTCCTCCATATCACTAACTTTTACTTGTTTCACTACTTCCAAAAGCAAAGAATCACTGGAAGGCTGTGAGTGTTGAACACCTGCTCAAAAACAAAATATTCAAAAATATGCTCAAAAATAAAAAAGTAAGTATCTATTACATACAAAGTAAAATTAATCCTCTTATAGTACATCTGTAATTTCTGACTTAATTACATGATGATGTATAACATATGTGTGTGTATATATGATATGTGTGTGTATACATGTGCAGTAGATATATGATGTATATATACAGGGTCTGTATGTACATGCACAAATACACACACACACACAATAGTAAAACCATGAGGACAACCAGGAAGAGCATAAATAAAAGGCAAGATGCAGAAGATGGATCTGGGGACACCTTCCTTTAAAAGGTGAACTGGAAGAGGCCTCCCTGGTGGCGCAGTGGGTTAAGCATCGCACTATAAAGCAATTCGCAGCCTCTGCAAGAGTTCGATCCCCGGCTGGCCAGGAAGCAAAACACATGGCGCAGCAGACCTCTCCTGACTTGCCTGTTGCTCCCCTCAGTAGTGTACTTCGGTCAATCTGCCTGGTCTGTTCCCCACTATGTCTCTGGTGAATCCTCTCGCACCCCCTGCATCTCTGGCCTGTACCCCAGCTCTTGTATGCATAAATAATTTTTTTTTTTTTTTAAAAAGGTGAACTGGGGAAAGGCTCTACGAAAACAAATTAACGATTGGTAAGACAAGTAGGAAGTTAAGCAGCAGTGCTAAGAAAAAAATTAAATTTATGGAGAATAACTATCAAATGCTTCAGAGACCATGAAAGCTGTATAAAAACTAATAATGAGTTTGTATTTGGTAACGAGAAGAGAGTATTTCAATGGACTATGGTGAAAGAATTTTAGTGTGTAAGTGGTAGGTGTGGTGTGGTAACATACATCTGAAGGATGTGATACAATATTTCTATATCATATACAATGTTATTAACCAATGTTGCCCAATAAAAGTAAAATTAAAGAAAAGGAGTATTTCTAATAAAGAAGTATGGACAAAAACTTTTCTAAAACCAAAATTTTTTTTCAGATAAATGAGTCCTGAGAATGTAATATAACAGCACGGTGACTGCAGTGAACAATATTATATTTTATATTTGAAAGTTGCTATGAGAGTAGGTCTTAAAAGTTCTCATGACAAGGGAAAAAAACTTGAAACTGTGTAAGGAAGTTAACTAGACTTATTGTGGTGATCATTTTGCAATACAGACATATATCAAATTATTGAGATGCAAATCTAAAGCTAATACAGTGTAACATGTCAATTATAGCTCAAAAAATGAGAAAAATGAAACCAAATATTTACATGATACAATACCTTTAGATAAAGGTATTGGTTTACTTAAGATATTAGGATCCAGCATTCTTTAAGAACAAATCATAAAGAAATGGCCTAAAGGATTGTTGCAAATTCTAAATATGTTTAACATTTGCCTCAGTTTGGTAAAAAGCTAAGGGAAGAGAGCCAAAATTTTTCCACTGTATCATAATAGATACAATGTCAATGTATTTCACACTAACTGCAGTATAATTAAATGATTTTAAATTATGTTTTTCTTTGAAAAATTGCAATCAATTGAAATATAAGGTTATCTTAGAATTAGGCTAAAACTAACAACATTTAACATATGCAGCCATTCAAATAGCAATTATATCACTCTTCTTTTATGATAAGCAATTTTTGAAACAATTAATGAAAATAACCAATCCCATCATTACTCTCACAAAGATTTAAACACTGAAACTCACCTAGATTATCTCTCAAAGCGCTAGCTTCATTGTGGGATTTGAAGTTATAATTCGGTACCAATTTAAGTCTCATGCGGGAATAATTTTCCACACTAGCTAGTTTCCAGTGAATTGCATGTTGTTTCCTACCAATATTCACAAGTAAATAAGTAAAATTAAGTAGCTTAAAAGTACAAATTTTGGCTGAATGAAACAGAGTAAGAAAGTATCAGAAACATTACATTTGTTAACATCCACGTCAGGAAAACATGCACATTCATTATCTCATTTAACCTTAACAACTCTTAGAGAAAACCAGTATAAGTATGCATAGCTATAGTTAAGATATGAGGAATTTAACACAGGCTAAATTATTTGCCCAATATGCCATGTGGTTTACAGATAACAGAAATAAGATATGAACATAAATCTCTAGACTTACAGCTTGGTATCATTACTTTTACACTATTAAATGAAAGTCCTAAGTAGCTACACAAAAGATTATTACAAGTAAAGTTTTCAAAATAAAATAATAATTTTACTACAAAGAAAATATAATTGTAAAAAAAAAAGAAAATATAATTGTAAATGTTTCAAAGATCTAAACATATGAACTAAAATTCTAAGAAGAAAAGGAGAGGTAAATTTCCATGACTTTGGATTTAGATATACTTCTTTAGATATGACATCAAAACCAATAGCAACAAAAAAGAAATAGATAAAATTAGACTTCGAAATCAAATACCTTGTACATGAAAGACTTTCAAGAAAGTTAAAAGACAAGCTAATTTTTACAAATTGTATCTCTGATAAGATATTAAGATATTGAGAATATAAAAAGAATTTTTACAACTCAACCACAAAGTAAAAAAAAAAAACTAACTTAAAAATGGGCACAGGACTTGAATAGCTATTTCTCCAAAAAAGATATACAAATAGCTAAGAAGTATATGAAAAGATGTTCAATGTCATCAGTCATGAGGGAAATGCAAACAAAAATCTTAAGATACAACTTTCCACCTACCCACTAGAATGTAGTGATAAATAAATCAGAAAATAACAAATATTGGTAACATCGTGGGAAAACTGTAACCATCAAACATTTGTTGATGGGAATGTAAAATGATGCAGCAACTATGGGAAACAGTTTTGCAATTCCTCATAATTAAATTAATTAAACACATAATCACATTACCTAGCTATTCTGCTGGCCAGTGTATACTCAAGATAATTAAAAATAGGTGTGTATATACAGGGGCATACATTTATTTATATATATATATATAAATTTTATATATTTATTCAGCAAAACAGAAGAGATTTACGATGAGTAAATAAACCATAACATATTCAAATACACAGTATTACTAACTCTGGCTCAAAGAGGTAATGTCTGGAAGACAGAAGTAAATTGATTCAAGACTTAAACTGTATCACAGGGGAAAAAGAAAGGAAAAACTCCAGGTTGAATAACGTATAAACATAAAGTTCTCAAAATATCTCAAACCTGTAATTAACAAAAAACAATCAAATCAATTAAAAGCAATTCTTTTGAAATACAACATTGAAAATACTGGATTCGGGAGGCGATTAGCTCAAAAAGTTCAAGATCAGAATACTAAAAATAAAACAGTACTTTTTAAATGATCTACTCCTACCTTTCAGCCCAAGGTCCCCTCTCACATGTAAGATAGAGCTTTATTGCTTTCCAGTGTCTCAGAGTCACCAAGTGTTGACTGCTAAGTTGTTTAAGCATATTGTTGTACCTCAAGTTCTCTTGACGTGCTTTTCGATTAAATGGCACCACAAAAAATTCCTGAAATAGAATCAATAATAGCGCCAAATCATACACTTACAGATACATTTAAATTTTAATGTCATACATTAATGTGATCAAATGAAATCACAATGTTAACAAGTCTCCCTCTTCCCTCACTGGTAGCTCCTTCTGTCGCGACATGTGCTACTAGTCTGCTCTCTTTGTAGGGACATGGTACTGCTTTCATGATATTACAACAGAGACTCCTGTGCACCCCAAGGTTGATAATGTACAAAAATTATCAGTGGTAGATAGTGAATAGATATTTGGTGGTGGCTGGATGAGAAACTGTAACCTTAGAATCTATACAATGTTGTAAACTGTTACCCCAACAAAAGAAAAAGGAAATGATTTCGTTTTCTCTTCAAATCAAGCATCCTGTTGTTCAAATAAACTGATTTAAAATGAAAAAGAGAAAGAAATGGGAAACACGATTTTCTTTTTCCATTAGAATATTTTAATGAAGTATGTGTGTCTAGCTATAATGTATTTATATTAAAAAAAAAACAACAATAAACATATATAAAACTTCAAAAATATAAAATAGTTCAACACAGGATTTTTAAACTCAGAATTATTAACCTTCTATTATCAAGGGAAATGCTTTTCTTTTATGATCTTAAGCTCTTTCAGGCATCTGGAATGAGGCCAAAGTTTAAATACAGCAGAAGAAAGAGAAACTACATTCTACACTACTATTAATAGATTTTAAAGACTAAAGATATTTTATTTTTTATGTATGAGAGTGCTTTATTATTATTTTTAGTATTATTGCCTTAAAACAATTGTATAATACTACATGTGATATCCTATATTTTCCATCCTATACCTGTAACACTATCTCATTTAATTATTGAATGGGATTCCCTTTTATTGGTTTATTCTGATTTATTCTTTTAGTCTGTTATTGATGTATGGTTGAGTTGATTTGACTACAAATGTGTAATGAAAAGCAGGATGTACATATTTGCATTTGTAGTTATTAATGTCTCAGTTCTAAAATCATCTTTTATACTCCATTGTGATGCTTACAGAATAGCTTCTGCCACTGCCAGAAATACAGTTCTTTCTTAGCTCCTTTGTTGGCTCCACCCAAAGGAACAATGGGGGTTGGGAGGGGTAGGAGGAGACTGGAGGCAGGTGGGGTGAGGTGGTATGGGTTTCTTTCCGTTCTTACTGTTCCCTCAATGCCATCCTGCAGCCTCCATGGCAGCAGTAGATGTTCAGTTTCCACTTCTCTCTCAAAGGATTAGCTTATTCTCCCTTTGTCCCCCTCAGCCACCCCTCCAGATGGCCCTTCCTCAGGTGAGTAAAGACTAAAGAAATTTATAGAGGCAAATCACTCACAATGAAAAATTTCATCACCTAGACTGCTTCTCCATGAACAGCATCACAGATAGCAAATAAATTTACATACTTATTCCAGTTTTCAGGATGAAATAAACCCTGATAATAGGTTCTATAAAAATAAAACTCAAAGCTCTGAACTTAAAGTTCCACGTTTTGCAGAGACAAGTGGTAAGACAGACTTACCAAAATCATACATACATACATACATACACACACATAATATATACACACATATGTATATTTGGTTAAAGCTTTATCTTTATTGTAAGTAGTATAAACATCCCTAGAGTCACATTTTTGTAACTATATCATAGGATAACTTCCCTATGATGAGTGGAATTTCTAGTAATAGTGCTCATCATACATACTATTATAATGTCCTTGTCGAAGTTCTACTCATTTCAATTCTAACACTTTGTAACTTTACTCCCGATAGAAAAAAAGAATCTGAGGATATCTTTATATACATAGTCTTCCAAACTGAAATTGATGTTTACTCTCAGGGAGCTAATCAGTACTAAGCGTCTTAGTAATGTTTTGAACATTAGATAGACTGTATCCCAAAGTACTGATTTCCCACAAGTCTAGTAAAAATTACAATATCAGTAACAATAGCAGCTGCAAATAGTTGAATGCTATTTATCTGGCACTATATTACACTTTTAATCTTAAACTTTATGATGAAAATTGTCATCATTTTGCTTTAACACAGGAAAAATATATTCCAAAATACTGAGGGGATTGATTACATGTTTCTTTTTATAACTATCTTATGGAATACATATTTTTATATGGTATTTGTTTCATCTGTTTTATAAGTTTGTTTTTTTTTAAAGATTTTTTATTCTGTGTGTGTGCGCGCGCACGCACGTGTGCGTGTATGCGTGTGTGCAGAAGAAATGAGGTGTAGGCCAGAGGTGGGTGAGTGAAAGGATTCACTAGAGACAGAGTAGGGAGTAGAACAGGCGGATCTCCTGAAATACACTACTGAGGAGAGCAGTAGTTCTCATTTATCTCTAGTCTGAGCACTTTCATCGTAAATAGATGTTTACATTTTGCCAAATGCATTTTCTGCATCTAGTGATAGTATCATGTAGTTTTCCTGATAAATCTATTAATATGGTCCATCTTACTAGTTCTCAAACGTTGAACCAAAGATTCAAAGGCTGAACATCACCTGTTTGTAATTCAGTATTTTTTATATACCACTGACTTGGCTTTGCACCTATGTTCCTGAGGATATTGATCTGTAGCTTTTAATGTATTATTTTTAATAGTTTCATTAAAATGACTTGGGAAGTGATGCTGTTTTTCAATGTTCTATAGAAACTGTGAGAAAATGGTATAATTTCTCCATTAAAGGTTGGGTAAATTTTGCTAGTAAAAATACCTAGGCATGGAATTTTCCCTTTTGGAAGGTTTTTAACTATACATTCAATTTCTTCAATAGAAGACTTGTTGACTTTACTACTTTCTTGATATTACTTAAGTTAGTATTGGAAACTTGTATTTGTCAAGAAATTGACTGCTATCATTTTCTTATTTATATACATAGAATGTTTTGTAATAGTTCTTTATTATCATATTGATGTCAATCTGGCCAGAACTTTATCATTTTTATTCATATTTTGAAGAATAAAATTCTGGTTTCATTGATTTTCTCTACTGTTTCTTGCTTCAATTTCATTGATTTCTGCTCTTTCTTTTTTCTTATTTAGAAACTAATTTACACTAGTTAAGATTACTTTTCTTTTTCTAGTTTTGTTCCCCCCAAGTTTCAGATATTTATTAATCAGTGTAAACCACAACATAATATATCGACATGCATTTAAGGGGGAAGTAGTTCCAGGTTTAGTGGAAAATTGTGTGGATAGCTTCTGGAAGGCCTTCATTTTAAGCAGCTTATAATGAAATTTTCATTCAGAAGTCAGGACTTTCTTCAGTTTTCTGAAATTTACATTCACTGAGTAGAATTTGTGTTAATCATTGGGAAGCAGTTTGTTCCATGGTTCTGCCACACGTGTGCCATACAGCGCTACTCCAGTACCTCTGGCTACAATAAATACAAAGAGGGGATCAAGTGAGGATGCTTCTTGGCCTGACTGAGGATCTGGCAGAGCATGGTTTCAGAAGAGGCCTTAAGTAGGGAAGGAGTGGAGGAAAAATCTGCAAGTTCTGAGACTAAGTCTCCACCTTTTTTTCTAGTTTCTTAAGTCTCATGCTCTATCGACTGAGCTAGCCAGGCTTTCCTTTTCTAGTTTCTAAATGTAGAAATGTAAATTATTCAGTTGACCCCTTTCTTCTTTTATAAGTACTTAACATTTTATAAATTCCTCTCCAAGCACTGAACACATGAGAATTCAATTCGATTGGATTCAATTGGAGAATTCAATTCAACTGGAATACAACTGGAGATAGTCACTGCCAGTTGAATAGACTTTTTATATAGCCATATATATAATCATTTGATATTAATTTTATTGTTACTTATTAGTGTTTTCTTCTCATAATTCTGAAACAATTGTCAGAAAAATAAGAAATAGCATTGTTTTCCAAAGCTTGCAATCAACATAAAATATTAGCTACTAAAAACATTTAGTAATTTTTACCTGAAACTTGAGTTTGCTTTCTCCTCCTTCCCGATCTCGTTTATGCATATTCACCATTAAGGCTTCATAACAATCCTTCCAATAAAGTGCCATGTTCTCATGACCATCACAAAATGTATGTGTTTCATACTGCTTCATATAAGGTACAATCTTATAAAAAATATAAACAGAATCTGATATGTACTTCTATAAAAATAATTCAGCAGAAAAATCTCAATTAAGATAAAACTTACATATTTTTCAATGTAAACCTGCCATTCATTTGAATTGCAGTATTCCTGAAAATCTTCAAAAAATGAGGCACTTCCATTAGAAATAGGTAAAGATGGCAGATGCAAGTTCATGAAGAGCAGCTCATAAATTTTGGAAACCAGGGTACGGATAAGGGGAATCAGAAATGAGTAGATTTCAGTCTGTTCCTTGATTGACTGACTGAGGACATGCTCCAACTTCCCTAAAATGTAACAGGCTTCCTCCTGATTTTCAATCACTTTGGTCTGAAGAAGGGTATTTAGCTTAGCTGATGCCATTGCGCAAACCTGGAAGAAAATAGTTTAAATGGGAAAAAAGAGATTGAGAGATAACTAAAGTTCTGTAGCTCTCCTGAAGCAGTATTTTTAAAAATAAATTATTAAAATAATCCACATTTAATTTGGAATATATATAAAAGTTATGGTAGATAATCACTCCATTCCTTCTTAGAATTTGCAAGTATAGGGGGATGATTCCATCTCTGGTACCAATAACTGGTCCTAAAAAGTATAATACAAATAGAATACACAAACTCTTGCCACAGTGACTGGTTCAGGTAACCCATCTTTCAGTCATTCCATGTTGCAGGGATTAACTCAGGTATGCAATTTCACTTTTTGGATTATTTGCTTTTGTTTATTTTTAGTGGGGTAACACTGGATTACAATACAGCATATGATTTAGAGGTATAAGGTCACTGTCAAGAACTGTGAAGTCTCAGATTTTACCTCACTTCTAAGCTAGCAAGTTAGCCTACCACTGAATGATTAATGCTGGCAAGAAGACTTGAGACTTCTGTATCAAAGACAAGGATCTACAGCAATAGCAATAGCCAAAATATCAGTGTTTACTCTGGTTCTCCAAACTGCAATACCCACAGTGAGGAAATGAACAAGGTGAGATAATGCCTGCACACACAATGATTGTATTATAGTAAAGCAACAAGCATAGGGAACCTAAATCTTATATTGGGCAATAAGCATGCCTAAATTTTCTTAGAAGGACACAATCTTTACAATACTTGCAGTAAAAAAATCCAACTTTTGCTCTGGAGTGAGACAAGAGCTCTCTTTCCCAAATCCTAATTAAAGTCAGAGCAAAGGCATCCAGTGTTTAGTCACAGAATATGTAGGCATGCAAGAGAACCATGAAGAACTGTCTACCAACAGTGACTGTAGGAAGGACTCTTTTTCAGGGATATACTTTCCATCATTTAGGAAATGCTAATGTAACTATTAGAGCTCTTTTTGTCACATGTTTTTAAAAATATTGTTTACATAGAAAAAATATCCAATGCTTTGCTTTTAACTTAACATCAGGGTACTAACTGTAAGTTTATGTTTCTTTAAAAGTATAAAGATAATTTTAATGAATATAATCTACTTTACCACAGCCTAATTTTACATACACATTACACACGCACACAAAAATCTATTGAAAAGTGTGGCCTTTGTAAATAGTGCAACCTTATGAAATTTCAACCTTATGAAATTTCAGCTCTTATGAACTCGATAGCAAGCTCATGTTATATTAAAAAGCCCCATCCTAGTACTCCTAGCCACATACTTAAAATTCCAGAATTAAAATAAAAAGGGCTTGACAAATAGTTACGGAATATAAGTCATGACTAATTCAACCCTATTTTCACAAGCATACAATGTAAATAGAAAGATGAGACTTAAAAATTTTTAGTCTAAAAAAGAAATAATAAACATTCCTTGTGTGCATGTTTTATTTATCTTTACTTCAGAGGCCTAGCACAAGTCTAATATGTGGTAGGTATTCATTAAGTGATTGATAAATGAAAAAAATGAGATAGAATATAAAATTGTGGATTAGTAAAAGAAAAACAAAAGATTTTGAAAAGAACAATTAAAAAACAATTTTCCTAAAAATACAAGCCCTAAATTGTATATATATCAACTATACCAGCTACATAGTTCCTAGCACACTAAATATTGATGATATGACTAATGTCTTTATAATCTACATATTAATCTTTTAGAGGATTCACCAGAGACAGAGCGGGGAGAAGAACAGGCAGACTGAGGGGAGCAGTGGGCGCGACAGGAGAGGTCTGCTGCGCCATGTGGGACCCTCGCCAGCTGGCCGGGATCGAACCAGTGCTGCAGAGGCTGCAGACAGCTTCACAGCGCTGTGCTCAACTGTATGCACCACCAGCAGAGGTCCCATATTAATATTATTAATAGTATCTGACTTCATGAATTTTTTGGTTGTTATTTCATGCTGACAATATTAATCTACAGAGAAAGAAAGTGCTAATATACACACATTGGGCATATCATCCAGGATAGCACTCTTGGAGATGATCTTTACAATTCCAAAAGTTGTTTACCTGTTTAAGTCAAATTCAGAATAAAAATAATATGGAAACCTTAATATTACACTGAGTCATAAATGCCAGAATGAAATAAGCAATTAGCTACTTCTTAATAAGTAAACCAGAAGTAATAAAGCTAGAAGTAAATCATGGATATTATTTGAACTAATAAAAAATTAAAATACTAGAAACATTATCATTTAGCAATCACACAAATATTATCTATCCTGCACGCAAACATGAAATATGACAAACCTGCAAATTACCCCTTCCAATGAATCCAAGAAGCAACTGGACTTGAATCTGAGAGAGTTTTACCCATTCTGGACTTTCAGAATACCAAATGGACAGACCATCAAAGAGCAGCATCATATCCTCGAAAAGCTATCACAAAGAAAAAAAGGAAAAGTAAAAACATAATTTTAAAATTTCTGTTGATGAGTTTCCTCAACAGTAAAAAAACAAAAAACAAAAAACACCACAAACATTTCAGAACTAGTTCAATATTCAGTTTGCAAAAGCCAAAAAAATTATCCTAATAATTATTAATGAAAATCTGAGACCACCACATCTTACCCATGTTTACTGCACCTGATTAAATACTGATGTTCTGAAAAGATGGAGCATAAAATTTCTTACTTTGAATAAAGTCCTTGACTACCCCCCAAAAAAAAAATTCAAAGAGATATTACAGTACCTTCTCAGTCCACATGTTTGAATTAACAAGTCCTTCTGACTGCAGAAAGTCCTGTATGATCAGCATAAGTCGGAAGGCATTTTCAGCAGTCACTGGATTAGTTTTTGCTTCTCTGTTTTCTGTGACTGCCCATTCTAACATCTTCTGTAACAAACTAAGTGTAAAACAAAGTCCTCTTAAAACCATTTAAGTTTAGAAAAATAATAGGACATAAAAAAAAAAACCTGAACAAATAGAATATGATCTATTAATTAACAGGACTGTATCCCCAAAGATACAGGATGATTGGTAGCTATCAGAAAACACTGTAGAATTTAGTAAGCTGAAGCAACTTTATAAATCTCTGGAATATGTACCTTTAAAATATTTAACACTAAAAGGCAAAGTAAAATTACTTTTTTTACTTGACTACAAAAAAAAATGAGAATAATTCACATTCCAATCCATGATACTTAATAGTTTCTTTAAAGCTGGAAATTGGGAAGGTTAGGGAAGAAAGTCTTATTATGCCTTATAGAAGGTTAGCCCTATAGGGAATTGTAAATGCTTTAGAGAAGTCGTTTTTGTGAAAACGCTATTTCCTTCCCTTAGGCATGGAAACAGTCAAATTTAGACAAGATTGTAGAATACAATGCACCACGTGCTTAGATATTGCAAAAAAAAAATTTAAACAAGGACTGTGAAATTACTTAAAACCCAAATTAATTTAATATTAAATTGCCTCACTGTGGTTTTCTCTCTATATTCTATTAGAATGGTAACAGATAGGAACAGGGTCTGAGAATAAAGTTTCTCATTTTCTCTCTCTATACACACTGAATATTGACTAAAGATCTACTCTCAAAGGAGAGGGTAAATCACTAACCGGACACTTACATTAGTTTTATTTCATCTGCTGGTCGAAGTAACTCACTGGAGACTCCTGGTTTAGTTAGTGCCGAAAACACTTGTCCCCGTTCAATCCAAGTATCATCATCAGACTTTTCTAGTCCTTTACACATTACACAATGCAAAATACTTGTCAATAATTGAATAAGCTCCTCTTCATATTTCTATAAAAAAGACAGAATAATATTAAATTATTAAAATCAGGAGGTGTTGATGAGAGCCATCACTTATACTGATTATAATCAATTAACATATATAAGTGTCTTGAGAACTCAAAACTTTACTAGGTAGACCCTAAAGACACAAAGATAAATAAGATACTGACTTTGCTCTCAAAACAATGAAATTTCAGTGACTTCTAGGTATCGAAAATCTTAGATCATGAGACAGACGATGAATGTGAAACTGCTAATAATTCTTCACAAATTCTAAAGATTAGAATTATATATAGACATATAAAAATAAAAACAGCATTTGGACATACAAGAAATTTTACCTCTTGGCTTTCAAGCAAAGAGAAGTCATCACTCAAGTCTGTATCATTTGTGATGCTGTTTTCTTTGTCAGACTGCACAGAAAATGATTTAATAGATTCTATTGGGGATGGAGTGCTAGGCAGGCTATCTGGCATTTGATTTCCACTGTCACTCAGTTCACATGAGTCAATTCCACTGAGATCTAAACTTAAATGTGAATGGTTATTATGCCAGAATTCTTCTTGATTCTCTGATTTGAAAGATAATTCTCCCACAGAGCTATCTTCTTGAAATAATGGTACGTTTGAGTCAAGAGAATGTCTATCCTCCAAACTCCATTGATCTGAAGATAAATGAGCTGAGGCAAAAGAGTTCATTTTTTCTTCATCTGTCTTTTCATCAAAGTTACTCTTGATATCTTCAGTTGATACATTTTTATCATTGTCTTTCATTAAAATAGTCCTACTATGCTTATGAAGAGTATCTCCACTTTCAAAATTTGCTTTTATAAAAAGTCTAACTAAAGTGTCTTGCCAGCCAACTTGTTGAGATATTTGGTGTGCTGCATCTGGTTGGGACTTTAAAATCTGTAAAACCTCCAAAGAGATTAAGCATACAAATTTGTTAAAGAGCGCGCAATACTTTAAATCAAACACAGTTTCTTTTCAGTTACTATACTGACAAAGTAATTTAATGAGAAATTGTCAGAGGATATATTCTTTTTTTTAAGATTAATTTATTTATGAGCACAAAAACTGGGGTATAGGCTGGAGATGTGGCGGGTAGGGGGGAGAGTGAGAGGATTCACCAGAGACAGAATGGGGAGCAAAACAGGCACATCTACTGAAATACACTGCTGAGGTGAGCAGCAGGTAAGACTGGAGAGGTCTGCTGCACCATGTGGGTTAGCTCTCTAGCCAGGTTGAACTCATGCTGCAGGGGCTGCAGGCAGCTCCACAGTGCTGAGACTTAACCCCTTGTGCCACCAGGGAGGCCCTACTTTCAAAAGATTATGATCTTAATTGAATTATAAACTATCTGGAGAGTAGATACTGTGTTTTTCACTAATGTGCATATTAGTCATTGACAAAGTATGAATGTACTCAATTATTTGCTGAAAGATAAAAAAGGGGGAAAAAAGGAAAATGATTCTCCATAGTTAACAACACACTCATTATTTTAATTTGGCCAGAAAAAAGGATAAATAAAATGAAAGTGGCGCAGCAGACCTCTCCTGAATGGCCTGCTGCTCCCCTCAGCAGTGTATTTCAGTCAATCTGCCTGTTCTGTTCCCCACTCTGTCTCTGGTGAATCCTCTCACCCTCCACCCATTCCCCACATCTCCAGCCTATACCCCAGTTTTTGTATGCATAAATAAATCTTTAAAAAAATAAAATGGAGATATATATAAGTATATATTAAAGTTACATCCTCTCAATGAAATAGTTTCCAAGACCCTGTTACATTTTTTAAAGCAAACATTGAACATCTACTATGTGCCAGGTACAGCTTTGGCACTAAGGTGAGTAAATAGGACATACACGACACTATGATAGAACCTCAGGAACCCCAAGAATAATATTTTCCTTTCTCATTTTTTTCCAGGAAAAGTTAATGGTTGCTTTTGCAAAAATCATTTTTTCATTAACTATGTTGTACAAACAAAATAGAAACCAAATTTCAATTCAAAAACACCAATACCAATAAGATGAATGCTGTTATTTAGCTAGAATAAGAAACTGAAATTAAATAGTAGACAATGACATGTTAAATATAAGAGATCTACTACCCAACTGATTTCACAATTTTGGGGGAAATGTTCTCAAGCACTGTCAAAATTCAGTTAAGATGTTTAAGTAGTATTTTTATCACAAAAACTTCTATGATAAATGAAAAGAACTTCAGTTCCCAATGTGTGGAATGTCTCTTTTCTGAGAAGTTCTAATTCTACAAGCTTGGTGTCAAGGAGATGTATAATGTTGGTAGGGACTTCAATATTCATGGTTTTACCATCAGCTGATGCTGATTTATATACAATAACATGACAAGTTTCTTTCCCTACTAACACTATCAATCAGTGAGCTGCCATTACTCTATTGGCACAAATAACAGATTAATTTTCCAGATCAAACTTGCTTGGCTAAGAAACTTTTTGTAACTACAAATGTCCATAAAATAAGACTTGCTTTAAGTCTATTTTATATAAAAATAGTAGGAAAAAACTAGGCGGCACCGAAAGTTATTTCTAAGACCTGCTTCAAGGACAATATGGCAACATTAATCAAAATGTAAAATATGACTTAAACTTTGCCACAGCAACTCCACTTAATGGAGTATATCTGACAAAAGTAATACCACAAATAAAGAAATATGAAAAAGAATGTTAACAGAAGTTTACTGACATAGAAAAACAGGAGAAAACCTAAACAACCAACTTCCATTAACAAAGAACCAGATACTATTTAATGAATAGTCTTAGAATAAAAACCTATGCAACCATTAAAGTGAAAAATATGTATCCAGACTTACTAATGAAGAAAACGCTATCATGAATAGGGACTAAAATTCAAAAGAAAAGCAAAGAAGCAAATTAAATACTAAACATGCCAGTGGTTACCAACGGAGGACACAGCTATAATTAGGAAAAGGTACACAGGATAACTATTTCCTGACATAGTTAAATGGGTACACCAATGACAAATCATTATTGGAATGAATACTCATAAAGAAATTTCAGAAAATTATTCCCATGATGTTCAAAGATTCAGAAACTCTAAAATATAGTACATAAATTAGAAATGGTCATAATCATTGAAGGTTCATGATAAAGGTTCATAATAAATATTTTACTTTGCAAAGGAAAATGAGAGTGAAGAATGAATTCATAAGCTGAATCCTTATGATTATCACCTGAAAATATTAAACTATAAAATTATGTCATTTATAAAGTAACAAACTGAAAACATATCTGGTGGAAAACATTCTAAAAGTTATTCACAATACTGCTATTTCAAAAGTATATCTTAAAAGTTTACTAACCTTTCTGCAGATGACCACTCTAACATTTATATATGCTCGGTGAGATATATACACCACAGATAACAAATCTTTGAAATTAATAACAGGTTCTATGGTGGGAAAAACAAAACACCAAAATTAAATTCCACAGATAACCAAAGAAGAACTGTGGGTAATAGCTATATAAATGCTAAAGTGATTATTTCTCTTTAATTTTTATATTTTTTAATCAGTAGTAGTTACCCTTTACTTTTTCCCCAGCTTTACTGAAATACAGTTGATATAAACATTGTATGTTTAAGGTATATAACACCATGATTCTATAAAGGCAAATAATATGAAATGGTTACAATAAGGTTAAAAACATCCATTGCTTCAAATAGTTATCCTTGTAGGTGTGTGATGAAAACTTTTAAGATCTGCTCTTTTAACGACTTACATTATCTTTACTGAGAGTTGCCATGCTGTACATTAGTTCCCCAGAATTTATTCATATTATAGCTGGAAGCTGTAGTACCCTTTAATCACCTTTTACCATTTCCCTATCTCCACTTGACCCAGAAACTACCAATAAATTCCCTGTTACTGTGAGTTTGGTTTTCTGGATTTTACATACAAGATCATATAGAATTACTCCTTCTCTGACATTTCTCTTAGCATAATGCCCTCCAGGTTCTTCCATGTTGCTACAAATGGTAGGATCTCCTTTTTTAATGACTAAAAACAATTCCATTATGTGTGTGTGCAGGTACATGCATGACAATACCACATCTTTATCTATTTATCCATTGATATATATACTTAGACATTTCCATATCTTGGTTATTATCTATGATGTTGCAATAAACATGACAGGCAAATATCTTTTCAAGAGAGTAACATCATTTCTTTTGTATATTTACCCAGAAAAGGGACTGCTGGATTATATGGTAGATCTATTTTTAAGTTTTTTGAGGAACTGCGATCTGTTTTTCATAGTGTTTGCTCCAATTTACATTCCCAACAATAGTGCACAAGGGTTCCCTTTTCTCTACATCCCTCCCCAGCACTTGTCCTCTCTTGTATTTTTGATAACAGCCTTCCTAACAGTAGTGAGGTGATATTTCTTTGTGGTTTTGATTTGCATTTCCCTGACAATGAGGGGTGTTGAGTGTCTTTTCTTGTCCTTTTCAGCCATTTGCATATCTTATTTCAAAAAATGTATATTCAGATCCTTTGCTCATTTTAGGATAATTTCTTTAATAAATGGTGCTGAGAAAACTGAAAGCCACAAATAAAAAGACTGGAATTGGATCACTTGCTAACCCCTTACACAAAATAAACTGTAAATGGAGTAAAAATTTAGACATAAGACTTGAGCAATAAAATACACAGAAGAAAATAATGTCAATACATTCCATGGTATCAGTGATGAAGATATTTTTGGTAACTCAACCCCTATGGCAAGGGAACTATAAACAAAATCAAACAATTAGGATTATCTCAAGTTAAAAAGTTTCTATATAGCAGAAGAAAATATATGACAATTAAAAAGACACCATATTGAAGGGGAGAAAATATTTACACTGGTAAGGGATTATCCAAGATGTATAAAAGATTCATATAATTTAACAATAAAAATTAAGCCATCCAAGAACAAATATGAACAAACAATTTACCAAAGAGGGTATCCAGAAAGACAACAGATATGTGAACATATTCATCATCACTTCCAATATGAGAGATGCAGGTTAAAGCCACAAAGACATATTATCTCACACTCTAAGAATGGCACGAATTAAAAAACCTCCAACAGGTGTTGGAGAAGATGTAGAGAAAAAGGAACCCTATGACATTATTGATGGTGCAGCATGGTAAACAATATAGATTTATCCTGAGAAACTAAATATGGAAATACCATACGACCCAGAAATCCTACTTTTGGGCATAAAGAATAAACTGTGGACAATAAATATATAAATGCTAAAATTATTACTTCATTTTAAATGAGAATTACAGCCATAGTCAAATCTTACAATGAATATAATTTTTAAATGTTTCATATCCTCCTGAGTAAACCCTGAATAACTGTTCTTTTATTTTGATTAAACATATTGTTCATATTACTTAGCTCATATTATTCTTTCTTTTTTTAAAATCAATGTATTTTTTTTAAAGATTTATTTATGAATACAAGAACTGGGGTACAGGCCAGATTCGTGGGAGGGTGAGAGGATTCACCAGAGACAGAGCGGGGAACAGAACAGGCAAACTTACTGAAATATACTGCTGAGGGGAGCAGCAGGCGTGGCAGGAGAGGCCTGCTGCACCATGTGGGTAACACCCTGGCCGGCCAGGGATTGAACTCATGCTGCAGAGGCTGCAGATAGCTTCATAGTCTGTGCTTAACACCTTGTGCCATGAGGGAGGCCCTATTATTTATTTCTTTATGTACAAATCTTAGTTTATCAATAAGGTGGTAAACCACTTAAGACAAAGAACTTTATCTTATACCTTCTTGAATCCCAAGCACCTGATATAAATTCTACAGTAAGTGGTAAGTACAAAAAAGTTTTACTAAGAATAATTAGAAACAAAAAAGAGTATCTGAAACCAGTGATAGTTCTCATTTTGCCACTAAGAATTTAAACTCCTTAAAGAAAAGATTATTTTGTGCTTATTTTCTCTAGTGTCCTTTTTTTATAGATTCAATTTTTTACTTATCACTCAGTAAAAAAGAAAGAAATTGACTAATTTACTGAAGGCCTATTAAGGTACTATTCTATGATCTGGGGAAACAAACACAACAAAAGTACATAGGAAAACAGTATACCCAAGAAAAGCCTTCTGTATCAAATAACAGCAACCTGAGGAAGGAGGGGAAACCCTAAGGGAAAATATCTGCGAACCATCAAGTAAGAATATACCACTATGAAGAACATTTCTTAAATGTATCATGATGTATTACCAGCCCTCCTCATACCTGTACTTATGATTTGATTGGTGAGGTTTTTCATGAGAGACGTATTGACAGGTGTTTCATTAAGAAGGAGTCCCAATCCTGAGTAGCCAACTTCTCTGAGTCGAATACGTTGTTTACTTCGTTCATAAACATTAGTGCACTTCAACATTTGTTCCAAAACCTAGTCATAATAGCAATACATTTTTCTAAATATAGAGATCTAAAAAGCTTGTCATTTAGGGTGATATTGAAAAAATATTATTGCACAATATTTTTGAGTATCATTTTATTCTTTAACTATTAAAAAAAGCCCAGCACTAATAAGGATTATCCCATATCATACTACAATTAAAAATGAATTTAAGAATAAAAGTACTGAAACACATCTGTACTTGAATAACTGATGTTTACAACTCTAGTTTATATGTATTTCCTGATGGATTAAAAAAACAATTCAGAGCCTCCTTGGTGGTGCAAAGGGTTGAGCACCACACTGTGAAGCAATCCACAGCTTCTGCAGCACGAGTTCGATCCCGTGCCAGCCAGGGAGCAACCCACATAGCACAGCAGACCTCTCCTGACTTGCCCACTGCTCCCCTCAGCAGTGTATTTCAGTCAGTCTGCCTGTTCTGTTCCCCACTCTGTCTCTGGCGAATCCTCTCACCCCCTGTATCTCTGGCCTGTACCCCAGCTCTTGTATGCATAAATGAATAAATCTTTAAAGAAAAAAATTCAAAATTTTCTTTTCAATGGCTAAGGCTTAAATGGAAACAAATTTTGCAGCTTGTAAGAGGAACAAAGGTGTGCGTGTTCTGCAACAGATGAAGGTACTAATAGATTGATTTAATGATCTAATTAAGGAATAGTAATCAAAACATTTTTCAACAACAAGGGAATATATTTGCTCAAATTGGAGGATGAATTAGCAATCCAATATATCATGGCATGAGCTATTTTTATTTTTTTAACATTTAATACAATTTTATTTTATATTTAGTACTTATTTTTTAAAACTAGTATTTTGGAGTTACAAGATATACATGTTCAATTTAAAAATTATGAGAATGAGAAATATTTTAAATCCATTGTTTATAAAGACCCAAGGTTGTAGTTTTGGTGAATATCATTCCATATTTTTATGGCTATCTATGTCTAAATAATCATTAAACAAATTGTGCTAAGAGGTAATATTTTTTTTAAAGATTTATTTATTTATGCATACAAGAACAGGAGAGGTCAGCTGTGCCAGGTGGGTTGCTCCCTGGCCCGGGATTGAACTCGTGCTGCAGTGGCTGCAGACAGCTTCATAGGTTGCATCACCAGGGAGGCCTGAGGTAATATTTTTAAAAGTGAGACAGTGGGACCGTAAGTGTAAAGGATAATCTTGGTGGAATAATATCATAAGCAATCCCTACAAGGCCATTTTTGGAGAACTAACATTTTTGTCTCCACAAAGGGATCCTTACATGAGCAGATGCTTTAAATAGCAGCCTCGGGGGTCACCACAACCAATAATCAAGAGACACAATGAGAGAGCATTGGTCATACACCTTTCTTTGTAACTTCAGAAATTCCAAAACAGGCAATTCAGATATGACTCCATAAATTGACTAAATGTCACATTAATGATGCAAGAGGAAAAACTGTGCAAATGATGCAAAAGGCAATTAAACATAATGAACAATAAAATAAATCATTTGGTAGTAGAAATATGACTAACTCCTCTATTTTTAGTTAACAAAAAGAGGTGGAGTGGGAGGCTTCAGAAAATTTGAAGATGGATATTTTAAAAAATATACTCTATGTCCTTTGGCAATTTACTAAATTTTCTGGTCTCAGTTTCTTCATCCTCTTCAAAAGGAGGATAATGATATCCACCTTCTAAAGATTTTGCAAAGACTAAGTAAACTGGGCCTCCCCGGTGGCGCAGCGGTTGAGCGCTGGTTTGCGAACCTGCCCGCAGCCTCTGCGGCACCGGTTCGATCCCCAGCTGCTCCCCGGCCACCAGGGGGGGGTCCCACATGGCGCGCGGACCTCTCCTGCGGCCCGCTGCTCCCCTCAGCAGTGTGCTTCGGTCCTTCTGCCTGCTCTGCTCCCTGCTCTGGCTCTGGTGAATTCTCTCACCCTCCCGCGCTTCTGACTGTACCCAGTGCATGTATAAACAAAACAAGCAAATAAATAAATACATAAATAAATAAACATGCCTCTATAAAATTAAAAAAAAAAAAAAGACTAAGTAAACTAATATAGTAAGATAAGTAGTGCCTGACAAACAGTGGCTGCTACATAAGGCTAATTATTATTATTAACTGCTAGAATGTCTGATTGGCCATGGAGACCCACCTTATCAAAAGGAGATGAGAGGTTTTACACTGAGGATGGTATAACAAAGTAGATTTTCATTGATGCGTATATCAGATTACAATATAACTAGGTTTTTATTATGCAAACAACAAAAACATGAAAAATACGTACCAAAACATGTTGAACAATTTAAAATTACATAGAATTATATATGGAAAAAATTTTATGTCCATAAAATAATGTTACATTAAATTAAAATACCTACAAATATCCCCCAATACAAAGATGCTTAATAAATTATTGTACCTTAAAAATGATTTCTCTTAGTTTGTCAGAGTACTTCTGATTTAAGAGCAAGGAATAAAGTATGTCAGCATTTCCTGGTTCAAACAGCAGTAAGAAAAGCTGACCTCTGGTTGGGCTGGTACGTAGAAGGTTGAAGAGTACATCCAAAATTCCAAAGAGCTTTTAAAATTAAACAACACAAAACAAATAACCACACTCATATATGGAAGCACAAAGTCATATACCACAAACAGTTATTTAAATAAATCCTGTATTTCCTAATATTCTAGTTTAACAGGGCTATCTGAGTAGTCTTGCCTTTTTTTCTCTGTTATGCTTTCAGTTCATTCTATTTCTCATTGTCTATTCTCTCACTATCCACATTTACCTGCTGAAAAGCCATCTCTTCCATAAAGCTTTTCCTTGCCTTCTCAACACAGTCTATTATGAAAAGCTCTATAATCTCTATCTCTTTTACAGATATTATCATACTCTTTTGGGGTTCATAATCATTTATGAACTTCTCCTATCAACTTCTGCCTCCATTAGGCTAAAAGAGAATGATATTTCATTTATAATTATATACCTACAGTGTCTATTTTTTTTTATGGATATAGTAAGATATCAATAAAGAACAGACTGAATTGACCAAGAAAATATCACTAGCAATGAATCACAACATGGCTATCATGAAATAAGATGACTACTCATTGTTCTAAATAAATTTTTGGAATAGTTCAACTTCAAAGGGAAATAACCTAATTTAACTCATCTACACAACAGCAACTCACTTAGAACACAATGAATATTGTAAGAGAGAGGGCAAAATATTTGCATCAACATAAATTAAAGTTGCTAAGGTTTCGTGTTAAGAGCAGTCTACAGAAAGACCACAGAAATTATAGTAAGTAGACCTGGGTTCTAGTCCCAGGTTTATCAGCTGAGTGACTTTTTAAGTAAAGTCACATAATCTCTCTGAATATGTACTTCCAAATGTACAAATAGGAAGAGTAATTCCTGGTCTATATATTTCTTATCAGTGGTTCGAGAATTTTACCATGCACACCTGGAGGGTGCTCTCCAGCAACACCTGGAGGGCTTTGAATATTTTTGCATTTCTGACAAGTTCCCATGTAAAGTTGGTTAGCACCATAAACTAAAAACCATTTTATGAGGCTTAAATGAATTAATGTGTAAGCATTTAAACACTGAAAAACATTTATAATGTACTCTTTTTTTTTTTAAAGATTTATTTATTTATTTATACAAACACTGGGTACAGTCAGAAGCACAGGAGGGTGAGAAAATTCACCAGAGCCAGAGCGGGGAGCAGAACAGGCAGATGGACAAAGTACACTGCTGAGGGGAGCAGCAGGCTGCAGGAGAGGTCTGCGCACCATGTGGGACCCTCGCCCGGCGGCTGGGGATCGAACTGGCGCTACAGAGGCTGCTGGCAGCTTCGCAACCCAGCGCTCAACCACTGTGCCACCGGGGAGGCCCTATAATGTACTCTTAATGCATGGTTTTTATGATTCTAAGTTAACTGTTTTATGAATCCATAAAATCTGCCTAGTGCTTTTATGATAGGTAAATATACATTATGTGGCATATAAAAACAGGTTTCAGAATTGCCAAAAAAAAGCAACTATTTCCACATTCTATATTCTAGCTAATTAAAAAAATATCTTATACTGCCATATATTTTAAATTTTTAGTTAGGAGATAAATTTCACTACTGTAACTGCATAATATTGTATGTGACACTATAAACATTTTACTCTTAAAATGTTTATAGTGTATATATATATATATATATATATATATAGTATAAAGGATGATGTGGCAACTGAAATGTTAAAAAAATAAAATTTGGGCCTCCCCGGTGGTGCAGCGGTTGAGTGCTGGGTTGTGAAGCTGCCTGCAGCCTCTGCAGCGCCGGTTCAATCCCCGGCTGCTCCCCGGCCACCAGAGGAGGGTCCCACATAGCGCGCAGACCTCTCCTGCCGCCCGCTGCTCCCCTTAGCAGTGTACTTCGGTCCTCCTGCCTGCTCTGCTCCCCGCTCTGGCTCTGGTGAATTCTCTCACCCTCCTGCGTTTCTGACTGTACCCAGTGCTTGTATAAATAAATAAATAAAATATTTTTTTAAAAAAATAAATAAATAAATAAAAAATAAAAAAATAAATAAATAAATAAATAAATAAAAATAAATAAATAAAATTTATCTTGGGCATAATACCTGTTCTTCTTCATTGATAGCAGCTATGTAACCCATAATACTTTGTATCTCTTCATGAGTCCCACCTTTGCACAGAAAATATTTAATTAGTCCATACAAAGACGTCCTTATTGTTCGAATATCATCTAGAAACAGCTCACTATATTTACAATCACTCCTGAAAGAGAAAGCAAAAATGTAAGAACTGACATTTAAAATTTTTACTGTTTGTATTTTTTATATAAAAGAATTCATAGTTTAAAAAATATGCTTAAATACAATTATTAGAATTCATGGTATCTTTGATTCTGTTTTCTTCTAAAGGAAAATTTATGACATTAGGAGTTTCAATGACAAAGAGATAAATTGTGGAAAGAGTTTATATATATGTACCCTTCACTATGTGGCAGTCACAGTTGAGTGCTTTATACATTATTAATTCATTTAATTTAATCCTAAAAATAACCATAGAATTTCACAATTATACTATCTCCTTGCCACAGACCAGAAAATTTTAGAAAAAATGTTTTATAAGTTGTCTACAGATAAACAACTAATGAAACACAAGATTCCAACCCAATGCACGTGATCAATTGTTCATCACTTCAACCTCCAGAGTATTCTGCCTCTATGAAGTTAAAGGACAATAGAATTGCTAGAAAGTAAGCAATCTAGACATTTCAATGAAGCAGCAGACAAGAAACACTATCAAAGTGAGAAGGAACAAGACATCATACCCATAGTAAATCCTAAGCGTATCTAGAAGAAATTGTACACCATACTTCTTTCGGAAAACTCTCCTGCTATCTTTAATGATGGTGGAAAGATACTGTATATGACCTAAAATAGAAAATTCACTCTTAAATGATAATATAAAATAAAGTAATACAGGTAGTAATAAATCTCTGAAACAAATAAAAAATTTTATCTAATAGCTTGTTCTCACCAATTCGAAAGGGAAAATCTCCATGGTTCCAAATACGAAAGTCAAAAAGTAAATACTGATACATTTGTTGCAGGAGCTGCGCATTTTTCTCCAATGACACCTGTTCAATTAATAATTGGACTGCCATCAATACATTAACATCCATCAAGGTAGCTGGCACCTGAAATCCAAATAGAAGAGGATTCTGTAAAATTTGGTTTAAATAATATTTGCATGAAATCATATTCAGAACACCTACTAAATATAAAAATCTTGGTTATAAAAATATAAACATGGGCCTCCCTGGTGGCACAAGGGGTTAAGATGCATTACTATGAAGCTATCCATAGCCACCAAAGCATGAGTTTGATTCCTGGTCGGCCAGGGAGCTACCCACATGGCGCAGCAGACCTCTCCTGACTCAATCACTGCTTCCCTCAGCAGTGTATTTCAGTCAGTCTGCCTGCTCTGTTCTCCACTCTGTCTCTGGTGAATCCTTTCACCCACCCACACCTCTGGCCTGTACCCCAGTTCTTGTATTCATAAATAAAAAAATCTTTAAAAAAAAAAAGAAAAATATAAACAACTTAAACATTAATTTTTCTGATTTAACACTGGAACATATATCCCAACTATCATATTCCTAAAATAGAGTCTTAAATTTATGAAATATCAAAGCTAATAAAATCAGGTCACATATATCAAAAATTATGCATCATAATAAAAGATCAATAATTCTTTTTTTTAAAAGATTTATTTATTTCTACAAGAACCGGGGTACAGGCCAGATGTGCAGGAGGATGAGAGGATTCAGCAGAGACAGAGCAGGGAACAGAACAGGCAGACTGAAGAAATACACTGCTGAGGGGAGCATCGGGCGAGACAGGAGAGGTCTGCCATGCCATGTGGGACTCTCGCCTGCTGGTCAGGATTGAACCCAGGCTGCAGAGGCTGCAGATCGCTTCACAGTGCAGCACTCAACCACCTGCACCACCAGGGAGGCCCCAAGATCAATAATTCTTATATAAGGTGATTCAATACAAGTTTTTAAAAGCTGTTTGTAAAATAAATTATATCCACTAAAATAGATTAAATGTGTAATTTTGAAAAAAACATATTTTTTAGGAGGAAAACCATGCTGCTACACGAACTATTTTTTTTTTTTTGGAAAGAAGTCTAATATTTATTGTTAAACAAAGAATATAAAATGCAGAAGAACATCTTAATATGTTCAATATGCTTTGGTGTAAGAGAGGGATGCGTATTATATACATGAATATATGCATATATGCTATTAAATATGCATATACACTTACATTAGTTGCATATACATTTACATTTATATATTAAATATACTTGTTTGCATATATTTAAATATACATTAAGTGTATATTTCTAAAATATAAGCATCTATAAATCTTTTACACGAACTTTTAATTACAATCATCAGTCACATCTACATAATGGTAGACAAGCTCACCTTCTGAAGTAACGCACCAAGAACGGCAACTCCATGGGCATGACTAAGATTGTCCTGGTTAATAGGATGTCTTTGAATGAGGTGTTTAACAATCAGAATAAATGTTGCAATTAAATTTCTCTCTAGTCTTGACTCTGTGGAATTGTAAATGTCATTCATAATCACAATTACTCTTATCACTTTCATACCACATTTTCATAATACACATTTTAACAAACAAGGAATTTGGTTCAGAAATTTACCTCCAATAGTCACATTATATAATACAAATATCAGAGAAAAGAGCAACTATATATATTTAATGCAAGGTATGCTTGTATGCACATGTAAATAGTTTCCCTACCATAAGATTAACAATACTGTCATATTTCCATTTAGAGTGTCAACTAAGAATAGTCAGAAGCAAAACCAACATCTTAAGTTTTGACCAAAGTCTTATGAACTTTCTGACCAAAATTAGTAAAATCAGGGATTGGGTGCTCTGTTTTCTTCATAATGGTGGCAAGATGCAATTTACTCTCTCATTTCTCAATATTTGTTTGTGATAATTTCATATTAGTACCTGATGCCTTTGTGGAGGTCAGCATCACCCAGTCTCCTTCTACAGGTGTTATCAGTTCAGAAACTGTGCTTTCATTCACTCCCTCAGGAATGTGTCCTTCACTGAAGTGGCTTAATTGTTCCAAAAGAGGAAAGAGTACATTTAATCCACCTATGCAGCTTATGATGTCCTAAAAAAGAAAATTACATTTTAAAAATCTTATAACAAGGGCAACTTTGTCTTAGTAAGTATAAGGTTACAATTTCCTAAACCTTTAGGCAATGTATGGGATAGCAAAGTTAATGGAACCATTATATAGGTATATGCTTATATACAGCAGGCAGTAGGTAGGGAGGCCAAAGGAGTGTCAATACAATCAATACACAAGAGAGACTATGTCATAGCATTTTTACTATCTCTTTGTTTTCTACTTTTAGGTATTCCAAATATAAGCAATATAAACCTGATCACATATTGCTTTTCATATGTTTTTAAGAGTTTTGTACTTTAAGTCAATGAGCCTTCTGAAAGACAACTATTTTCTTTCCAGTTATCATTTCCTTTCACTTTTTTTTGTGTTTTTTCAAAGAGGAACAAAAAAGCTTTATACTACATGAGTAACATGAAATAAACACTAACTGATGGATTCATTTTTACAGATAGAATTTAGCTAATGATTTCTGTTTTATTGAAACAATAACCATATTTGATTAGGGTTAATTGACTAGAAGATTAAAAAGAATAGATTTTTTTTCCTGATTTACCATCAGCAAGTTCCCATACAATTATCTTTTATATTTTCTTTTGATTTCACTTAGGCTATAAATTCTACTTAGGATATTTCTTGAGGATGTACTGTATTTTAGAAACAGGATATTCTGACTTTCATATTAGGTCAAATAACCTTTACTATTTTAACCACTAGGTCAACAATATTACTGCAATTCCCTGTGCCAGGCACCAGTGAAAAAAGCAGTGGTCCCTCCTTCAAAGTTCTAAAAGACTACGGGAGAATCAAATAAGCAAACAGTCACTGTTCACAATGATAACTGAACAATATAATGCTACTGAAGCTCATGACAAGAGCAGGTAACTTGGTCTTGGAAAGTAAGTAGAAGCCCCTAGATAGAAATTAAAACATTGTGTTCAGCTGAGACTTAAATAGGAGCAACATGGAAAAAGGCAGAAGACACACTAGCTAGAGGGGAACCTGGAGAGGAGGAAGTTACTGAAAGGAAAGATCTGAATTTATTTAAAGCTGATGGATAGGAGGCAGTAGACAGAAGTATTTGGATATGAGAGAGAAGGGGTGCACAGTCAAGTCTCTGAGAAGGTTAGGAGGGTTGAAATCTGCCACATAGTATGAAGGATAAAATACCTTAGAAGTGGAGCAAGTAAGGCAGTATATTTTCCTTATGGAAAATGTGAACTTCATGGTATAGCTAAAGAAGGTAACTAAGTTTCAAACAAATCAGTTATTTATTTGTTTATCCTTCAAAATGTCTATCTTCTCTGCAAACTTTTTTTTTTTTTAAAGATTTATTTATTTATTTATACAAGCACTGGGTACAGTCAGAAGCACAAGAGGGTGAGAGAATTCACCAGAGCCAGAGCAAGGAACAGAACAGGCAGACTGATGAAATACCCTGCTGAGGGGAGCAGCGGGCATGGCAGGAGAGATCTGCCACGCCATGTGGGACCCTCGTTGGTGGCCGGGGATTGAAACAGCGCTGCGGGCAGAGGCCGCGGGCAGCTTTGCAGCCCAGCGCTCAACTGCTGTGCCACCAGGGGAGGCCCTTGTCTGCAAACATTTTTTTTTTTTTTAAAGATTTATTTATTTATTTATACAAGCACTGGGTACAGTCAGAAGCGCAGGAGAGTAAGAGAATTCACCGAGCCAAAGCGGGGAGCAGAACAGGCAGAAGGACCGAAGTACACTGCTGAGGGGAGCAGCGGGCAGCAGGAGAGGTCTGCGAGCCATGTGGGACCCTCCTCTGGTGGCAGGGGAGCAGCCAGGGATCGAACCAGCGCTGCAGAGGCTGCTGGCAGCTTCGCAACCCAGAGCTCAACCACTGCGCCACCGGGGAGGCCCTGTCTGCAAACATTTTATTTTCTTTTTTTTTAATAGAGGCATGTTTATTTATTTATTTATTTGTTTGTTTGTTTGTTTATACATGCACTGGGTACAGTCAGAAGCGCGGGAGGGTGAGAGAATTCACCAGAGCCAGAGCTGGGAGCAGAGCAGGCAGAAGGACCAAAGTACACTGCTGAGGGGAGCAGCGGGCGGCAGGAGAGGTCTGCACGCCATGTGGGACCCTCCTCTGGTGGCTGGGGAGCAGCCGGGGATGGAACCGGTGCCGCAGAGGCCGCGGGTAGCTTCACAACCCAGCGCTCAACCGCCGCGCCACCGGGGAGGCCCATGTCTGCAAACATTTTAACTGGGACCTATCATTCAGATAAATCTGGAAGTGCTTGAAAGAAAAAGTTTTTTTTAAAGGAACAGTAAGCTTCTATAATATGTCGTCATTTATCATTAACTTACCTTAATGTCCCAGTTCACTACCTTGTTTCCTGTTAACCGTCCATGCAAACAATTAGCAGACAAGTCAAGACAGATTGAATTTTTGCAGGCCTAAAGAAAAAGGAAAAATATGACAAACAGATAAATGCAATGGAGACAAACTTAACTTTAAATATATGTGGAACATTTCATCATAATTTTAAAAGACATACAGTACAATCAATGAAAATATACCTACAAAATTATGTTTAGTGTTCTAATTATCTGATTAGCTTTTAAAAGGATCAAGGAGTAGACTCTAAACACTCACTCATCTAATATAAGATTGTCCTTGAAGGACGAGCTATAGCTAGAATTTACCATTCGCCAATCATATAATTTTAAATTTCTCTTTTAAACCAATACATGCACAAATAGATTTCTGACTTTTAAAGAAATTCAATATTTCACTTTCATTAGTACCTCCCTTGGTACAATTTCATGATACACATAAAATGTGTGACAGAAATCACAGAGAGATATACCATGATCTAAAAATCCAATAACAAGCATAAGACTTCTTCCTTCATGTTACTGACCATTCTAATTACATTCAGAATAAGAGCTTATTCTGCAACTCTAAAAATTTTAAGTTGTTATCATCTATAAATGCTAAAGCAGGAAACTTCATATTCAGTCTGAATTTTCAGATAATGAGGCATTCTAGAATCTAACTCCCATACTAGGAAGAAAATAAGAAAATCCACAAATTTTAGCAGAGATGATATAGCAATTGCTTTCTTCTTAAGACAACATTTAATAAAACAAACTGAAATTGAAATTACTTTTAACTCATTTTCTTCTGTTACTACCTCAGTTTGGGTACTGTTAACCTATGACTTGTCCTAAATATAGTAATGCCCTAACGGTATGACTACCTCCAGATGTCTATCCCTCCAATTCAACTTACACACAGCAGTTTAAAGACTTTTTCTAAAATGCAAACCTGATCATGTTATTCTTCTTTTTAAAACCCTCCCCTTCCCCCCCCCCCCCCATTGACTGTAGTTATCCTGGCAGAGGAGGGTTGCTATTATCTGGCCTCCACTTGCTTCCCATTCTCATTTCCTGCCATCTTCTTTGCTGCCCTAATCCTAAATACTCTTCTACTGTATGTATCTGTCATAGTAAGTTTCTTGAGGAAAAAACATTAAAAGCTACTTTTTAATATTACATAATTTTTACTGCCAATTGTAAAAATTCAACCTAATATTATTATTAGAGTCAATATGAAAACCATAACTCAAAAAAGAAAAAAAAAAACAATCAGCCATCACGTTTAGAATGTGCCACAAAGTATATTTCAATTAAATATACTTGCAATTAAATCCAATTATTTCCTAGCTACCTATTTTAGGTAAGTGAAATGCAAATAACATGTAATCCCTGCCTAAAAAAATTCAAAATTCATGAATTTCATGTTCATCAAAGAAGACAAACAGATAGCCAACAAACACATGAAAAGATCACGTATCATTACGGAAATGAAAATCAGAGCCATAATGAGATTTCATCTCAACCAGTTACAATGGCTATTATCAATGGCTACTATCAAGAAATAGTAAAAGCTGGTTAGGAATGTCCAGAAAAGGAACTCTTGTACACTACTGGTAGAAATGTGAATTGCTGCAGTCACAATGAAAAACAGTATAGAGGTTAGTCAAAAATTAAAGATAGAAATACCATATAATCCAATAATCCCATTTCTGAGTATTTACTCAAAAAATAAGAAAACACTAATTTGAAAAGATATATGCACCCCTATGTTCAGTGTAACACAATTACCAATAGCCACAATATGGAAATAACCCAAGTGCCAAAATATAGATGATTATAGAATACGTGGTACATACAGACAACAGAATACTACTCAAGCTCTCCCCACAAAAAAGTGAAATCTTGCCATTTATAGATGGACCTTGAAGGAACAATACTAAGTGAAATACATCAGAAGGACAAACACAAACACTGTATACTCATATGTGGAACATAAATAAGGAAACCAAACATATTCTTAGACTCTGAGGGGGATGGTTGATGGCAATGGTAGCCTGACATTTGGTGGTGGATATGGTGTAACATATACAACTGAAAGTTAAGAAATTGTACAGCTGAAACCTATACAACGTTGTAAACCAGTAAGACCTTAATTTAAAACCTAATGATAATCAGGGAACAAAAAACCTGGGGGGAAAAAAAACCATTATCTGGCCTCCCTGGTGGTGCAAGGGGTTAAGACTCAATTTATGAAGCTATCTGCAGCCACTGTAGCACGAGTTCGATCCCCGGCCAGGGAGCTACCCACATGGCGCAGCAGATCTCTCCTGTTCTCGCCCGTTGCTCCCCTCAGCAGTGTATTTCAGTCTATCTGCCTGTTCTGCTTTCCACTCTGTGAATCCTCCCATTCTGGTGAATCCTCTCACCCCCCTCCCCACCTCTGGCCTGTACCCCAGTTCTTGTATGCATAAAAAATAAATCTTTTTAAAAAACCCATAATCACTGCCAAATAGAAACTTAAAATCTACTTCTATAAACAATGCATATCTTTGGGAGGTTAGTGTTAGAAAAAGTAAACAAACAAAAAATAAGAGACTCAATAAACATAGCTACAACAATGGATAAACCTCAAATAGATCCATTTTATTTTAAATTTTAAAATATTTAACAAATATTTTGGGGAAAACTGGGAAAATTTGAATGAGTTATGTAGTACATAAAATGATAATTTTCACAGACAGATAAATGACTATGTAGAAATATTTAGGAGTAAAGTATCACGATTTGAGATAGGTATGAGTGGCAATGTGTTAAAAATTGGAGAATCAGTAGAAGGGAAAGATAGCATCAGAGGAAATTCCCTGCTTTGCTCCTGAGAGAATAAATTACAGAATTCCAGACAGGCACTGAACTTAGTGGATCCCATGAGATGGAGTGAAACCAGCGCACCTCCTAATCATCAGACCAACACTGAGCTCTAGTAATGAAGAGATGCTGAGGATAATCAAATGTGGGCACAAAGGGTGAGTGGGGTGAGAGGCATCCACTGGGGTGGAAACCAGGATTCATGCCCACACCCAATGAGGTCCTTGCTGTGGATGTAACCATGAGAGATATAGATGACAATGCTAGTGAGAGTGCTGGAGTGAGTCATGTGAACAGAGCACCCAGTGAGGAACACAAAGTTCAGTATGGTCCAACTCCCACCACATACTGCCCTTGGGATAGAGCAAATATAGATACCAAATGGATACACAGAAGCTGTGTTGGCAAGCTGCAATGAAGTCTAGACTATAGACTATAGATACCCAGGTCTGAAACCCAGAGAGGAAGGAGAGCAGTAGTAAACTAGACAGGAGATGTACCCAAGCATACCATTTTCACCAGCAACAGACCTCTCTGGTACCCTCTGGCACCCACAAAAGAACCAACTACAAATTAGTTCTCTGAAATACTGTGCCACCTACTGGAAAAATGAAAGTTCTGCACACTTAACGCTTAGCAAATAATAGGGAGACAGAAAAACACCAAAAATGGGAAATTGACTCCTCGGGCAATAGTACACCTCACAGAAAGCATAAATATGCAGGAACCATCCACAAAGAAATGGAGGCTCCTTGTTCCTGTCAGATACAGAATTCAAAACAGCTGTGATAAATTGGGCCTCCCTGGTGGTGCACGGGGTTAAGCACCGCACTTCATGAAGCAATACGCAGCCTCTGCAGCATGAGTTCGATCCCCGGCCAGCCAGGGAAAAACCCACATGGCAAGGCAGAACTCGCCTGTCTTGCCTGCTGCTCCCCTCAGCAGTGTATTTCAGTCAGTCTGCCTGTTCTGTTCCCCAATCTGTCTCTGGTGGATCCTCTCACCCCCCACATCTCTTGCCTGTGCCCCAGCTCTTGTATGCATAAATAAATAAATCTTAAAAAAAAAAAAAAGAGCTGTGATAAAGAGTCAAGGAAATGAAAGAAAACACAGAAAAGCTAATCAAAGTCATACATGAAAACTCAGAAAAAAATGAATATCCTGAAAATAAAATAAATGACAGAATATTGAAATTGAAGACTGAGGGCCTCCCTAGTGGTGCAAGGGGTTAGGAAGCAAATTATGAAACTATCCACAGCCACTGCAGCACAAGTTCGATCCCTGGCCAGGGAGCTACCCACTGGTGCAGCAGACCTCTCCTGACTCGCCCGCTACTCCCCTCAGCAGTGTATTTCAGTAGATTTGCCTGTTCTGCTCCCCATTCTGTCTCTGGTGAATCCTCTCACCCCCCACACCTCTGGCATGTACCCCAGTTCTTATATGCATAAATAAATAAATCTTTAAAAAAAAAAGAAATTGAAGACTGAAATAAGAAAGTAACAAAAATGTAGACTGTAAAAAAAACAACAGATGTCATAAAAAATTGAGAAAATGCTAGACCAAATGGAAGACTGAATCAATGGCCTCAAAGATGAAGATGTACCAAAAATTCAGGTGGAAGAAGAAAAAGATGTGAAGGAAAAACATGAAGAACTACTTCAACAAAAAGATGTGAAGGAAAAACATGAAGAACTACTTCAACAATTATCTGACTTGATGAGGAAAGTCAATGTCAAAATGAGCATCCAAAAATGGGGAGAAAGAGAAGGTAACAGAAAACTTATTCAAAGAAATAATATAGGAAAAGTTCTTAAACCTAGAAAGAACTAAAGACATAAGTCCACGAAGCTAACGAACACCAGGTGACCCAAACATAGTAAGATCTACAACACGAACACAGAGTTCAAGACAAGTGAAAAAGATTGAAGCTGGCTATGGAGAAGAAACAGATCAACTATAAAGGAATCCAGGTCAGGTTTATACCTGAATTATAGGAGGAAGCTATATGGGTAAGGAAAGAATAGAATGATGTGATTAAAACAATCAAAAGTTAGGGCCTCCCCAGTGGCGCAGCGGTTGAGCGCTGGGTTGCGAAGCTGCCCGGGGCCTCTGCGGCGCCGGTTCGATCCCCGGCTGCTCCCCGGCCACCAGAGGAGGGTCCCACATGGCGCGCAGACCTCTCCTGCCGCCCGCTGCTCCCCTCAGCAGTGTACTTCGGTCCTTCTGCCTGCTCTGCTCCCCGCTCTGGCTCTGGTGAATTCTCTCACCCTGCTTCTGACTGTACCCAGTGCATGCATGTCAAAAGTTAAAACTGTCGGGCCTCCCCGGTGGCGCAGCGGTTGAGCGCTGGGTTGCGAAGCTGCCCGCGGCTCTGTTCGATCCCCGGCTGCTCCCCGGCCACCGGAGGAGGGTCCCGCATGGCGCGCAGACCTCTCCTGCCGCCCGCTGCTCCCCTCAGCAGTGTACTTCGGTCCTTCTGCCTGCTCTGCTCCCCGCTCTGGCTCACCCTCCCGCGCTTCTGACTGTACCCAGTACATGTATAAACAAAAAAAACAAACAAACCAGCAAACAAATAAATAAAGCATGCCTCTATAAAAAAAAAAAAAAAAAAAAAAAAAAAAAAAGTTAAAACTGTCAACCAAACCAGTCTGTCCTGTCAGACTCCTCTTCAGAGGTGAAGGAAAAATAAAGGCCTTCTAAGACAGAGGTGAAGGAGTTTGTAAACACCAGACCCTCCCAACAAATGCTGAAAGGAGCTCTTTTTTTTAAAAAAGATTTATTTATTTATTCATTCATTCATTCATTCAAGCACTGGGTACAGTCAGAAGCGCAGGAGGGTGAGAGGATTCACCAGAGCTAGTGAGGAAATACACTGCTGAGGAGAGCAGTGGGCGCAACAGGAGAGGTCTGCGCGCCATGTGGGACCCTCACCGGTGGCCGGGGATCAAACCGGCGCTGCAGAGGCTGCGAGCAGCTTCACAGCCCAGCGCTCAACCGCTGCGCCAACAGGGGAGGTCCCTGAAAGGACTCTTATAGCTAAATTGAAGAGAAAAACATCCACAATGGACTGAACAAGAAAAGAGAGAGAACCACAAAATTAAGGGCAAAATGGGAATAGCAGACTTTGATATATCGATAATCACTGTGAATATAAATGGAATAATTCTCCAATTGAAAGGTACAGAGTATCAGGCTGAATTAGGAACAGAATCCAGCTTTCTGCTATAGCCAGAAAACGCATCTGAGCTCAAAAGATGAACACAGGGTTAGAATAAAGGTTTAAGAAACAAACCTACAAGTGAATGGGACCCAAAAGAGGGCAAGGACAGCCACATTTATGTATAAAATAGACTTCCAGATAAAAATGTAACAAGAGTTAGGAAAGGACATTAGATGATTAAAGAAACAATACATCAGGATGACATAAGAATAATCAACATATATGCACCCACAAAGAAGCATCAAAATATATACAGCAATTATTATCAAATCTAAAAACGGACACTGGAAGGCAGTTATGCTAACAACTATGCCACCAACAATCCTGAAAACAGACATTGGAAAACACATTTCTGGCTGGGGAATTCAATGATCCACTTTTAACAATGGACAGATCAACCACACACACAAAAAAATAATAATAAGGACACAACAGCCTTTATACAAAGAATTAGATCACATGGGTTTACTAGACATTTATAGGGCACTGCACCTACTAAAAAGCTGACTACACATTTTTCTCAAGTGCACATGGGACACCGTTCTTGGAAAATTAATAAATTTTTAAAATGTAATTCAAGTCCCCTTATTTTCAACTACCCACTGAAATGACAAAAGGAATAAAAATAATTTTAGTTCACAGAATAGTTATAACTAGGACAGTCCATGCATTTTACTCTGACCTTTGCAGTGTAGTGAAGGAGGACATTGCCCGGTAGATCAATCATATCTGACTCTTGAAATTTCCAAGGGCTTAAACAGTTTGGACCTAAAAAATATTTATATATACATTATTAAATATATAGGACTTCTGTTTTTTGGTGTAATCAGAAAAAAACTTAGGCTAAACAAAATTAACATATATAAGCTAAAGCATACTTTATTTTTATTATCAAATCTGATAATAAAAAATTATTATCTGAAAACAGATACTGAAAGGCAGTTATGCTAACCACTATACCACTAACAATCCTGAAAACAGATATTGGAAAAAACACATCTATGGCTGGAGAATTCAATGACCCACTTTTAACAATGGACAGATCAACCACAGAAAAAATGACACAACAGCTTTATTTTTATGTCATCTCCAGTTTGTCCAAAACTAGAACAGTTGGGGGCTTATCAATATCCACTGCTGTATAGAAATTTTATATAGCATTAAAAATATCAAAGTTCATTAATTTACTTAACATAAATCAATTAAAATTGGTAAGACCAAATAACAAAACCACCAACAGGTGAATAGATACCACAGGAATGGAAGGGTAAATTATTACCCCCCCCAAAAAAAATTAAAGAAATGTAAATTAAAACAAATTTCCACTTTACATTAAAAAAAGAAAGGAACAGTAATGACCATTTCATCTTAATGAAGTAGTGGTCAATCTGACATACTTTTGTATTACTGGTAGACACTGAATTGATATAACCCTTTTGGAACATGATTTGGTAATATGCATTTTGCTTATATATCCAGAGAAATTAATAGAAGTAACTTGCCAAGAGTTAAAATAAAGCAAACACTATTGTACAATATTTCATCTTATTTACTATTTGAAATTGGCATCAACATAAAAATTATGAACCTAAGTAACACTCATTATGACTTCAATGAAATATTACATATAACTATTAAAAATGATTATTCTGAACAAATAATTAGTATTTATAAGAGAATTATAAGTAGAAGAAATTGTAGGAATTAAATCCAAACTACACAGATGTAATGACTATATTAAATGACTTATTATTAACTTGGAATTTATTTATAGGTTAAAAATCAACTTCAAATATTTTGACAGGTTGTAAAGACAAGGTTCTATTATAAAGTTTAAAATTCTGGACAGTCCAATTCATCACAAAAACTCCCACGTAATTCTAAAAAGGACATTATGATAAATAATAAGCTATTCTGCAGAATTAATATACATGACTCCTTAGAAGTTTTTAACTCCTGAACATCCCATTAAAATATAGGTAAAATTTTGAAAATAGTTATAACAATAGCCTTTAAAATTAGAGCGAAAAGTAAAAACAAAAACAGCTTATAATCTTACCCAAGGACTCCTAATTCTATTGCCTTCATGAATTCTTTCAGTATATTAACATGTACATTATAAACTTGTCAAACTTTGAAATAAGATTCCTTATAATTTTAGAATGTCTTGATTTCCTGAGAAGACAGGCTTATACCTCATTTCATCAATTTATTAAAGTTTATCAAAAGTACTGGAGGCATTATAACTGAACTGCAAACGCCCTTGCCCCAAAATTCATATTGTAAAGCTCTAACCCCTAATTTGTACGTCCTTAAAAAGAGTTAATTAAGGTTAAATGATTTCATAGAGGCAGGCACTAATCTGACAGGGCCACTTGCAAGAACAGGTAAAGATATACACAGTCTCTGCATGCACAGAGGACAGACTCCTTGAGAGAACACAGCAATAAGGCAGTCACTGACACACCAAGAGAGGTCTCACCAAAAAACCAAGTCTCATAGAAATTTGATCTTGGAATTCTAGCTTCCAGAATTGTGAGAAAATAGTTTTTAAGCTATCCAATTTGTAGTTTTCAGTTATGGCAGTCCTAAGAGACTAATACAGGCAGTATTATGGATCATATATGAAATATTTCCCAAATGTTTGCTTTATTTATGCCTATACAAAAATTATAAGGTACTATAATTAACAACACTACATAATATACTTGAAAGTTGTTAAGATAGTAGATCTTAAATGTTATCAACATACACATAATAAATGGTAAATATGTAAATAATGCTATATAAAATTTCTATACTGTAGTGGACATTGATAAGCCCCCAACATTCCTACAATTTCTTCTATTTATAATTCTCTTATAAATACTAATTATTTGTTCAGCGGACAGACATGTTCAGTACCTTTATTATAATAGTAATTTTACAATACATATGTGTATCAAACTATCACCATTATACACCTTAAATTTACATATGTTATATACCAATAATACCTCAATAAGCAGGATGGAAGGGCTTGGTATGTGGTAGGTTTTTTTTTCCCTTTCAGTTTCAGTTAGAACAAATATACTCTTCAGATCAAATATATTTAGACAACAGAAAAATTAAACAATATGATTGTACATGCTCACCTGCCAAATATAATGCTTTCACCTGAGGAGGCTGTAGTGCTTCATAGAAAATGATAACAGACCCTAGCTGACCCTCCAGAGATGTGGGACAACCCCATTCACTGTCTTGGGTTCCAGCCGATATCAACTTAGAAACCAATTTTGATTTTTCAGTTGTTCCTCCCCAGGAGGCTGATGATAGAATTCCACCAAATGATGTCCGATGTGGCGTAATAGGAGAAGAAAAAGGAGGATCTGGGATTTGGGATGGTGGAGGAGTGGTAGTTCTTTGCCCAGCTGAACCAATGCAGCAGGAAATAAAAGGCTAAAATAAAGAAACAAAATAACTCATTTAAATTAAATATCATATTTGAAATAACAAAAAGTTAAGCAACTAGATCAAAAACAAAACTTATGAGATATACATGCATGTGTACACATTAGAAATCATTATAGATTTTACCTTTGATATATGGGATTTGGGTGCATTACTTTTATATCTCACTTATAATCGCTTGTAAATTTTGAACTTTTGGTGAGTATATATTTAAAAACAAAATTTTAAACTTTACTGTACTCTAAAATAGACAAATGTACTTTTCCCCCATAAAATCTATAAAAGGAGAATTACACATCAGTATAATAATGTTAATATGTTTACCCTGAAATGGTCTTTAAGATGAATAGCTATAAGAAATTACTAGAATCCTAAAAGCACTTAGGAAATAATCTAATCTATCCATTACCTTTAGAAAAAAGCCCTTTCTAAGTTATTCAAATATTCTCAAAGAACTCAAATCTTCTTCAGGAATCACCCCAGTAAATAAATCCTATCTTACACATAATTACAATGTAAGGTTTAAAGTTTCCTTATTTTTTTTTTTTAAAGATTTATTTATTTATTTATTTATTTGTTTGTTTGTTTATACAAGCACTGGGTACAGTCAGAAGCGCGGGAGGGTGAAAGAATTCACCAGAGCCAGAGCGGGGAGCAGAGCAGGCAGAAGGACCGAAGCACACTGCTGAGGGGAGCAGCGGGCGGCAGGAGAGGTCTGCACGCCATGTGGGACCCTCCTCCGGTGGCCGGGGAGCAGCCGGGGATCGAACCGGCACTGCAGAAGCTGCTGGCAGCTTCGCAACCCAGTGCTCAACCGCTGCGCCACCGGGGAGGCCCAAGTTTCCTTATTTTTATCTTAAATCCAATGGAGGTAGAAAAGAGTAATAATAATTAATTAATAATTAATAATCCAAGTACTTACTAGGAGAGTTTTATTAAATGATTCTTTGCTCTATTCTATTTGTTTGCTTTTCTGTCATATCTTTTTTCCTAAACCTTTGACTACATTCCTTTCTTGAATTGCCTTTCTTTATAATGTATTACATGTTTTCTAACTTCATCTAATGATGACAGGCTACCAAAATTAAAAATTAACGATTTCTGAGTATAGAGAAAACACTTTAAAATTTATGGCCACATATTTAGAATAAACAGAACTTTTTCTACATTAAACAGAAAATTTTCAAAAGTTCTCAATAAATCAGTCTCATAAGGAAAAGGATAGATGTGCTTACTTCATTCATGGCAGGAAATTTTAGAGGGGCAGACACCTTCTGCTGTCCATTGTCATAGATGTAGATAAGACTTTGACCAAAGGGCCTTTTTCCAGGCATGTGAACAATGGTTATGTTGTGCTGGTAAAGTAAAACATATATTTAAAAAAGGTAAAAATTACATTAAGTCTAAGTTTCCAGAGTACCACTCTATAAAAAGTAGAAAATTAAGATTAAGTAAGCATAACTCAATGCTGATTTAAATGATACTCTCAAAGTGAATAACACCATTTATTCTCAGAAGTACTATAAAAGCACTTACATCTGTCTATATCTAGTCTACAAACAACTGTGACATTTCCTTTTTGCATTTTCCAAGTTTATGAGTATTATTTAGGTTCAATTTTTCCAGTAAGATTCATTTTCAATTTTAAGAAAAGTAACAGAAATGCATTTTTGTTAACAATTTATGTTCCCATTTTAAATTGTTCAAAATCAAATTTGATTATAGAATTCTAACATTTCATTGTAAATTTTTGGTGTAAAAATTACTGCTGAATTTAGAATGATAATAAATCCTATTAACCTCTTATAAATAAACTTCAGTAAGAATACTATTTAAATTTGATTCTCATAAAGCAGATGATGACACCTGATATATATCATCAAATGTGTGTTTTTTTAAAGGAAAGAACCAAAAAAGTTTAATGTAATGCTCTAAAGTCTTACCCAAAGGGAATCACAGAAACTGTGGTCAGGAAGCATAACTGTTGCATATTCTCTTTTTGTACATACTGCCACAACCAACATACCTGAATGGGTAATAAAAGCTTCAAAACCCATGCCACTTCCTGTAAAAAAGCTAACAAAAATATATCTTATCAGAACTTTTGAAATGAGTTGTTCATTATTATAATCACTGAAGCACACAAAACTGTAACTTCATCACAAATATATTAAATATACTGTGGCTTACAGTCTAACCTTTTTCCTATTTAAGAACAACAATATATATTGTTATAACAATATTCATTTATATTCCATAACTTGTACCAGTACCTGTACAACTGTTTTCTTTTTCCTCCTTTGTTAGCATTGCCAAGCATCAGCTGATCCTGATCTAAGCAAATCCAAGCATTGAAAGAAAAGGCAGACCCTGGCCATTTCTGTATGCAAGGCACAGAAATTCCTGCCATACTGTGTGACAAATTAAAATACTGCAGTGCATTCTCTAGACTTTGTTTTCGGGCCATTGTCAGGATTGCTCGAGTCACAGGAATGGTGTAAGGGTGAATATACTCAGATTCATCCACTCTCAGTAATCTTAATAGTCGACGGATTTCTTCTGAGCTCACTGACTGACTCCCCAAGGAACCATGGAGTGCAATCAAGTTCTCAGCACAAGTTCGATGGAGGGAAGAATGGGAATCAAGTGTTTCAATGATTTGAATTCCCATGTTAGCATTGACACAAGTATTTCGGCTCTGCCTATTGATACAGCAAATTCTTTTCAGCCAATCAGAAATGAAGATTTGCAGGTCATGGGACTCTAACTCTGGAAGCCACTGGATAAGAAGCAAGAGAGGCTGGACATTACTAATGCCCAAAATTCCAACGGAGGTGTGATCACCCTCTACAGCCTGTAAAGCAAGATAAAAGACAAAAGATTGGCTACCATATTTGATATGAAGATAATAGAATTTCTTTGAATAAAGCTAAAAAACTCACCATATTCATAAGTTCTTTAAGTAGTTCCAATGGTGGCTGACCCAGGGATTTTAATACTTCAAACAGATGTGTATAACCAATTCTTTCTTTAAATACTTCCTAGGGAAGGAGAAATTAATACATCAAAGCACATTTCCAAAGACTGAATTTGCTGGGATATTAAAAATATATTCATTTAAGTTAATGTAATATTAAACATTATGAAAAATTCAGTATTTGTTTTCTTTTTATTTTTTTTTAAAGATTTATTTATTTTTATACAAGAGCTGGGGTACAAGCCAGAGATGCGGGAGGGTGAGAGGATTCACCAGAGGCAGAGCAGAGAGCAGAACAGGCAGACGACAGAAATACACTGCTGAGGGGAGCAGCAGGCGAGACAGGAGAGGTCTGCCACACCATGTGGGATTCTCGCCGGCCGGGATCGAACCCGCACTGCAGAGGCTGCAGACAGCTTCAGGGCGTGGCGCTCAACCCACTGCGCCACTGGGGAGTCCCCAGTATTTCTGTTTTCTTAATTCACATCCTTCATCTTAAATAGTTCATATACCGTCTGGAATGTTAAATGTTAAAAGAATTTACCAAAACGTAAAATAAATGAAAATAGCAATGAAAAGTGCATTACAACACACATTATGAAATGTGTACTTAAAAATCTTTAGGGGTGGGGCCTCCCCAGTGGCGCAGCGGTTGAGCGCTGGGTTGCGAAGCTGCCCACAGCCTCTGCAGCGCTGGTTCGATCCCCGGCTGCTCCCCGGCCACCAGAGGAGGGTCCCACATGGCGCGCAGACCGCTCCTGCCGCCCGCTGCTCCCCTCAGCAGTGTACTTCGGTCCTTGTGCCTGCTCTGCTCCCCGCTCTGTCTCTGGTGAATTCTCTCACCCTCCCGCGCTTCTGACTGTACCCAGTGCTTGTATAAATAAAAATAAATAAATCTTAAAAAAAAAAAAATCTTTACGGTAACAGAAATCAGAGAGCAGCCTCAAAGTACTAAATTAAAGAATACTGGAAATCCTTAGTAGAGGTCAGAAAAACTTGGGTATAATTTTCTCTCTTCTCTTTGTATTTAAATGTTGTGAATTTTGTCGACCAAAGTTTAATTTAGTAAGCTCTAAGTCATATGTATTTTTTGAGCTAGTGGGTAATCAAAGACATAAAATATAATGTAAAGACAACCAAAAATCTAAGCAAAACTAAAGTGGTCTACTGAAAATGGGCAGAAATATATACATTTACTACAAAAATCAAAAGATTTAACAAAGATTGTCTCTGAGGAAGGGAACTATTTGGGGGTCTAAGTACAGCAAAATGCTTTTCAAAAGACATTTTTTAAATAACCTTTGAATTTTAAACCATGCAAGGCATTGTCCAGTAAAAAATATTATTTTTGAAAAAATTTGAACATCATTTTAGGTTTGAATTTGATAATGCAGTACAGATTTTTAGGGAAACTAACTTTTCTCTATGAACCCTTACAAAAATCAGTGTAAAGTAAGGATTATAACTAATGGCTTAAGGAACACAGAGTAATTCATTCCTTTCTGGTACTTGAAAGCTAAGGCATGAAATAAATTTGAGGTGGTAGAGAAGGAGGTAAAATGGTAAAATAATAATAATAATAATAATAGACACTGACATTTAACCAGCACTTACAATGTACTTGGCCCTATGCTTAGTACTTTACACAAATGAGCTCATAAATCCTTAAAACTACTCAATCAGGAAACTACTAGCACAAAATCACTATAAGTAGACAGTAGAAGTAGTACATGACAATCAGTGGCCGTGCATAAGAAGAAAGCCTGAGTATCAGTGACTACAAAGAAGCAGAATTTCCACAGCCATCTGGCGAAAACAAGTTCCAAATTTATTGGGATATTCATGTGAAAATTATTCATAACTGACCTGAGAGTGAGGAGTTATTATGCTATTAATGAAGAAAATCTAGGACATAAAATTTAATTCCTTAAGCTCACACAACATACAACTTCTTTAAATAATCATTTCAACATTTCAACAGCAATAGCCTCTTCCTATTTGATGACTGACACTATAAATCACTATTAGTTTACAATCTAGTTATCAATGCCTTAAATAATCCCAAAGAAGTGGCTATATGTGCTTGTCTTTAAAATAATCAGTAAAATGATAATCATACTGAGATATTTTGTCAACTATTTCAAGTGTTAAATTATATGTATAATATACTTTCACACATGACTTTGTAAATTATATTGTAAAAACTGGGGACCAAGATTAACATTTTAGGGTACCTTTGCAGCTGGAGATTTGTTCATCACTGCTGTCAAAGCCTGAATAGTCGATACAGCCAAACAATCCAACTGTCCCTGAAACACCTATAGGAGGTGGCAAAGCAAGAAATTAACAAAATTGTTCACCAATTTGTATTCAGTTAGGAAACCTTTGTTCTGAAAACCTGAAAAAATAATTACTTAACATGCATGACATTCTTCTTTCAAAGAAATGGATTTCTGACAAACAATAACCTGCAAGAAAAGTTACAAATTTGATAGAAAATAAGTCACCTGTCAAGAAGGATAAGAATACATTCACTCATTGCATTAAAATGTTTTGGGGGAAAAAACAACACCAAGCTTAGTACATGCTTTTTAAAAATAATGGACAATCTCAAGAGGAAGGGAGGGAAGTCTATCATTGGAAATTCTATTGTTGTAATATTTTCTTCAAAAATACACCTGAACTCCAAAGGTTTAAATTTCACTGATATGTAATAAGATGTCTAAAAGTCTTTTCTACTTATTTTCCAAAACCCAAGTATAATTGAAATAGTATGTGCATACACTAATCAATTAACAATTGCAAATAGGTATAGCTATTTATTTTCACATAAAATGTAGAATTTAAGGCAGAACAGAAAATGAAATATGCAACCATAAGCACTGTCATATCTTTAAGAAGGCAATACTTAACATCAAAGTTTTAAGATAAAATAAACCAGTTCCACTTTGCCTAGTTCTATTTAAGTTTCATTATAAAGAGTTGTGTTGAACTTCAGGGCAAGCCATTTATAGCAGAAAAATAAATATCAACAATATTAAGAAACTGAACATGACTATCATATTATTTGGCTTTGTCAACCATGGAAACAGCATGGGGACTAGAAAGTTGTAAAAACTAATAGTCCCAAAAGTCTGCTCCAAGGAATATATGTTATGACTTGAAGCTTGTCACTACAGAAATAGGATTTTTCTCTCTCTCACCAAAAATAATTTTAGTGGGCCTCCCCGGTGGCGCAGCGGTTGAGCGCTGGGTTGCGAAGCTGCCCACAGCCTCTGCGGCGCCGGTTCGATCCCCAGCTGCTCCCCGGCCACCGGAGGAGGGTCCCACATGGCGCGCAGACCTCTCCTGCCGCCCGCTGCTCCCCTCAGCAGTGTACTTCGGTCCTTCTGCCTGCTCTGCTCCCCTCTCTGGCTCTGGTGAATTCTCTCACCCTCCCGCGCTTCTGACTGTACCCAGTGCATGTATAAACAAAACAAACAAACAAACAAATAAATAAATAAAACATGCCTCTATTAAAAATAAAAAAAAAAAAAAATAATAATTTTAGTAAAACGTAACTGTTAAGATCTTTGTCATTTTTAAGCTAAGTTCTACCACTTTCAGACAAAATATTTAGGCTATTAACTCATCTTTTGTTGATATTTATTAAACTTTATTACATAAAATAATATAATAAACATGTTATAATATGCATTAAACATTTTGCAAGCAGTATTTCATACAAATAAGATCTTTTCTCACTTTATCTAAGAGGACTAGGCATTCTAACACAACTAGGAAACCTAACTTAAACTTGTAACTATTATAACTGTTATAAAAAGATCTAATCTATGTAAAAAGGTCTTACGAGGGGCTAAGTCTTATAACATTCTAAAATGGTATTCTGTAATTGATATTGCAAATCCAGAATACATTATTATGTCTCTTTTTATACCTTATAAACACCAACACTAAGATAATGTTAATAAAAGATATCATGTAAGTTCTCTCACAAATATTTTGAGTGAAAAGTAAGCAATTTTTATCAATTTTTTCCAAACTTAAAATACCTAGTGTATTATGAAAAGCAATATAAATTGCATATTTCTGCCTTATATCACATACAGAATAATTTTTACAAAATAAAAAGTTACTTGTCAGGCTAAATTAAGACTCTAAGAGCTTGGCATCTTCTTCCCTTCCTCCAAGATTCAGGTTGTCCATTGAATTATAATCATTACTTGTCAACAAGAAGCAAAGAATCAAGATATTAAAACTGACCATACATATTCACAAACAAAGCCCTAAGATTCCAATATACCACAATGCTTAGAAAAAGAAGCCCCCAAAATATGAATTCATCACCAGGTGGACAGTATTGATATTGGGATCCCATTCCTGTACTTTGTAGCTTCTCAAACTGTTGGTCATTTATATTAACCAACAAAACTTCATACATGTAGGTTAAAACTTCAATACATCAAGGTTAAAGCAATTAAAATTTTAAACAATATTCAAAAATAATGAAGATTAGAATTAATTCTAATTTGTGACTTTTAAGACATAAGGAGAAAAGTACAGGAATAGTTGCTCCCAATGACTGATTTTGGACTTCAGCTGAAACAAGATGCAGGCTTTGTAGATACCTGGTCCTCATTCATTTCTGTCAGTAATTTGTTGGCAAGGTCTTTCTCGTTCTTGTCTGCCACCTTATTGTTAGCATTTAAAAATAGCTGTTAAAAACAGAGACAAGAATAATGGGAAATAAAATTAAATTGTTACCTATAAGCAGAAATGAAACTTAAATGGATTGCCATGCTTCTTGAAAATAAATCCAAGAATCCACTTGTGAAGTAAGTCACTTTAAAATTGACAATCAACTACTTACTTTTTGGGTTGTAAACTGACATTAGTTCAAATACCATATAATTTATTATTTATTATACTTTATCATTTACTAGTTATTATACATATCTCAGAACTGAGCTACTAAAATAAGAAACAGCAATTAATTTAGTTAATATTCCTAAATTCTTAAAGAATCAGCAAAAGTGCCTCACAAAAAAAGGATATACGCTATTTAGACAGACTAAAGGTACGGTAGTAAATGACAGAGTGACAAGTTTGTTTGAGAAATGCTATTAAACTAAGTTTAACATGGTTCTATCTGAAAATATTTCTGAGTCTCAAATATGCTAATGTACACTCTGACGAGGGAGGTCAGTATATAGCATTTCCCAAACTTAACTGGCCACACATTTGTTAAAAATTCTGTAAGTGTCCCCCAAAAATATTGAGTTGAGTATAATCATATTAGTTTATACTAGAAAAAGGAATTATCTCTGACCCTCACCGGAATTGCTCTCTTCTGAAAGAAATAAAGGAATAAAGTATTTTGGTTCAAGTATATAAAACTCAGCACACCAAAAGATCTCAGTCACAGTTTAGGTAAAGAGAAAGAGAAGCCAAGTTAAAGTGAAAAGGAAGGAAAAAATACATTTATAAAGGTATATATCAAGAGCATCGTCCTAAATGAAATTCTTCTTAAGTAGTCTATCATTTCAGAAATGAGGAAACAAAGGACCAATAATTGCTGAAATAAAATGAATAAAGGTATAGTATAACATGGTATGTAAGAGCATATGTAAAGCTTAACATAACAGATAAGTGAACACAATACACATTTTGGAATCAGAAACCTGGGTTTGAGTCTTGTTTCTATTACTTAATTAGTTAACTAGTTTTAAGAAAGGTAACCCTCCAAACATGATTTCTCAAAAATGAAAAGATTAATACCTCATGAAATAGGTGTGTAGATTAAATGAGATAATCCAAGCTGGCTATTAACATGGTATCTGGCTAATAAGCTTTCAAAAAATGAAAATTGGTATTATCACCAAAGACTTCAAAACTGTTAATATTACATATTATCTAGGTGCAGACACATGAACATTCAAAACTGATGAAAGAAAAATTAGTAAGTCTTTTTAGAAAGCAACATAACTATCCACATGAAGAATCTTTTAAAGTCCTCTCTCTTTAAATGGATTGTTTTTCTTAAAATCCACCCTGAGCAGGAAATCACACCAAGATTTTAGAACAGGGATGCTCACTTCAGTTTTATTTACAGTAGCAAAAAGTAAGAAAGCACTCAAAAATCCAACAATAATAGAATAAGAAAATAAATTATGGTTTATCCTCGAGCTGAAAGAGAAGTTCTCAGACCTTTCTAGTGTCAGGAATTTTTAACACTCTTAAAAATTGAGTGGGCCCCTCTGGTGGCACGGGGGTTAAAGACACAGTACTATCAAGCTATCACCAGCCACTGCCTCATGAGTTCAATTCCCGGCCAGGGAGCCAACCCACATGGTGCAGCAGACCCCTCCGGTCTCACCCACTGCTCCCCTCAGCAGTAGATTTCAGTTGATATGCCTGTTCTTCTTCCCACTGTTTCTGGTGAATCCTCTCACCCCTGCCCCCTGCAACTCTGGCCTACACCCCAGCTCTTGTAGGCATAAATAAATAAAAATAAATCTTTTTTTTTTTTTTTAAAGAAGCTCTCTAGAGGGCCTCCCTGGTGGCGCAGTGGATTGAGCACAGCACTATGAAGCTGTCCGCAGCCTCTGAAGTGCACATTTGATCCTTGCCCGCCAGGGAGATACCCACATGGCATGGCAGACCTCTCCTGTCTCACCTGCTGCTCCCCTCAGCAGTGTTTTCGTTCCATCTGCCTGTTCTGCTCCCTGCTCTGTCTCTGGTAAAGTCTCTCACCCTCTCGCATCTCTGGCCTATACCCCAGTTTTTGTGTAAATAAATAAATCTTTAAAAAAATAAAAAGAAGCTCTCTAAAACATTTCTGATACCATCTTGAAATTAAAAATACAGCAAAAGCAGAGGTCTTGGTTATTAGACTCACATAACCATACTAGAAATATAAATTTTAAAAAATGAGAAAATAAGCAAATTGGCTGTATATGTCAAAAACCTTAACAGTATTTCTGTTTTTACTTATCTATATTTTCCAATTAGCTATAATTTGTTTTTGTACAATATTCCCTACTGTCAAAAAGAAAAAAAGCACAGGTTTTTTTTTGGTGCCCTTTAATCTAATAATTATTTTTTTTTTAAGATTTATTTATTCATACAAGAACTGGGATACAGGCTAGAGGTGCTGGAGGGTGAGAGGATTCATCAGAGACTGGGGGGAAGCAGAACAGGCAGATCTACTGAAATACACTGCTGAGGGGAGCAGCGGGGGGAGACAGGAGAGGTCTGCCGTGCCATGTGGGTATCTCCCTGGCTGGCCGAGGATCAAACTGGAGCTGCAGAGGCTGCATTACGCTTCACAGCATTGCGCTCAACCCCCTGCGCCATCAGGGAGGACCTCATCTAGTAATTCTATTGGAAGTTAGAATTTTAATCTATGAAACTTAAAGGAATTATTACATAAAAGCAAAAACACTGTAAACAAATTAAGCACCAATTAATCGGTGGAAATTTAATGAAAGTTATGGTACACTCATTTAATATATTATGTAGGTATTAAAATTATAACACAGGAAAATACTAATGAATTAACCTTAAATGAAACAGAAAGCACAAAATTATATCCCTCAAGTGTTCACACTAAACTTTAACAATGCACACCAAACAAGACTTTAAAACTCAACAAAAGAATGAATAACCCAATTAAGAAATGGGAAAAGGACTGGAATAGACAATTCTCCAAAGAAGATATACAAATGGTCAATAAACACATGAAAATGTGTTTATTAGTGATACTATTAGTATTACTATTAGTAAACTAGTAGTAAACTATTAGTGATACTAATCAGTATCACTAATAGTTAGAGAATGCAAATTAAAATCACAATGAAATACCATCTCTTGCCCATTCGGATGGCTACTACCAAAAGGAAAAAAAAATGAAGACAGAACAGGATTGGTCAGGAGTTGAAGAAATTGGAATTTTGTACACTGCTGATGAGAATGTAAATGGTTCAGCATCTATGAAGAACAGTGAAGTGATTGTTTAGAAAATTAGAAACTTGTTTGCTATATGATTCAGCAATCCCCCCACCCCCTTGGATATATAAGCAAAGGAAGTGAAAACAACATCTTCAAGAGATACATTTATACTCATGTTCATATAAGTATTATCCACAATAGCCAAAAGATGGACTCAACATAACAGTACTGGTGGCGCAAGGGGTTAAGTCTCAGCACTATGAAGCTAGCAGCCACTGCAGCATGAGGTTCGATGCCCGGCCATGAAGCTGACCCACATGGCACAGCAGACCTTTCCTGTCTCACCCTCTGCGCCCCTCAGCAGTGTATTTCAGTAAATCTGCCTGTTCTGCTCCCCACTCTGTCTCTGGTAAATCCTCTCACCCCCACCCCCACATCTCTGGCCTGCACCCCAGTTCTTGTATACATAAATAAATCTTTAAAAAATATATGGGTATATAAACACGTAAATGGACAAGCAAAATGTGATACATGCAATGGAATATTATTCAGCCTTAAAAAGGCAGGAAATTCTGGATTATGCTACAACATAAACGAATCTTGAGGAAGATGCCAAATGAAACACATCATTTACAAAAAAAAATATGATTACATTTACATGAAAATAGTCAAAATCATTAGAGACAAAGAATGGCTGGCGGTAGGGCAGAATGAGTTGTTTAATGGGTATAGAGTTTCAATTTTACAAGATGAAAAGTTTGTGGAAAATGAATGGTGTTGATGATTGCACAACCACTGAATGCATTTTATACCACTGAACTGTACACTTAAAAATGGTTAAGATGGTAAATATAATGAGTACTTTATCATAATAAAAGGAGAAGAACTTATAACAAAATGCTCAAATATGAATCAAAATAATAGCTCCTTAAAGTCAGACAATAATAATAATAATAGAAAAATACCTTGCAGTTTTGTAGCAGTCGTATGAGATGTTCAAAACAATTACTATTAAGAAAAATGGCCTGAAGAACAGGCCTATCTGTACAATCTAGCATAGCTGTGATGGTATCTAGAAAAATAAAAACAAAACCAGCCATTTATAAAGTAGAAAATTAGAAATCACAGAAACATTTACTCTAAAACCATATTTTTATTTAGACATTTCAGCTTAAAGATGTAAAATAATTAGGAAATAATAGTGATGGGGAGCAGAAAACAAAGTTTGCACTTAACACTTGGAAAGAAAGTAGAAATTTTTATACTTTATTTTAAAAAATATTTAACTTTTTAAATTTAATAGTGAGATATATATTTAATAGTGAGATATATAAATATATATATATATATATATATATATATATATATATATATATATATATATATATATATATTCCCCCCCGCCCAGGGATTTACTTAGCTGTTCTTTTATTACAATGCTCAAGTATAATCAACTGTGGGTCACAGTTTATTAATAAGCAACATCTGGTTATGTTTGGCTACACAGTCTAATTTATGGCCATTATGAAAATGTGATACCTTGTCACAGATTAAAAACTACAAATGGCCCTTTCTGAAATTAAATTTTCAAAACCATAACTTAATTTAAACACTGATGCTGTTAGTGCATTATGTTTTCAAAAAGAAACATAAGGTTCAATTTTATTAACATTAAAGCAAAGATAATGCAGACAAAGAATTCCCCAGTAACTATTTCAATAGCTGAATTAAACCATCAATACTTTCTATATAATGGCCTTGTATTCCAAATGAAAGTGGGGAAATATAAAGTCACAAAAAAAAAAAAAAAACCACCTCAGAGAAAACGGAGTATAATAAACTTACTCAGCATTTTGATCTGCAGGGATATGAATCGGTTTTCCCACTGTCTGGACCTCCTTTGATTAGGTAAAGCTGAATGATCTGAATTCAGCAATTTAAAATAGTTTTCCAGAATAGTGCTGGTTTCCACTTGACGCTGGTCAGAGCTACTAGTGAGAAGGATATGTACTACTTCTGTAAGGCACTTCAGAGTAAGTTCTACCTTCCTTCCCACTTCTTTAGGATTTCCATCCTCCCAGGAGTCACAATCTGCCAAAACTCTCATAAGAACTTCCATGGTGGCTGGAGAAATAGCTTGCAAAGCATTCCTCTGAAATATGAAAGACAATAAAAATAAAATTCAAATCTAACTGAAATTCTACATGTCTGCAAAAAAAAAAAACAAGAATTAAATAAATTTGTGGGCAACTTTTTCTTTCAATAAATTAACATAAAATTTTTTATAAATATACTTTGACTGATACTGTTAGTATTTTACATCTGGTAAGTCTGCATTTCTTCACTATTGATAGATTCTGATCTTAATTCAGTAGCAATCTGCCCACATTGAAAACTCATCTTCTACCCTACCTAGCAGGGAGGAGATCCATGTGATATAATTCTGGTCAAGGATATATGGCAGTAGATAATGAAGGGAATATCATTTTACAAATAAAAAGGGAAGGACATTTGGTACTTGGCCCTTTCACCTGTTTTCCTCTATGGAATATAGATATGATGCTTGAAGCCAACTTGATATCATTAGGAAACAAGTATAACAATTAAACTTAGTAGGCTACCAAAAACAGAACAAGAATACCAAAGACCCTGAGCCCTTGGGGTATAATTGAGTTGTTTTACCAGCCCAAACTACCTACATGTATGCAAGAATTTTTTTAAAACCCTTAATTTGAATAATCCCTTTCAGGTTTTCTGTTGGTTTCCACAGATCCATGCCAAATGATATGATAAATATAAGAGGACTGGCTTGGCTCTGGTTCTACATATAAATCACTGAAATTTCATAATATGTAATGAGTAACACTTTGTGGTGATCCATTAGACTTGAAAATAAAAAATATATCCTAAGTTGTTAAATTAATATCTAGGGGGCGGAGAAACATGGCGGCGAGGAGACGCTGCGAGTAAGATCTCCCATTAAAAAAAGTTAATAGGGAGGAAAAGCGGCAGGTCCCAGTGAGAAGTGGGACACGAAAGATAAACGGGTGACTCCAGCAAACTACCTGAAGAAGAAAGTTGCCATAAAAGAGGACCAGAAGGGAGGAAAGCGCAGAACCCTGCTCCCCTCCCCCACCCACAGAGTCGGCACTCTCCGACCAGCAGAGAGGAGGAAAACAACAAACCAAAACGACCAACAAGAACAAACGACGCATCAAGCGGGACTGTGAGTGGAAAGGAACTATTGCAGCCACCACACCCTGTGAACGGGAGCTGTGGAGAACCCTGCAGGATTCGCCGCAGCAGTGAGCGAACGGCTCCGGGCGCCATTAGAGAAGAAAAAAGAGACTCTGGAGGAGACCTGCACACAGCCCCGGCCTGCCGGTAAGCTTGCGGGAGACGCGCACACAGCCCGGGCTGCCGGTAAGCTTGCGCGGAAAAGCGGCGCCCTTGGCACGCTTAAAAAGCAAACGCAGATCGGGATCGTGGCTGCCCAGGTCCCCGCGCCTGCGACCTAGGCTTGCTGGGAGACACGCGGAGGCCCTCCTCACTGAGGTGAAAGTCCCTCACTGAGTGAGCAGGAACCAGGCGCCCAGGCACGGGAGCAGGTGCAAAAGGCGCCATTCCCGCGCCACTGAACTGGGCTACAGCCCGCGTCCTGGAACTGAGGGCTTTGGAACTGAGACCCGGGGCACGAAATTCGGGGCGTGGGTTCTCCACGACGGTGGGGCACAAGGCAGACACAGCACCCCAAAGCCGTTGAGGTTTACCCTACCATTCTTGCTCTGCTCCCTGTCCCACGGGGGGGGGGGAGGGTCGAAAAACAGCCCCCCAAGGACAATAGGAGAGCTCTCTGGTGCCACCTAGCGACCAGAAAAAAAAAGTCACTAACACCCCATAGAACAGGGAAACTTAAGAAAAGACTTCTTGAAAAGGGCAGAAGGCTTCTGGAGGACCCAGTGGCCAGCTGGGAAGTTAGCCCACGCCAGGCCCCTTCCAACCAGCAGTCTGAGCCCACAGAGGGAGCAGGCACCCACGTCCGGGGCAGACCGGGTGCACAGAAGAGTGTGCCTGAGACCGGAGGCGCAGGGACTGCATCCCGCTTCGCCATTTTAGAACAGGGACATTTCTTCAGTAAAGACTGCCTAAAACCAGCAGAAAGCTCCCCCAGAAGCCAGAGATAGCTCCTGGAGGAGCCAGAGGGAAGCAGAGAAGTTCACCCAAGATGCCAGCCAGTCCGAGCAACACAGTGTCCCAATGCATACGACAAATTAGAAAACAGACAGTAGGGAGTAGAAGAACCACACGCAACCTAACAAATCCTCAGGAAAGAAGCACACCACAAAAAGAAAACCACTCCCCAGATTGCAACGACAGCAACTTGGAAGAACTGCTGAGCCTTCCAGAAAGAGAATTTAAAATTGCCATGATTAAAAAAGTGATAGAAGTCATAAAGGAAAACAATGATCAGAAGAAGGAAATTGAGTCCCTAAAGAGGGAAAACAATGGTCAGAAGAATGAAATTGAGTCCCTAAAGAGGGAAGTAAAAGAAATGCAGGAGATCAAAGAATTAATGGAGGAACTAAAGAACTCTGGGAAAAGCAATGAAAGCAGAATAGATGAAATGGAAGAACGAATAAGTACTCTTGAAGACACAGAAATAAAAAGAACCAAAACAGAAAAGGAAAGAGAAGTACGAAGGAAAAAGAATGAAGAAAGACTTCGGGAACTATCTGACTCCATGAGGAAAGGAAATATAAGAGTTATAGGAATTCCAGAAGGAGAGGAGAGAGATGTAGGAACAGAGAAAATATTCCAGGAGATAACTGAAGAGAACTTCCCAAATGCGAAGAAGGAGCTGAAAATTGATATATAAAGAAGCAAGAAGAACACCAAACTTCCACGACGAAAGGAAAAATACAGCAAGACACATAATAGTAAAGCTCCCAAGAATCCAGGACAAGGAAAAAATAATGAAGCGGACAAGAGGGAAGAAACAGATAACATTCAAAAGAAAACCAATCAGGCTGACATCAGACTTCTCTGAAGAAACACTACGGGCAAGGAGAGAGTGGAGGGACATAGTCAACAGACTCCAAGAAAACAGATGCCAACCAAGAATACTCTATCCCGCAAAGCTCTCCTTCCTCTATGAAGAAAGAATAAGGATCTTCCCAGACAAACAGAAACTCCGGAATTTCATTACGACTAAACCCCCACTCCAAAAAATACTACAAGCAATCCTAAAGCCAGAACCTCAGAGGGACGAATAACAACGAAAGATGACCAAAAAAAAAAAAAAAGAAAAGTTATTAAAAGAATAAATAAATAAAATCAAAGGAAAGACAAACACAATGGCAAATACAGATACTAACATATCAATATTAACTCTAAATGTAAATGGACTAAACTCTTCAATAAAAAGACACAGAGTTGCAGCCTGGATTAAGAAACAAAACCCAACCTTTTGCTGTCTCCAGGAAACACATTTAGCTACAAAAGATAAAAATAGGCTCAAAGTTAAAGGATGGAAAACATCCTACAAGCAAATGACCAAAAAAAACAAAGCAGGAACAGCTATACTTATATCAGATAAAACAGACTTCAAACTCAAAAAAATAAAAAGAGACCCCAATGGTCACTACATTATGATCAAGGGGACAATACTTCAAGAAGAAATAACACTCATTAACATATACTCACCAAACGAAGGAGCACCAAAATATATCAGACAACTGTTGTCCACTCTGTAAAACAGACATCAGAGAAAACACATACGTAGTGGGAGACTTCAACACACCACTATCAACAATGGATAGATCAACAAGACAAAAAATAAGTAAAGAAACTAAAGCTCTAAATAAGGACCTAGAGCATTTGGGCTTAACAGACATCTATAGAACACTAAACCCAAAAAAAACGGAGTACACAATTTTCTCAAGCGCACACGGATCATTCTCCAGGATCGATCACATACTGGGGCACAAGACAAACATCAACAGATACACCAAGATTGAAATCATACCAACCATCTTTTCTGACCACGAAGGCATCAAACTAGAAATAAACCATAAAAAGAAGGCAAGGAACTATCCTACCTCATGGAGATTAAAAGCCACACGACTGGAAGACCACTGGACTAACGAGGAGATAAAAGAAGAAATTAAAAAATTCTTTGAATTGAATGACAAGGAGGATACCAATATCCTAAATGTATGGGATGCAGCAAAAGCAGTAATAAGAGGAAAATATATAGCAATAGAAGCTCACATCAAAAAACAAGAAAGAACTCAAAGAAACAACCTAATCTCGAAGCTCAAAGATCTAGAAAAAGAACAACAAAAAAAACGCAAAACCAGTAGAAGAAAAGAAATAATAAAAACCAAAGCAGAAATAAATGAAATTGAAACTAAAAAAACAATCCAAAAGATCAATGAAACAAAGAGCTGGTTCTTTGAAAAATAAATACAATAGACAAACCCCTAGCCAGGCTCACAAAGGAAAAAAGGGAGAAAGCACAAATAAACAAGATCATAAATGAAAGAGGAGAAATCAAACAGACAAGCAGAAATCAAAAGAATAATCAGTAACTACTATGAACAGTTATATGGAAACAAGTTCAACAATCTAGAGGAGATGGACAAATTCCTACAACTCTACAATCACCCAAAGCTAGATAAAGAAGAAATAGAACACCTAAACAGACCAATTACAAGCAGCGAAATTGAAATGGTAATCAAAAACCTCCCCAAAAACAAAAGCCCAGGATCTGATGGATTTACAAATGAATTCTACCAAATATTCAGAGACGATTAGTGCCTATCCTTCACAAACTCTTCAAAATATTGAGAAGGAAGGGACAATACCAAACACGTTCTATGAAGCCAATATTACACTAATACCAAAACCGAATAAGGACAACACAAAAAAGGAAAACTACAGGCCAATCTCCCTAATGAACACTGATGCAAAAATCCTCAATAAAATTTTAGCTATCAGAATCCAACAATGTATCCATAAGATAATTCACCATGACCAAGTTGGATTCATTCCAGGAACACAAGGATGGTTTAACATCCGAAAATCAATCAACGTTATCCAACACATCAACAAAAGAAATATAAAAACCATATGATAATATCAATAGATGCTGAGAAAGCTTTCGACAAAGTGCAATGCCCATTCATGATAAAAGCCCTTGAAATTCTTGGGATACAAGGAACATACCTCAACATCATAAAGGCCATCTATGACAAGCCAACAGCCAGTATCATTCTCAATGGTGAAAAGCTGAAAGCAATTCCATTAAGATCTGGAACAAGACAAGGATGTCCACTCTCACTACTGCTTTTCAATATAATACCGGAAGTCCTAGCCAGAGCAATAAGACAAGAGAAAGACATACAAGGAATCCAAATAGGAAAAGAAGAAGTCAAACTATCACTATTTGCAGATGATAAGATAATATACATAGAGAACCCCAAAAACTCCACAGAAAAACTAATTCAACTCATCAATCAATTCAGTAAAGTGGCAGGATACAAAATCAACACACAAAAGTCAGTAGCCTTCCTATACACAAACAATAAATCTGAAGAAGAAGAAATAAAAAAACCATCCCTTTTATTATCGAAACAAAAAAATCAAATATTTGGGAATAAATCTAACAAAAGAGGTAAAGGACCTATACAAAGAAAACTATAAAACACTATTAAAAGAAATAGAAGAAGACACAAAGAAATGGAAAGACATCCCCTGCTCATGGATTGGAAGAATAAACATTATTAAAATGGCCATCCTACCAAAAGCAATATACAGATTCAATGCTATTCCAATCAAAATTTCAATGGCATTCTTCAAAGAAATAGAACAATTATTGATGAAATTCATATGGAATCACAAAAAACCCCGAATAGCCAAAGCTCTCCTGAAAAAAAGAGAAGGGAATGGAGGCATCACACTCCCAGACTTCAAACTCTACTACAAAGCCATAATCATCAAAACTGCATGGTATTGGAACAAGAACAGACATACAGACCAATGGAATCAAATAGAAAATCCAGAAATAAACCCACAGATTTATGGTCAACTAATCTTTGACAAAGGAGCAAAGACTATGCATTGGAGCAAAGAAAGTTTGTTCAATAAATGGTGCTGGGAAAACTGGGTCGCTACATGCAAAAGAATGAGCTTGACCACTACCTCACACCATACACAAAATCAACTCAAAATGGATTAAAGAACTAGACATAAGACCTGAAACCATAAAATACATAGAAGGAAATATAGGCGAAACACTACGTGATTTGCACATCAAAGACATCTTTACAGATACATCACCCAAAGCAGTGATAGTGAAGGCAAAGATAAACAGCTGGAACTAAATCAAATTAAAGAGCTTCTGCACAGCAAAAGAGACAACAACAACAAAGAGAAACCCCACCAACTGGGAGAAATTTTTTGCACCCAACACTAATGATAAAGGACTGATCACAAAAATCTGCAAAGAGCTGATGAGACTCAGCAACAACAAAGAAAATAATCCAGTCAAAAAATGGGCAGAAGAGCTAAAAAGAAACTTCTCTGAAGAGGACATGCAAATGGCCAACAGACATATGAAAAAATGTTCAACATCACTTGTAATCAGGGAAATGCAAATCAAAACTACCATGAGATACCATCTTACACCAGTGAGAATGGCACATATTAAAAAAACTAGCAACAACAAATGTTGCGAGGGTGTGGAGAAAAAGGAACTCTTCTGCACTGTTGGTGGGAGTGCAAACTGGTCCAACCACTATGGAGAGCTGTGTGGAGATTTCTGGACCTACTAAACATAGAGCTTCCATATGATCCAGCAATTCCACTCCTAGGTATTTACCTAAAGGACACGAAACATCAATTCCAAAGAACCCTGCACCCCTATGTTTATAGCAGCACTATTTACAATAGCTAAGCTTTGGAAACAGCCCAAATGCCCAAAAATAGATGAATGGATCAAGAAGATGTGGTACATATATACCATGGAATATTACTCAGCATTCAAAAAAGATAAACACATGCAATTTGCAGCAACATGGATGGCGCTGGAAGGGATCATGCACAGCGAAATAAGCCAGAAAGAAAAAGAAAAATACCGGATGGTCTCACTCATAGCAGGAATCTAGAAAACTTAAATAAGGGGCAGGAAAATGAATATAAGAAAGTGAAAATCAAAATCAACAAAAAATATGAACCAGAGACACTTTTTGGGGGGTGGGGGCCGGGAGGGGAGGGATTGGGGTCAGAATGGGGGGTTTGCAATTGTATGGGGAATATAAAAATAAAATTTATTATTTAAATAAAAAAAAATCTAAAAAAAATAAAATAAATTAATATCTAGTAAATAGAACAGAGTTCTACAAAATTATCTGAAATTAACAGCACTTAGTGCATTAGGATTTGGTATTTTCAATGTAGTAATATCAATAATAAGTGCTACTATAGAAGAAATTGATGATGGCCCACCAAAGATCCATTTTCTTCCATTTACTTATTAATAGAATGATGAGTTTTTCTGGACACAGCACCAAAAAATAAAGATTATGTTTCCTGACCTTTCCAGTTTCTAAGGAGGGTAAGAAGCAAGTTTTATTAATTTTTTTTATCAAGAAATATTTGTCTTCTACGCAGTTTTCAGGAGTTTGGCAAATTATACTTAAAAAACTAGGCCACTATGCCACTGTCTTCTTCTACATCATCCCTTCCATCTTTGTGCCCCAAATGAAGACATAAGGTCAGAATTATAGATGTTATCTTGTAGCAAAAGAAATAACCGTAAAAGGTGAACTTATAACTTAGGCTGTTATGTTAGTATTTACTTACTGCTACTTATCAGGAAGCTAAAAGCTCATATACCTGTGATTTACTCAGTTCTTATAAGCACAGGACTTCAAGTACTTTACATAATTTATCTATTATTTGGAAAGATCCCCAACACCCTATAGGTGTTGTTATTTCCCTATAATAAACAAAGATATGTATATAAATAGTTTATCCAAGTTCACACAGTAGCTAGAAATGGACATGAGATTCAAACCTATGTCAGCATGGCTTAAAGATCTTGCTCTTAACATAAACAAAAACAGAACAAATATCATGCCAATGTGAAGCCCAGGCACGATACTTTGGGAAAGGAAACTAGTCACTGGACTTTAGTTTTTTGCTGTTTATGACACACGACCATTCTTATGCCTCTTGAAATTCAATTCCTTTAAATACCCTTGACTAATTCTTTATTCAGCAAACAGTGTTCTTATTTCAATAAAGGTCTAACTATAGCCACGATCTGATTACAGTATCTTGAGTATTTTCAGTACCTAACATAATACATTGGCTTTTTAGAACTTACTTGATTTTCATGTGAATTTTAATTACAGGTCTCCCAGGGCTTGATTACCCCTAGGCACTAACAACAGTAAGTTTCCGTATGCTCAAAAAGGGAAGAGTCAAAATCGATGCCATTTCCAATTTTATTCATGCATAATCATTAATTCTTACTCTCAGTAGTAATAAAATGATCAAAATGGGAAGATAACTGAAACATAAGTATATTGGCTAATATAGGATCCTGACAAAGCCAACAAAATGGAAAGATTCTGAGCACTATTGCTCTCACTAAAAAGAGATTCTTACCTTCTACTAAGATGAAGAGAAGGTGGCAAGATAGTCCACTAAGAAACCCACATATTATTATTAATTATGTGTGATTTTTTTCATCAGTAGAAATCAGAGACATTTTCATGTATCACAATTGTTTCAGTGTCTTGAAATCGTTTATACTTATCTCTGCTTGGAAATTTCTTTAGTTACTAAATGTGCCACTGTATCTTTTCAATGTTTGTAAAGAAGCATGTATTACTATGCAGATTTGTTTCATTAATTTTTTTTAGCAACATCATAATTAGTATATTTAGTTTCCTTTGGATCGTAAGTATTTTATTTTAGGCACTGCCAACATACTAATAAAAGGTTTTGAACAAACTGCCAAAGAAGTGTATGATTCAAATAGGTTACAAATATCTGATCTAAATTGTATGGTTAAAGAAAAAAAGCAGAATATTCTTTCTGAACTACAGTCCTGTTTTCAACAAATAAGTTTACCATAGACAGCTATTTATGATGCTTGACTTAAAAACATTAGAATTTCTTTCTCGTAAAAAATTTTAAAAAAATAACTAGTGGGATTTGTTGGGGAAAATGCACATGTTAATGTATTTATGAATTATAAATAGATAAGTGACCAAATTTATGTCTTAAGAAATCAAACTGATAGAGTTTGATTCTATTCAGTAAACAAATAGGGATGACTATCCTCTTTGAAGCAAGAACTAGTAGCCAGAAGTCAACACCTTAAAGAACTTAAAATACCAAAATTTGCTAAATCTGGTTATTTATGCAGTAATTTTATTGTAGGTGCTAATATTATTATTTAGATTATTCAATAGTTGACAAATCAAGGAATAAGATTAACAAGATATAAACTGAAACAAAATTTGATGGTTCATAAAATTGAAAAAATACAAAGAATACATTAAATAATCCATGGAAAGCTTTCACACTTAACTATTGTTTTATATATTAACTTGAAACACTTTCCTCACCTGTCCACCAGCTACAATGGCTCCAAAGAGATGCAATAAGCAACACTTAAGACTTTCCTTGAGATGTTCACTTTCCTGAAAACATTCTGTGAATACACAATAAACAAATGAGTCATGCTTTCACAGTACAATTTATCTCTAAGGAAAGTCTGACAACAAAACACTAAGAATCAGTATTAGTATAAAGGCTAAAATATTCTAAAAGACAAGGTTAATATGCACGTTTTCATAGGAATGGAAAAGAGAATCTATTGGGCAGTATTTTTGATACTTTATGTGATTTAATTCTCATAATATTCCATATTGCTCCCATTTCTATATGGGCAAATGGAAGGTCACAATTCATTATCTTGCCTGAAGTCACACAGCTACTAAGTGACAGAAGTAAAAAATTAATCAAATCTGACAAAAATTTTCTTTTTACTACTACAGCTGCCTCTTTTTAGTATAATTAACTATAATTATTCAATTATAAAATTGAATAAGACAAAAAGATTTCCTGGGTCTACTCCTGGCAAATATTCTAAAGTTTTGGTCTTAGTAGTAATCTTTATTAACATTATAAAATATTTTATTATTTTTAAAAGATTATGCACATATTTGACAAAGAACAAATAAAGCAGCATGAAGGGGCAGATGAGAAAGCCTCCCTCTAACATATCCCTCAATCCACCATACTCCTTACAATTGGGAAAAAAAACCTATACTACTGCATCATGCATTTTTGTTTTTAATTTAATATATCCTGGGGCTTATTACATCTTAACATATACAACACCTTGTTCATTTTTATGCTAGAGAGTATACCATTATAATGATGAACCTTAATTTATTTACTAAGTTATCTACCTATACACTTTCATGCTTTTCCCCTTTCTTTTGATACTGCTAATAATCTAGTACTGAATATCCTTTTGTATACATTAGTAAACACAGATTATAGCCATAGATTATTTCAATCTTATATATAACGCACATTATCAAACAGAAACAGCTTAGAGGTAAAATGCTCTGATATTAATTTACAATTGAAAATTTGTCATTCTAGCTCTACTGGAATAACTGTCACTATACATGGCTTCATGCTATATGTAACTAGAAAACTGGACAAAATAGGTTCTAGAAATTTAGCTACAGAACTGATACACAAGAGAAGGAAAGCAAGTGAGTCCAAGAATCACTTCAGCTTCCTATTTAAAGACATTTTCTGAACAACTGCAGGGGGAGCACTAGAAGAACACAGCAATTTGCTGAATTAGAAGACGAATAAAGTTCCAGGAGGAACAGGCAGCTGGAATTTGTGAAACAGTACTGGAGTAGAGGAATCTGCATATGATGCATATTTATGCAGAAATATGCAGGAGTATAAGTATCAATCCTCACAAAGGACAGGCAAAACCTACTGAGAAGAATAACTGTAATATTTCACACAGAGCTGGAAGATTGAGTTCTATTTAGCCACATGGGACACATAGAAAACAAATATAAAGGATGTGAAAAGATACAGCATATAAACTCTATTTATTTATAAGATTGCTATGTTAGTATTTAGCAAACCAAGGAAGGAATAATATCAAGAGAAAACAAGGATTACCATATGTAGAAAGGACACTTCATTATCAAATTCAAGCTATGAAAATCAGACTATGAGCAAAAGTTTATACTTTCAAGTACTTAGACTAAATATTTTTGGATAAATGAACAAAATATGTGCAAATTTATATGCTAAGAACTAAAAAAAACTGATTGAAGAAATAACCCATAAACAGGGTCTCCCTGGTAGCCCAGGGTTAAGTCTCAGTGTTATCATCTCTATGGCCTGAATTCAATCCCTGGACAGGGAGCTAAACCACATATGGCCCAGCAGACCTCTCTGGTCTCGTCTACTGCTCCCCTTAGCAATGTATTTCAGTAAATGTGCTGTTCTGCTCCCCATCCTGTCTCTGGTGCATCCTCTCTCTCCCCACTCTCCTGGCCTACAGCCTAGTTTTTCTAAACAAAAATTAAAAAAAGAAAAGAGAAATAGTACTATGAATGCATTAAAAATAATTATTAAAAAAAAAACAATGAAGCATTCAAAAAAGATAAACACATGCAATTTGCAGCAACATGGATGGCGCTGGAAGGGATCATGCTCAGCGAAATAAGCCAAAAAGAAAAAGAAAAATACCAGATGGTCTCACTCATAGCAGGAATCTAGAAAACTTAAATAAGGGACCAGGAAAATGAATAACTATAAGAAAGTGAAAATCAAAATCAACAAAAAACTATGAACCAGAGACACTTTTAGGGGGGCAGGGGCGGGAGGGGAGGGATTGGGGTCAGAATGGGGGCGCTGCAATCGTATGGGGAATATAACAATAAAATTTATTATCTAATAAAAAAAAAAATGATAAATCAACTTCAAGAATTTAAAATCTTAATATTCTTTTTGTAGTTATTTAATGGACTCAAAAATGTATATAGTAATGCAAAAGATTCAGAATAATCCAAACAATCTGGAAAAAAACATTAGCAGGCTTAATATTTTAAGATTTAGTATAAAGTCACAATACAGTGTGATAATAGCATTAAAGGCAGACAAGTGGAACAAAAAAGGTAATCTGGAAATCAACCCACACAGTAAGGTGAAATGATTTTTGACAAAGGTGCCAACTAATTCAATGGAGGAAAAAAAGCATCTTCAAAATTTGTTGCTGGAATGGTAATGAAAAAAACTTGCTAGACAGAAAATATTAAATCAAAACACAGGAATTCACCTAAATGCAAAGCTAGTGGAAGAAACCATGAAAAATTTCATGACTTTGAGGTAAGCATAATTTCTCTGATAAGGCACAAAAACACAGATCATGAATGAAAAAAATGCATTTCCCTTATCAGGAAAATACAATGTCTTTTATGGGGTACTATGCTTGTAAGCCAAGGTGGCTTGTACATCTACCAATTTGGTCTTATACCCAACTTGGAGAACCCCAAAATAGCCCTTGTAACATTGTGAGAAATTCTGACCAACACTGTTCTAGTGCAATGCTGAGTTTTCTTCCCTATATCTTAAGTGAGGCCAGTTTCAGACATAGCCTGCTGCGGACAGGTGTTGTTTGATTATCTAGTTGAAGTTAATATTGTTACTGGTTGTCAAGCAAAATGATCACTGCAATTATCCTCACAAAGCAATCAAACAAAGGACATTTCAGTCCTGTTTTGTTTCTTTGGGGAAAAAAGAATGGAGAGAAATATGGAAAAATGACAAAATGTTGCGATCTGACAAATTTGGCAGAAAAACACGTCCCTTTTATATTCTACAAGATTTTCATTATACTTGAAATATGGTACAATCTTTTTTTCAAGAAAGAAAATGAAAGTACATATACAGATTGTATATACAGTGGGCCAACCCTTAAGTTTATTTTCAATAAAAATTTTGAAGTTCTTGAATACACTGCTGTCATTAAAATATTCACTTCTTCTCAAAAATAAAACACTTAGAAAAGAGTGTTTCTATTAAATAAGACCAGGAAAAATAATCTCAGCAAAATGTGAATCAAGCATTCCAAGGGCCTCCCCTGGTGGTGTAGTGGTTGGGAGCTGGGTTGCGAAGCTGCCTGCAGCCTCTGCAGCTCCGGTTCCATCCCCGGCAGCTGGCGAGGGTCCCACATGACACACAGATCTCTCCTGCCGTGCCCACTGCTCCCCTCAGCAGTGTATTTGGTCAGTCTGCCTGTTCTGCTCCCCGCTCTGGCTCTGGTGAATTCTCTTACCCTCCCACGCTTCTGACCGTGCCCAGTGCTTGTAAAAATAAATAAATCTTAAAAAAAAAAAAAAAAAAGATTTAAAAAAAAAAGTATTCCAATGACATATTCTTGGAATCTTTACCTGATAAATACACAGAGCTGAATAAAGATCAGAACTAGAATCAGAATAAAGAATCAGAATAACATCAAAGTCAAAGTCAACAAAAGAGAAATTAGAGCTATTACTTACGATAGAAGAAAGGGACAAATTCCACTGTGAGAGAAGCTGGTTTATATTTCTGTCTACTTCTTTCCACAGTACTAAGGATTCGTCTGTCATTAAAAAGAAGTTGGTAATAAATTATAACATGGAGTATTTGCCACAATTACAAAAGCAATTATAAAAGTAATACTTAACTTTTAATTTATGTATTGAATAATACATCTCTGGGATTGGCCTAATTTTGAAAAGGAAGTCTAGTCAATAATTTAAATGCTCCTCAATGGAACAACCTCTATTGAAATAAGCAAAAAAAATTTAAATTGTTTAGTGTGAAACACAGAACCAGGTTAAGGCTCAAAAAACAACTGGTGATTGAAAAAGGAAACAGTCATTAGAAATTAAGAATTTTCAATCTGTGAAAGAACTTGTTCAGCAGCACTACAAATTTGACAGCTAAGTGCAAGTGAAATTCATCAGACATCATGTTGTTAAAAACAAAACAGACCCAAAAATGGGATTTATCATAAATCCCACATCACCAAACCAAGAGTTAATTATAATTTCAGTCTCTCCCAAAAATACACTCCTAAACCAGTCAATCAGGAATTACCTGGTCAGCACTGGTAAGGTAATCTTCCCTGACCCTTAAAGAAAAGTGACCTTGCCTCAACCAACCTACCCTTTACTAGTGTAATTTCCTGTTCCTGCTCCCTTTTGGTGATATATCTTGTATATCTCCTTGTAGCTCCTTTCTTTCTGCTAGATGGTGTTGACCAATTCAGAAATTATTGAATAAGGCAAATAATATCTTTAAAATATACTCAGTTGAATTTTGTTTTATAGCAAAGGCAAATTTATTTTCTGAACATGGCATTGAAATCTAATTCTTTACTCCTAACATAGTTCTCTATCTCAGAGATGGAGATATAGATCTTATACACATCTTAGCAATTGCTTTCATAAGATTAATTTACTTTTAAAAAAATGCATTCTTAATAAAATTCAGATTTTAAATAACCACTATGATTTATAAGACATACCCTGAAATTCTATGCCTCCAATTCCGATAAGGATCATACAAACTTTCACAAAATGCCAATGCATGGATCACAAATTCTTCAATAGATGTCTGATCTGCCAATTCCTTCTCTTTTTTTTTGCTTTTTAACTGAAAATAGAGTTAAATGTAAGATTATATTTAGTTAGAAATATGAAATTGTATATAATATTCTTACCCATATCATTAAAAAACTACATTTTATTCATCACATAGTAACAAATAATTTTTATTCAAATAAGCCTACATTTCATTTGAGTTAGAGAGTCAGTTAATCATATGGACTGGCTACAACCCCTCAAATTTTAAATATTTCCTAGGAAAGGCTTCAAATGGATAACCAAACATCTTTCCAACAAATATTTTTATTAAGAGGGCTAGTAAATGAACAAATAACACATAAAATAACAAAGTGTGTCATTTTAAATCATAAAGTACTTTAATTAAAATAGCAAAATTTAAAAAGTAAAACAACAACAGATAATATGCATGAGATTTTTGGATAATATGCATGAGATTCTTGAAATAGGTAATTTGAAATCTCATCCCAATTTTAACTTCCTCTGAAAATATTTAACTTTACTAACCATAGTATTAGAAAAAGTAAAACCTAGTTACTCTCAGCAAAGCAACAAAAGGGATGTATCAATTCACACCTACTTGTTGTATATAGAGTGTAGTCATAGTGATGACATGATTAATGTATGAGCAAGTCCCAATTTCTTCCACATTAGACAGATTTCTGTGTAAAACACAATGTTCATATATTTGTTATATTTGAATATTGAGAAAAATGCATGTTTAAGTGTACAGGGTGAATTCTGAAAACACATTGGTAAAAAAAATACAAATGATATTAAAACAAAGTCAGTATTTCCAACCAAGAATGTAAAACACACTTCCAGCACCATTTAACTACTATAACAATGTTTTATATTTACTAATTGGAGAAAAATTTAAAAATACCATAGTAGAAACTAAAAGAAAAAAAATCACAAGCATCCTCAAAACCCAAACATCAACAAACTATATACATTACGAATGATTACTTTGCAGGTTTGTTTTTATTTTCCTAAGCACTTTTGATATTTCCTATTTCCTTAGTTTGCTTTTTTGTTTACATTACTGCCATTGTAACACATGTGCTTTTACTATTTTCACTTTGCTTTCTAAAATTATACTTACCTGTTTAGACTTTTTTTTTTTTTTTAAAACAGTGATAAGTTTTTTTTTTTAAGGTTTATTTATTTATTTATACAAGCACTGGGTACAGTCAGAAGCACGGGAGGGTGAGAGAATTCACCAGAGCCAGAGCAAGGAGCAGAGCAGGCAGACTGAAGTACACTGCTGAGGGGAGCAGCGGGCGGCAGGAGAGGTCTGCACACCATGTGGGACCCTCCTCCGGTGGCCGGGGAGCAGCCAGGGATGGAACTGGCGCTGCAGAGGCTGCGGGCAGCTTGCTGCAGGCAGCTTCGCAACCCAGAGCTCAACCGCTGCGCCACCGGGGAGGCCCTTACCTGTTTAGACTTATATCTCCTCAAGTACATTAAAAGCCTTGATAGAAGGGCCAACATCTGTACATACTCCAAGGGGGCATATTATATGTCCTGCTTAAAGCTGTGGGTCAGTAAGCTCTTGATGTTCAATTAAAATATGAACTTCAATTTCAATTTTACACTTACAAGACTGAAATAAAATGCTATGATTTCCTACATCTAACATCACCAGTCTTGTTCTTGGCATGTTCTGAGACACTGTGACCTTGAAAAATATTTCACAAATCAATATTCAGTATATGCTAAAACTACAGAAAAAATTAACTGAATTTAACAGACATCTTAACATATGAAGTCCAGCAGGCATGACATATTTAAGAAAACAAAGAATAAAGAAGAAGTAAAATTTTGTAAGAAATTTAGAGCACTAATTTGTAAGGATAAATTCCATTTGTGGGAGAAAACACAGAGCATAGGTAACTCTGATGCTGAGTTTTGATTTTTAGCAGAATTTGTGAGTCCTCAGCAGAATTTGTGAGCAACCTTGCACTGTGCTGTTATCTAATATTACTCCTTCTCCGTGTTAAAGATCACACCTTCCTTTGCTCATGCAACTTCTTGAAATAAACATCTGTGAGATGTTTTAGGAGTTTTCAGAACATCAATATCAACTGCTGGAGATGGAAATAACAAATTTCTGGTTTAGCCTATGTAGAATAACCTGAGTGGGGGAAAGGTCCAGTCACAAGTAGCAAATCACTATTCAGATGGATCAGGAAAATCACCCTCTTTCCTCTGTGGCATCCAGTGAAAATGATCAGACTGGTCCCAGAAATGATGCTAGCTTAGATTTTCACATATGCTGAGTAAGTGATTTGTTGCTGTGGCTCAATAGCTTTCAAGGTATATCGTTAGTAGGGTGGTCTCTAGGCATTTCGTGAAATTTAACCACTTGGGGTTCTTCATTTTCTGCTACCTTAAGTTGTACAACCAGGCTGTTGATTAGAGATTTTTCATTAATGTAAATTTATACCTATAAATTTTCTCTTTAGCACTACTTTTGCAGTCTCCAATAAATTTCGGTAAAACTTAAGTTGGGTGTTTAAAAATGTCTTGATCAGCTTGCATAATTTTCTTGTTTTGCTTTTGTTATTGATTTCAGATACCAACTTGATGAATCAATCAGGCTCAAAGTCCTCAGAGCAAAAGGACTTATTACAGACCTAATAACGGAAACAAAACAGACATGACTAGCATGCACTATCAAGTCACAAAAAGGCACATGGGAGCCTTAAACACGTATTGTTAAGTGAAAGATTCCAGCCTGATAGTAGACACTGAATGATTTTTTAAAAATACTTATTTTATAGAAGAACTGGGTGTAGGCCAAAGCTGCGGGGGGTGAGAGGACTCATCAGAAACACAGTGGGGAGAAGAACAGGCAGATTTACTGAAATACACTTCTAAGGGGAGCAGCAGGAGAGACAGGCACTGTCTGCTGCACCATATGTGGGTTAGCTCCCTAACCAGAGTACAAACTCAGGTTGTAGCAGTATATAATGCTGAGACTTAACTCCTAGGCTACTAGGAAGGCCCCTACATGGTATGTTTTTAAAAAGATGGTCTGAACACCCCACTGATTGGGAAAAAATTTTTGCACTCCATACAACTGATAAGGGACTGATCACAAAGACATACAAACAACTCACATGACTCAACAAAAACAAAGTAAACAATTCAGTCAAGAAATGGGCAGAAAAACTTAAAAGACATTTCTCCAAAGAGGAAATGCAAATGGCCACAGGCATATGAAAAAATATTCAACATTCCTTATAATCAGGGAAATGCAAATTGAAACCACATTGAGACACCACCTTACACCAGTAAGAATGACACATATCAAAAAAGCAAGCAACAGCAAATGTTGGCAAGGATGTGGTGAAAAAGGAACTCTCCTCACTGCTGGTGGGAGTGCAAACTGTCCAACCACTGTGGAAAGCTGTCTGGAGGTTCCGTAGTCTTCTAAAAATGGAGCTACCATATGACCCAGCAATTCCACTCCTAGGATCTGCCCAAAGGACACAAAACATTGACTCAAAAGAACACCTGCTCACCTATGTTTATTGCAGCACTATTTATAATAGGTATAACCTGGAAACAACCCAAATGCCCAAAAATAGATGACTAGATCAGGAAGATGTGGCATATATACACAATGGAATATTATTCAGCAATCAAAAAAGTCAAAATCATGCCATTCGCAGCAACATGGATGGAACTAGAAGGAATTATGCTCAGTGAAATAAGCCAGAAGGAAAAAGAAAACTATTGGATGGTTTCACTTATAGCAGGTCTATAGGGGAACCAAACAAGACATCAGTGTAAAATAATAACAACAGTACAAAACACAACGCAGCAAAAACAGACAATTATAAATCAGAGACATACTGCAGGGGAGGAGGAGAGAGAGCGATGGGGGGAGGGAGGAGCACAGGGGACTGAGGTGATGGTGCACGGGTGCACTGGTGAAGGAAACTCTATGGGGACTACACCTGAGGGGGTGGGAGGAAACAAATATTGTTTAAAAATGAACAATGATGTAAAAAATAAAAAAAAATTAAAAAAATCTTATAGGCAATAGACCTTTACTTCAGAGGAATGCTTTTATATATGCAAAGTTACAAGTAGTGAATGTACCTTGAATTCAATGAATAAAATGGCCAAAAGTCTGTGTTAAAAAAATAAAAAAGTTGTCCTAACAAGTGCCTTCTGATTTTCTACCCATGTAAAATTTATTTACTTAACCTTCAAGTACTTCTAAGTGACTTGGGCCTTTCTAAAGGAGATTTTTGTATCTTCAGGCCCCTCCCAAACATGAACTAATAATAAAGTTCAGGGAAACCTCAAAAAAAAAAAATAAAAGATGGTCTGGAAAACACAAAACTATAGCCACCAAAAAAAAAAAAAAAAAAAAAAAATCAGTAGTTACCAGAGGTTAGGGCATGAGGTAGGGGTAATAAATGGAGCACAGGGCATTTTAGAATGTAAGATTAATCTGTAGGATACTATAATAGTGGATATATGTATGTGCTTACAGATGAGGACCATACAGAAAATACTGGTACAATATTTCTTGCTTAGGTAAAAAACTCCTGTCATTATATTTAATATAATAACAAACCAGGGGCCTCCCTGGTGGCATAAGGGGTTAAGCAATGTGTTGTGAAGCTACCCGCAGCACAAGTTCGATCCCTGGCTGGCCAGGGAGCTACCCACATGGTGCAGCAGACCTCTCCTGTCTTGCCCACTGCTCCCCTCAACAGTATATTTCAGTCAGTCTGCCTGTTCTGCTCCCCACTCTGTCTCTGGTGAATCCTCTCACCCTGCCCCTCACCTATGGCCTATACCCCAGTTCTTATATGCATAAATAAATCATTTAAAAAAATAACAATAACAAACCACAAGTCTACTGCAAAAAAGTGTACTCATTCTTTAAAGCTCTGTATAAACAATGAACACAATTAATAATCAATATATGCCTTATTATTTAAAACAGGCAACTAGTTTGTTTATAACACATACCTGCAAAGAATAATGAAGAACTTGACAAGTAAAACTGACAAGGCTTGTTGTTGTTCCTCTAACCCATCTGCCATTTTCTGAACACACTGCAGCAGCTGGATCCTAAGAACCTGCAGAATATTATCAGGAAGCAAAGATATTCCTGGAGGTACATCATCTACCCTAAAATATAAGGAGAAAAAAAATATGGTGGGTTAAAATACAGGAAAAAAATCTTTGGCATTTTAAAATGAAGTGCATTTTCAGCTCAAATCCTAAATTTCTTTTCTGTGCCTCCTTTTCTGTAAGGCACCACCAAATGACTGGTGACACTTTAGATGATTATAACAGCAGAGTGGTCATGCTTACATCAGAGGAGGCTTATTGAAAAAAGAGAGGCTATTTAATATCTTCAATTTTGCTATTTATAAAAACAAAATATTTAAAATATAAATTAGGGCCTCCCTGGTGGCACAAGGGGTTAAGCACAGCACTGTGAAGCTATCCACAGCCTCTGCAGCATGTGTTCGATCCCCCTGCTGGCCAGGGAGTTACCCACATGGCGTGGGGTGTAGACCAGAGGTGCAGGGCATGAGAGGATTCACCAGAGACAGAGTGGGGAGCAGAACAGGTAGATTAACAGAAATACACTCCTGAGGTGAGCAGCGGATGAGACAGGAAAGATCTGCTGCTCCATGTGGCTAGCTCCTGGCCAGGATGGATAGTGGCTTCTGATAGCTTGATAGCGTGATAGCACTGAGACTTAAACTCCTCTCCTCCACCAGGTAGGCCCCAAAACCAGCTTACTTTATTTTTTTTTTTTAAAGATTTATTTATTTATGCATACAAGAGCTGGGGTATAGGCCAGAGAAGCAGGGGGTAAGAGGATTCACCAGAGACAGAATGGGGAACAGAACAGGCAGATCTACTGAAATACACTGATGAGAGGAGCAGCGGGAGAGTCAGGAGAGGTATGCTGCATCATGTGGGTTGCTCCCTGGCAGGCCAACGATCGAACTCCTGCTGCTGGAGACTATGGATTACTTCATAGTGCCGTGTTTAACCCCTTGTACCACCAGGGAGGCCCAAAACCAGCTTACTTTATTTTTTTTTTTTTTTTTTAAATTTTTATTTTTTTTATTTATAGAGGCATGTTTTATTTATTTATTTGTTTGTTTGTTTGTTTGTTTTGTTTATACATGCACTGGGTACAGTCAGAAGCGCGGGAGGGTGAGAGAATTCACCAGAGCCAGAGCGGGGAGCAGAGCAGGCAGAAGGACCGAAGTACACTGCTGAGGGGAGCAGCGGGCGGCAGGAGAGGTCTGCGCACCATGTGGGACCCTCCTCCGGTGGCCGGGGAGCAGCCGGGGATCGAACCGGCGCCGCAGAGGCCGCAGGCAGCTTCGCAACCCAGCGCTCAACCGCTGCACCACCGGGGAGGCCCAAAACCAGCTTACTTTAAATTGAGGATTATTTGTGAGTTTCTTATCCTTTAGATGACTAGTTTTATTTATCTTGCATATAGTGTTTCAAAAATTCAAAATTTTCTACTAGTAAAATCTAAATTCACGGTTCACTTTTCTGACAAATATGTAAAACAATTTTGTCCCCTCAGCAGTGTACTTCAGTCTTTCTGCCTGCTCTGCTCCCCGCTCTGGCTCTGGTGAATTCTCTCACCCTCCCGCGCTTCTGACTGTACCCAGTGCTTGTATAAATAAATAAACAAATAAATCTTTAAAAAAAAAAAAAAAAGGTCCTGCTTCCACAATTTTCTCAGCTACTATCCTAGGTATATCCCTTATAATAAAAGCATAATAGTAAATATAATGCTTTCAGTGAGTTATGTGAGTCATTCCAACAAATTATTGAACTGGGGCAAGTTATGAGAACCTCCAAATAATAATCAGTTGGTCAGTGTGGGTGACTCCAAAGACTTGAACTGGTATCTGAAGTGAAAGTAGTCTTGCAGAAAACTGTGCCCTTAAGTTGTGGATCTGGATCTAGCTATGGGCACTTAGTGTCAGACTGAAGCAGCTGAAGCAAACTACAAAATTACTAGCTGCCGGTGGCTCCTCATAGCAAAGAAGGGAATTCTGCCCCCCCATAAGGTTTGGTTTTTTTTTTTAATATTTATCATTTTTTACCTTTTTTTAGACACTATTTGCTTCCCCCCACCCCCTCAGATTGAGTCCCCATAGAATTCCCTTCCCCAAGGCACCCATTCACCATCATCACAGTCCCCTGTGCTCCTCCCTCCCTCCCTCTCATCCTTCTCCCTCCTCTTCCCCTGCAGGATGTCTCTGGTTTATAATTGTCTGTCGCTTTGTTGTGTTTTGTGTTATTATTATTAGTTTCTTTTACACTGATGTCTTATTTGGTTCCCCTATATTCCTGTTATAAGTGAAACCATCGATATTTTTCTTTTTCCTTCTGGCTTATTTCACTGAGCATAATTCCTGTAAAGAAGGGAATTTTGGAAGCCATCTGCAGCATCAGTAGAAAAGACTATTGTGACTAATTACCAATGTCTGCCATGAGAACAGTTATGCATGTATCACATAATGGCCATTGTTAATGATATTAATGAGGTCTTTGTGCCAAAAATTTACAAACTCACCCAAGAATAGTATTACTACATACCTGGTAGGCAGTTTTTCAAAGTCAACATCTAAGAATTGTTCATAGCTAGAAACAAAATTGTCCAACCATAGCTTCAGGTAATCTGGATCTTTCTGAAATAAAAAAAAAAACATATAATATTAAGTATACCTATCAGGAAATATAAAGAAATAAGAAGTGAGAAATCTAAAGAATAATATTAAATGTCCCAGTAATGTATACAATATATACATAATATATTATATATATAACATATACATATACACAAAGTGCTGTTTTAAAATGCGCAACAAGGGTAATGAATCCTCAAATGGCTTCACATGATGCACACAAAGAGCTACCATCTTTACAATGTCCTAAACAATTTTCAATGATTCTGAACAAATTTCCCTCCCCTATCTCTGTGATCGAACCCGGTATTAACTTGTAAAACTTTAAAGACATCCTGGCTATTACTGCAACATGTCAGACATAATCCCAACTTAACTCCTTTGTGGTGGCTGTTTCCTCTCTAAGAACACTCTTCCCTTCCCGGTATTTGAATGGATAATTCCCTCATATTCAAGTTATACTTTAAATAACATTCTCTCAATCACTTTTATCACTATTTCTTAAAATTGTAAACTTTCTGGGCCTCCCCTGGAGCGCAGTGGTTGAGTGCTGGGCTGCGAAGCTGCCCACAGCCTCTGCAGTGCTGGTTTGATTCCCGGCCGCCAGCGAGGGTCCCACATGGCATGCAGACCTCCCCTGCCGTGCCCGCTGCTCCCCTCAACAGTGTATTTCGTCAGTCTGCCTGTTCTGTTCCCCGCTCTGGCTCTGGTGAATCCTCTCACCCTCCCGCACTTCTGACTGTACCCAGTGCTTGTATAAATAAATAAATATTTAAAAAAAAAATTGTAAACCTTCTTACTAACCTTTATTTTACCATATTATTTCCCCATCAGATGGTGCTTTCTCACATTCTAACATACCATTTACTTCTTTTTTTAAAAAAATATTTATTTAAGCATTGGGTACAGTCAGAAGCGTGGGAGGGTGAGAGAATTCACCAGAGCCAGAGCGGGTGGGGGAGGGGGGGACAGAGCAGGCAGAAGGACCGAAGTACACTGCTGAGGGGAGCAGTGGGTGGCAGGAGAGGTCTGTGCCCCATGTGGGAACCTCCGCCGGTGGCCAGGGAGTAGCCGGGGATCGAACCGGCGCTGCAGAGGCTGTGGGCAGCTTCGCAACCCAGTGCTCAACCACTGCGCCACTGGGGAGGCCCCCACTTACTTCTTTATTAATTTATTGCTTGTCATTTCCCCTAGAATATAGCTTTCACAAGTATAGGGCCTATGCACAGGTCTAACATCAGTGACTTCTTTTGTTTAGCGTTAGATGCCAAGAGCCTAAAAGAGTGCCTGGCACTCATCAGGTACTTAATAGACAGGTGTACAATAAACGGAAAATAGAAAACATGTGTGAAATTAAATTGGAAATAGACTATTAACCTAAACATAAAAATTCAAACCAAAATCTACTAAAGCAATATACGGAATAATTTTGCTATCTTAGAAAAAAAAAAAGATTTCTTAGTTAAGACACACAAAAAATCACAAAACTAGAAATCAAATACTGTACAAAAATGAACAATGACATAAGAAAATTAAAGTTTAATAAAAATATAAATAAAATAAATTACAAAAAAATTACAAACAAAAAGATAGTTTATAATCATTCTTCATCAAAATTAAAAACTTCTGATCATCAAAAGATGATATTTTAAAAATAAAAATACAACTTATATATCAGCAGAAAATATTCCCGATACAGGGTTTCCCTGTAGTGCAAGGCATTAGGTCTCAGTACTATGAAGCTATCAGCAGCCACTGCAGCACGAGTTCAATCCCAGGCCAGGTTGCTGATGCACATGATGCAGCAGACCTTTCCTGTCTCTTCAATAAATGGTTCTGAGAAAACCGAATAGCCACATGCAAAAGTGAGAAATTAGACCACTAGCTCATACCATACATAAAAAAATTAACTCAAATGGATTAAAGACTTGGACTTAAGATCTGAAACCATAAAATACATAGAAGAAAACATAGGCAAAACTCTCCATAACATAGGTCTCAATGATGCTGTTATGGATTCATCTCCAACGAAAAGGAAAAAAAAAGAGAGAATTATTAGCAAATGGTTACTAGATCAAACTACAAAGCCTTTGTACAGTAAAAGAAACTATCGGTAAAATAAAAAGACATACTACTGAATGAGAGAAAATATTTGCACACTATATATCTGACAAGGAGCTGACAGCCAGTACCTACAAAGAACTTACACAATCGGGCCTCCCCGGTGGCGCAGCGGTTGAGCGCTGGGTTGCAAAGCTGCCCGCAGCCTCTGCAGCGCCGGTTCGATCCCCGGCTGCTCCCCGGCCACTGGAGGAGGATCCCACATGGCGCGCAGACCCCTCCTGCCGCCCGCTGCTCCCCTCAGCAGTGTACCTCAGTCTTTCTGCCTGCTCTGCTCCCCACTCTGGCTCTGGTGAATTCTCTCACCCTCCCGCGCTTCTGACTGTACCCAGTGCTTGTATAAATAAATAAATAAATCTTAAAAAAAAAAAAAAGAACTTACACAATCACCAAAAGGAAAACAAATACCCAATCAAAAAATGGGCAGGACAGTTAAAGAGGCACCTCTCCAAAGAAGACATACAGATGGCCAACAAGCACATGAAAAAATGCTCATCATCACTTATCATCAGGGAAATGCAAGTCAAAACCAACTCACACACTGTGAGAAGGGCCCAGATCAAAAAGACCAGAAACAAGTTTTGGTGAGCACATGGAGAAAAAGGAACACTCTTACACTGTTGGTGGGAATGGAGACTACCCATCCCCCTATGGAAAACAGTATGGAGATTTCTTAAAATATTAAAAATGTATCCACCATGTGATCCAGCAATTCTACTTCTATTCTATCTAAACAGAGAATACAAACACTAATTTGAAGGGAAACACACATTCAGATGCTCACTACAGCACTATTTATAATAGCCAACTTATGGAAAATCTACATGCCAAAAGATGCATAGATTAGGAACACGTGGCAAACATACACAATGGTATTATGTTCAAGTATAAAATAAGATAAACGCTTGCCAGTCACAGCAAAATGTATGGAGCTAGAGATCATGCTAAGTGAAATAAGCCTGAAGGATAAAGACAAATACTGGTCAGTAGGTCAGGAAAAACAACACCAGTAACAAAACCTAAAAAATTGATGATAAAAATTAGTCAAACAAAATCAGAAAGGAAAGAGGAGGTAGAGCAGAGTGGGGTAGGGGCAAAATGGAATATGGTAGAGGTCTAAGGGTGCCTTGGTGGTGTATTTTGGTAACATACACTTGAAAAATGTGATCTATACCTTTAAATCATACATAGTACTGTAAACCAGTTTCTTGAATAAAAGTAAAATTAAAAATACTGATACCTCAGAATATTTTTGATTATATACAGTGTCATTTTGATGCTCAAGTTTCCTTAGTCTGCCTCCTTACCATTTCTTTTTTTTCTTTAAGATTTATTTATTTATGCATACAAGAAATGGGGTACAAGCCAGAGGTACAGGAGGTGAGAAAATTCACCAGAGACAGTGGGGAGTAGACAGGCAGATCTACTGAAATACACTGCTGAGAGGAGCAGCTGGCAAGACAGGAGAGGTCTGCTGCGCCATGTGAGTCACCTCCCTGGCCAGGGATAGAAATGGTACTGCAGTAGCTGTGGACCACTTCAGTGCTGCTGCTTAATCCCTTGTGCCACCAGGGAAATAAGTGAAATAAGCTAAGTGAAATAAGCCTGAAGGATAAAGACAAATACTGGTCAGTAGGTCCCTTGGGCCTCCCGCACATCTGGCCTGTACCTCGGTTCTTGTATGCAGGAATAAATAAATCTTAAAAAAAAAAAAAAAAAAAGAAAAAAAACCTAAGACGATATTTGGTTTTATAAATAAATAAATACATAAGTAAATAAATACTTGGTTAGGAAGTGTTCCTGGACAAAAGCAACTCAAGTATTTCCCTAAAATAAAAGTAAGTACTGCACTACAAATCAGAACTCCTTAAAGAACGTTCCCAGAATATGCAGAGTCTGCTGACCTTTTGTGTATTTGTTTTTTCTATTAATATACTGTTCCAAAATGAGATCATAATTGCCACTACCTACATCATTACTGAAAATAAGACAGAAATGCTAAAAAAAAAAAAAAAAACTTCTGAGAAAATTTCTAAAGGTTTTTATTACTCACTTGTTTTCATTTCAAACTAAAAAGTCATTCATTTATCAATTCATGATAAGATTCTAGAAAATCAAGTATCTGGACTTCTCCTTATCATTGTTCCATTTTTAAAAAGCTGATGACCTCTCTGTAAAAAGCCAGAGAGTACAAAAAAACTCATAATTCCAAAAAAATTAATGCATTTTTTATTATAATTTATTTAGGATCTCTACAGTATCTGCTTCAAAGCCAGAGGTCAGGGGTACCAACTGTTAGCAAATATGGAGTTCCCCTGGGAAACTGAGCAACTATAAGCAAAGAAACGGTACTTAAATTTGGAAATGTTTCCCTTAGTAATCATTAGAGCAGTAACAGATTTTTGAGCATCTGTCATGTGCTACGTACTAGAACAGACATTTTTAAAGTTATCATCCCATTTACTCCTTAGACAATTTATCCAGAAGTTTAATTTTCCTAATTTACAGGTAAGAGAATGGTATTTCTATGGATACATAACTTTCCACTGTCATATAGTTAGTAATGAATAGGGCTGGGATTAAAATGCAAGAATATATGAATCTAACACACATTCTGTGCATTAACACTATAGTTTTTGAACTGAAGCAGGAATAAAATGAGCATTAACAGATAGAAGAGTTAAGTCAGGATCAGTAAACTCAAGGCCATAAACAATTTAACACACAAAATAACCCCCTTCCACAAACCCTAGGAAAACCCTTAAGAGAATTTATTGCCAGAGGAGCTACCCACATGGCACAGCAAACTTCTCCTGTCTCACCCGCTGCTCCCCTCAGCAATGTATTTCAGTCAGTCTGCCTGTTCTGTTCCCCATTCTGTC